AAACCGCGGTTGCTGAACTCGCTTAGCTTGGGTTAAGGCACAGAGGAAATGTTTTAGACAACTTCCACATTCGCTACCCTTTAATCTTTTCTTTAAAAGGTAACGCAAAGGACACCAAAATGTTATACAATCTGTAACACTTAATAAATCTTTAATCTATTTTTTTAAGAAGATAAGCGCATTTGGTCTCATCTTGATAGCTTTGTAATCTATTAGGAGTTGTAATCTATATATTATAGCATAAAACTAATAAGTCTATGTGAAATACTATGGATCACATATATATCGTGGTGACTTTTAAACTTTGAGAAAGTCTATATAATTCCAAGTTTATTGAAAATGAAGAATAAATTACAGTTGGAGCAATCGCAGAAACCAAATGGACCATTCCGCAAGCTTGAGGTTTGCCGCCATGCATGACTTCAACTTCCATCACTCATAGTCACTCTGTCAATTCTTCACCCCCACAAAAATTAAATTTTAAAAATGTAACATGCCTAGTGATAATATTTATAAGGAGGACATTATTTTCAGTTTTATTAAAAGTCGTTTTAACTTCAAAACAGTTGTCCTCTTAGCTTTTGTGGGTTGACTGAGACAATTTGGTGAAGTCGTCCATAGCATTCAGACAATATTAAGGCTCCTATTCGTTCTGATGACGTCGAAAATATATCGATAAATAATTCGAAAATTAACCGTCGATAATACTTATAATTGCACTTATACTTCGAAAATGTGCCCTTTACTAGATCATCACCCGTACTAAAGTACGGGTTGAATTTTATTTATTACAAAATTTATATAATATATATATATATATATTAGAATTAAGTTTTAATATATTATAATAGTAAGTGAAAAAATATTAATTTTTTGTCAGTTTCTATTTACAATATTAGAATAAATATAGATTTTTTTCTATAATACTCAATTGTGGATATTTTTTTTTTAAGATATGAAAACCGAAAATAATTTTATTTTTCAAAAGTAATATTTTTTGAACAATGAGTTAATTTATGTTAACAACCACAAAATAGGATTGCATATATTTCAGTTAGATCAAAAATTAAAATATCATAAATGAATCGCATATAAAACATAGATTATTTTGAATTAATTAAGAAAATTAGCTATTATTTTGAATTAATTTAGAAAATTCTTTTTCAATTTATAATTCTTTGGTTGTTGAAATAGAGATTTGTTTGAGCTAATCTAACTACATAATTTGTTTGAGATTTATAATTACGGAATTTACCAATTATTCGCATAATCGAATATGTTATAAACATATATTTAGTATATAATAGTACCAAAATCAACCCGTGCGTGGAGTCTATTTTTTTATTTTAGAATCTCAATATTTCATTTTAAAATATTGCGTGCACAATCTATTATTCGTTAATTCTAAAATTGTTTGAGGAATCAAATTTTCAAATATTTAGAGGTGTCAAACCATATTTAAATGTTCTATACTATTTTTAAATATTCCAAATTAAAATCTTTAAATTTGTTTTTGTAGTTTATAAAATTATGAATTTCAAAAAACAAATTATATGAAATTAAATATAACTATTCAAATAGTTATAAGGATCAAAACTCATTTCATCATATAATATATTATATTTAATCCGCTACCTATTATACATACTAGGAATCAGGACCCCCGCGATGTCGCGGGGGAAAGTACTTCAAAAATCGTTTAAAAAATATCAAACGAAAAATCATAATGAATTGTAACAATTTAGATTTTTTTTAGTAATAAATCAATAAATATTTTACGAAAATTATGATAATAAAAACTTTCACAAGCATTTATTAAGTATATTAGTATTAAAAACATTAATTTGTAACTAAAAACTATTCTCAAGCAAAAGACATCAAATAAACTAAACGTTACAACGGTTTTGTTAAATAAGCCAAAATGTTCATTAGTACTACTAATAAACCAAATGCTACTATGTTAAATTAAACGGTAGCAACAATTCATTTAAATATATTTTAGTAATTAATTTTTTTTTTAAATGATAAACTTTAACCGAGAGACGCGACCGTATATATCAAATATATCCAAAGTTGCAATGGTTCATCAAATACACTAAAGATTACAATGTTTCCTAAAACAAAACCAAATGTTGCAACAATTCAATTAAGTAGTAACATTTTAGTAATTTAAAATAAAAAATTAAAAATAATAATTTATGAAAAGTTACACCGACGGTAGATGATTAACATGTTTTAAAAAAACAATTACATCAGCATACGAATGTAACTACGAATGACTGGTGAATTATTTCATAGTTTACATCAGTATAGCAAAATGTATAAATGAATGATATAATTAAGGAGGTTATACTACTAAATATATCCATATGTAAACTATGAAATAAAACCAATTTTATATGTAGTTTATTGGTTTACGTAAAAAGAAATTCAATAAAACAACATGACCGTACAAAAATAACTATAAGAAAAACAACAATAAATATTTAAACGAAAGGTTGCAATAAAAAGACGCAACCGTTCAGATGTGCAAATGGTATTTATTGGAAAAGACATAACCGTAAAAAAATAACCGATTAAAACGAAAATTGCGATGTAAAGACGCAACCAAAATAACCGTAAAAAAATAACCCGATTTAAACGAAAGGTTGCGATAAAAAGACGCAACCGTTCAGATGTGCAAATGGTATTTATTAGATTGCTATTATGTATAGATTTTTAAAAATAATCAAATTCGAGTATTTATAATTTTTAACTTTTTGAACTATTAAATATTGATGATATTCTCTAAAAATATCAAGTAAAACTTATTTTAAATGCTGCAAATTAAAATATTTAAATTTTTATTGTAGTATATAAAATTATACATTTCAAAAAAATAAATGTATGAAATCGAATATAAATATTCAAATTCTGACCCGTTGCTCAGTCGGAATTTTTGTTGAATTTATTTTTGTGTGAAAGAAATATATTACTCAAGTCTGAAATTTTGACCCGTTTAATTGTTTCTTTTATAGATTGAACAATTTATATGCGTTTTTAAAAATGCAAATCTTGGCATATGCATAAATTTTTTTTTTTTTTTTTATTATGTAGATGATATGATGATTTATTTGTTTCATATAAATATAATCATATAAAGATGAGAGGTGAAGTTTAATGATTAATAACAAATTAATATGGTAAGTTAGATATCAAATCTTATATGTTCATTTTTATTGGTCATTTAAAAAAAAAATAACAAATTTTCGTTTTATAATTTAATTAAATTAATTAAATGACATAAATTAGTATTTTACTTGTTTATCCTTAATAAATTGAATGAAATTTGTTCTAGAAGAAAACTTTTGTAATGACATTCTTAAGTAATTTTTTACAAAATGGAAGGTTAATTATGGGTATCTTATAAAGTGTATTCCCCAAATAATAGTATAGGATAAATTGAAGAAATAAAAAGAGCTTAAGAGGCACTCGTCTATGGGTATAACTGTATAAAGTGCTCAAGAAATTAAAATTAAATAGTTATAAGAGATGATAAAGATGTGTTATCGAAATAATTTCTTAAAAAATACCTACCCAATTCCTAGAAAAAAAAAGAAGAAACTTGAAATTGTCGTGTCATTTGAACATAGCCAAAATTGGGATGGAGCTGAGAAAGAAAGCCTTTGCTCCAAACCAAGTGTTGATGCTGATGGGCCTTAGAGTAATAGGCCTAATATAAGTCTTACGGGCTTCATTGTAGTTATGCTTCGAGGAATTTAACTAGACCCAAAGAGAAGTAAACAACCAAATATTTCGTTGAAAAAAAAATAAACAACCAAATATTTCTTTTGTACTTTTTATTGTGTTAATGCATAATAAAGATTTTTACTAATATATGAAGGCTTCAAATTCAATCATATATTAGATAATCATATCTGAATATCTCTAATATTGATTTTTTTATTACTAACCAAGCATATAATATGTCTTAAAACTTAATATGAATGAGAATGATTTAAACGTTACTAATTAAATACTATGTATATAATAAATAATATATTTAGTCGGCTACCTCCCCACTATAGTCTATAGGTATGCACACTCATTTTTTCAAAAGCATTTTAAGTGGACTTTTTTTCTTAAGAAGCATGGTGTATTGGTGTGGATCGTTTACTAAAACGATTATGACATCATTTTCTTTTTTTCCATATATATCACTAGATCAGAACCCTACAATTTCCCGTATCTTTATTGTATTATATCGGTAGTCTCTTGAGTTTATACAAATATTCAAATAATTCGAGTCATATATTTGTGTTTTAAATCTTGATCAAACATATTCAAGGCCTAAAATGAGTAAAATCTAAGAAGGTGTCTATCTGAAAAAAAGACATTATTATTCAATGAGTTGGAGCATTTTGAGAAAACTAATACTGGAATGTTAATAATTACGCGTGCAGATATTTTCTTCTCGGATAATTTACTTTTATTTGGCAAAATCAATGAGAGTAGGCGAATCTCCACATACCCCATCCGTAACTTGGTGAGTCCCATCATCATAATATTCACCGTACGATTCTTTCGTGGTCGAGATTGCAACTGGTTATCTCCACCCAAAATCTCACTTGCGACCCATACCTAGTTTAACACTTGTGTCCATACTCACATTTATAAACAAAAAATGCATACAAAATCTAAGTTATTTATAGTTTAAAAACTGAAATGTACGTTATTATTATTTTTTGGCCGTTCGTATGTTATGATTTTATTTGAAAATTATAAAAATTTAATATGGAGTAGATAACCATAAAGAATGTAGTTCCTTTTAAGGTACGGCTAAGAGTGAATCTACCAAGCCTTTCCTTTTCACACCAACCATAGATAAAAAAATAGATACACCCGACAAAATGATTAGTGGCCATAATGTGATATAATGAGCATGAATGGGTAAACATGTCAAATCTCTCCATTACTCAGTGCCTACATAAACCTTACAATCTCACATGTAAACTCGTAACAAGAAATAAAGAGAGTTAAAAACTTTAAACTTCAAAATGGTAAGTAAGCTTTATATGACGACGTTTCTCTACTTAGTCACCTTACTCTTCATTTTCCGGACAATCTCAGCCGTCCGTTTCCCTCCGGCACAACCAACAACCGACAACCTAGATTTCATCCGTACTAGCTGCAACGCAACGCTTTATCCAGACGTATGTTTCACGTCTCTAGCTGGATACGCCTCCGCCGTCCAAGATAATCCGGCGAGACTAGCTAAACTCGCAATCGGCGTTTCCCTCTCCCGCGCAAAATACACGGCGGCTTACCTCTCCAAACTCTCACGTCGCGCTGCTTCAGCCGCCGTCCACGACTGCGTTTCGAACGTTGGAGACGCCGTAGATCAGATGCGTGGCTCCCTAAGGCAGCTCAGAGAGATGAACCACCGTCGTCCCGGAGCTCCGGCGTTTAGGTTTCAGATGAGTAACGTGCAGACATGGATGAGCGCAGCGTTGACGGACGAGGAGACGTGTACGGATGGGATCACGGAGGAGATGGAAGACGGAGAGACGAAGACGGCGATCTGCGATAGAGTAGGCGACGTCAAGAGGTTCACGAGTAATGCGCTTGCTCTCGTTAACACCTACGCCAATAATGGAGCCTAAGCTAGGTCTTGAAATCCTAAAGTTATAAAAATACTTGTATATATAAAAATGCGTTAAGTGTGGTTAGTTTTTTATATGTGTGTTCGAGGCTTTGAAACCGAGTTAGAACTCTGAGTTTGTGTATTCAAATTATACATTAATCTATGTTTGATTGTATTAGTATATGTCGCATGTGTTTTATATCGTGTGTGCTATATGAGTGATGGAGATAATTATAGATGGTTTTGATGAACAAATTGGATACATGAACCGATTAATTTGGATATGAATATGATATGCCATCATGTCTAATGGGAACTGAAACCCGTGAGATGATTAGAACATCTGACTATGACCTCAAAGTTTGTCTATTTGTGGCCCACTTTAAAATCTTTACGAAAACAAGTTTTTGTCATTTTTGTTCACGGAGATGCCAATGTACAAATTCTCAATATGTTATTTGTTATAATACTGTACCAATTAAATTATAATAATAAGCTTTTGATCAACAAATGGACCAAAAAGCTTCGACATTCTGTTCACAGTTTCTATTTTAATCCCAACTGATAATGATTACACACATTTCACTTCATAGACTTTTCTAATTGAAATCCCCTTTGAAATTTTCAACTCCCGCGCTGATTTCCACAGTGTTTACTTCTTCTGCTAACTGTAGCGTAAAATTAGTGTAATAGAAAATAGATGACAATAATGAATGAACCAATTTCATAGTTTTCCCTAAGTGTGAAAATGAAATTAAAGAAGCAATTGTTCAACAAAAGAAGCAACATTTAACATAACACAATGCAAAATCATAACCATAATAATACACAATCTAAGCAACAACTCTAATGTTATATCTTATCTCCTTAAAAGGACTAAGCAACAACACACACAATTTCTAAAGTTTACAATCCAAATACTGAAAGAAATTAAAATAAATCTAATTAAGCTAAAGCACTCTCTTTCACTCTTAAGAGATTCCAATTTTCAGTAACTAAAGCTTACCAAGTTGCATAAGTACCGAATAATTCAACACCCAACCGGCGCAACCACCGTCGTCTTCACCTTCGGAGGTCTTCCACGTCCTCTACGCTCACCAGTTGCCTGAGCTGCCGGCTCCGGTGCAGCAACCGTCTCCGCATCTGTTCTCGATCTCTTCGGTGGTCGTCCTCGTGGTCTTCCAGATCCGGTTGTGACCTTCTCCTTAGGCGGCTCCGATGGATCTTTCGGCTTCGGTGGACGACCGCGAGATCTAGGCGGATCTGCGGAAACAACAGTGACAGCAGCAGCAGCAGCAGCGGCGGCGTCAGATTCCGCCTGAGTTTTCTGCTTCGGAGGACGGCCACGACCACGCTTAGGCGGAGCATCTGGATCTGGTTTCATATAATTGTTCTTCACCATGATAAGCTGACCATTCTTCTTCATCTGGTTGAGATGGTAGCTGAGCAGCGTCGTGTGTGACGGCGGTAGAGTTTGTTGAGTTGACTCGATGTGCTTAGCAATCGTCGTTTTGTTGCAACCATTCTTATCGTTCAAGGACTCAATCGCTTCCATTATCATCTAAACGCAAAAATTGTTCAACCAAAAATTCAGAAACTAATTTGAAACAAATCTGAGAGAGATTTGAAGGATTTACTTTACCTCAGGATAAGGTGGGAGAGAAAACGACGGAGATTCTGATGAATGCGGCGTATCTGAAGCTGAGCCATGGTGGAGATCGAAGGCCATGTCAAGCGTAGAGAGAGTGTGAGAGAGGAGGAGGTGAAGGAAGGAATCTGTGTGTGTTCGGAGGGATTTTAAAAAGCAGCAGCAATTGGGAAAGTGGTTTTTCTCATTATTCTCAATTAACTTGTAGTGTTGATCGGACGGTTGGGGTTTTCAAACTTACGGATTGATCCAACGGCTCTGAGTTTATAGCAGCTTTCTCCTGCAGGATTAATGACGTGGACAAGCGAGAATGACTTCTGACTTTTAGCCTTAAATGACTTAATTCTCCTCCATTTTTAATTTAAATTACCTTTTTAAAACGAAAATTGGCCATTGTTTTTTCAGTCTAGCTGGATACTAGAACAGAAAACGACATAGTACGTAGCGTTTTCGCTAATCATATTTCAAATTGTTTTGTTAAATTGTAATTAACCCAAGGAGTTATTTCTTTCATTTTCTCACCAAAGGAAAAAAAAATGAATTTTACATTTCTATATTCAACTCCAAGTCTTTCTCTATTGAAAGACTCGAAGAAAGAAGATTATGTGATTTTATTTGTTACTCACAAACAATAGGAATCATATGAGACAAGTGAAGCATTTTGAGAAAATACGAAGATGGGATCACAAGAAGCCAGCGCTGGCGAATGGGTTGTTGCTGTTATGTTGCTCATGGGCACCTGCGTTAACCGGGAATTCCCCAAAACCCGTGGTGTTTGGCAGTTCTGAAACCGGGATTACTGGTAATGCCCCGGACCCGGAGGTGTTTGGTGGTTCTGAAACCGGAACTACTGGAAATTCCCCAAAACCGGTGGTGTTTGACGGTTCCGAAACCGACACTACTGGAAATTCCCCAAAACCGGTGGTGTTTGACGGTTCTGAAACTGGGATTACTGGTAATGCCCCAAACCCGGTGGTGTTTTGTGGTTCTGAAACCGGGACTACTGGAAATTCCCCAAAACCAGAGGTGTTTGGCGGCTCTGAAACAGGGATCTCTGGAAACGCCCCAAAACCGGTGGTGTTTTGTGGTTCTGAAAACGGTACTGGAAATGCCCCAAAACTGGTGGTGCTTTGTGGTTCTGAAACCGGAACTATTGGAAACTCCCCAAAATCACCAAAAGGATTTGCAGTGCTGGGTGCAACCTGAACCTGTGGTTGCTGCTCTTGCTGATGATATGTTGGCTGGTAGGGACCGAATGGGTTGTTTACGGCTGAAGGCGGTGAAACACTGTTTGAAAATGCAAACAGGTCTTGGACCTCAAACGGATTGGAAGCTGGGGCGCCATAGGCAGGCTGTTGGGCAGCTCTGAAGGCTCCATCGTCATATAGACTGTTCAAAGTGAGCGTGTCTAATCCACCCGCCTTGCATTTGTTGCAGAAAAAAATGGTAATTATTAAGACGCCACAAGATCAATTAACCAGCCCCAAAGTGACATATGTTAACAGGTCAATGGCATGTAATTGATGCATGCCATTATCACTAACACAAGAATACATCTTACCAGTTGCCTCTCTGTGGCTGCAGATATATCATTGCTAGGTGTTGTGACCAACGCAAGCTCCCATCCTGACGGATCCAAATCTCTTGCTTGACCAAAATCAAACGGCGAAGATTCAACTGGAAACAGACACACAATGCGATCAAAGACAAGCAAGAAAGGAAAACGACTTTTACCCAAAAAAAGAAAGAAAGGCAAACTTAGCACTCCAGTATAGAGTCCAAGAAGCTCACCATCAGTGGAAACTAAGGCCAAAGCTAATGCATTTTGGTCCAGAATTGCTAACGGATCAAGTGTATCATCATGCAGACCCTGAGTGTAACACGGAGAGAATCAGAGACAGAAGGATAATAGATAGAATAAAAAAATCAAGACCATATGTAATTAGCATATTTCACCAATAGATCATCTGTATCAATGAAGTTCTGTGGAGTTTCTGCTGAAGGAAGCGGCTGGGGAGAAGGTTGTGTCTCTTCAGAGGTAACAATGGTACTATCTGAAGGCAATGATGTTTCATGTTCTTCATGTGAAGGTTCAACATCTTCAGAACTAAGCCCCTCATCCGGCGTATAGGTCAGAAGCTGTATGTTGACAAAGTTTTTAGAAATAAGTTAATAAAAAAAAATCATGGTTTCTGTAGGAGTAGGACCATAATGAGAGTATATATGTACCAGTGGCCCAGATGTGACGTCGACCATCTGAGGTGCGTCTCTCATATATTCCTCCATTGTTGTAAGAAAAGATTGTGGAGGCTTGAAAAAACAAAAATAGAGTTACATTGTTATAATAACGTACCTGCCATTACAAATTTAAATGTAACAAGCAAGTTATTATCTGATACCTCTCTTAAAACAGGAAACTGGAAATTCCTTGCAAGTTCTAATCCTTTGCATACTTCATAGAAAGCAGAAAGGTTGCCAGCCTGCATCGATAAACTAACCTTTGTTAAGTGAAATCTAAATTGATCTAACAGAGAAAACAACCCAACAACATTACCTGCAAACCCGCACGCTTGTATATATCAAGGGCCTTGATGGCCTCATGTCTTGGCATTTCAAAGAACTGCAATATATGCATGTATGAAACAGTAAGAAATCATAGAACATATGAAGGGAGAGAGCAACTCTGGGGGAAAAGAAAAAACTGGGCCTACCTTCTCTACTAGATTGATGATTCCTTCATTGATGGCACAATAAACCTTAAAACTCTCCTTCAATACCTGAATATACAATTTACAAAAAGATCTCAGAACTTAATTCAAGCTGTTATTTCCAGATAGAACATATTTGACACGGCACTAAGAACTAGCGGATATATGTCAAAATGTAGATTATGTGTCCGAGCTTAGTTTAATGTACCAGAGCAAGTGCATATTGAATGATATGATTGTGCTTAGCAGCACCTTCTGGCTGAAAAGGTCGAAAGAGCAAAGTCAGTTCATTCGTCAGAGAAGGCTGCTTCACCACAAAAGAAAATAATATGGGCTTTTACAGAAACATAATGCACGGCTCGGGAAATGACATCAAAGAAGCACCTTACAACCAATGAGACGATGCAGAAGCTGCTGTAAAGCTGGTAACTGTTCCAAGAGTTTTTCACCATCTAAATCCCTTGTTTTGCTATACCCCTGATCATCAATTTCCAAAACCGAATACCATCAGGAAGGAAATGAGGTAATATGAGCCACAAAACCAAGTAAAACGTAAAATGTGATACCTTCTCCTGCCCTGGGGAAACTTTTGGAAGACGTTCAGCCTCGATGTCATATTTCAGAACCCTGAAGCATTCAAGGCGTTCCTCAAGAAATAATGCATAAGTGCGTACCCACCCTGAACAATCCCAGGCTGCAAGAAGCATAAAGCAAATACCCTATCAACAATAAATCTATGCAGAAACCTTAATAGAACCTCATTTGCTTCTAAAAACACATAGACCCGTGAATGTAGCAGTAAGGACTCACCGACTGGGCTCGAGTCATCCTTGAAATTAGAAATTTGCATAATCCGTCCTTTCTGAGAAAAATTCAACAGCTCCTCTCTAAACGTCGGATCACCATCCCTTAGAAGCCGGTGTAAGACAAGTAGTGCTTTTAGTGCAACCTGTTGAAGCAAAATACACAATAAAACGATAAATCTAAAAGCCAAAAGAAAAGATTGAAAAACCTAACCAAAGCTATCATCAATACACAATCATCCAGAATGAAAGAGAACACATGTAATCATACTAAACGCTGCAAATTACTATAATCACTTTGTTCCCCTAAAAGATTCAGATCATCATCCTCGAAAGGGTAAATCAAATTTACCGTCCAATTTCTGGTTTTGTGCAATCGCCGGGAGAGAGCATGAATGCAGTAAGCAACATCTGCTCGAGGCCGAATTGCTGATGTTGCAAGGAAAATTTCTGTAACAATTTTCCCAAAGAAGATATTTAGAAGAAAAAACAATAAACAAATCTAAGAATTCTGCAAAAAAAAAAACAAGTGACGTACTCTTGAGATGACGATCTTTGGGAGGACACTCGACATGGTTAGTAGCTTTAACAATGGCAACATCTAATTCCTGAAATTTACAATACCAAAACTCGAATCTATCAGAGATTTACTTCCAGTGATTGAAGATGTATAAAACAAATTTGATCAAATTGAAATCGAAAGGCGCGTACGGCGTAATCGCTATTGACTCGGACAAGGCCGACTTTAGTGGTGTCTTTTAGGGCTCCATAAGCTCTTCGCCATGACTGAAGCGTTCCCATTGAATAACCGTTCAGATCTCTCGAATATGATTTGTCCCGAGAAAACCTCCGTAGAAAAATCTTAAGGCACGCCGCTGAGAGTGAGAAGAAAGAGGAAGAAAACTAAAGAAACGCAGATTTGGATTCGTCTCATCTTAATATTTGTTTCCTTAATTCGCGACTAATTGCTTTCTGATTTGTGTGTATTATTAACTCTTTTTATTTATTTATTTTAACTCTATTCTGATCCTTTTTTTTAACTTCTTTCGTTATTTTTTCTCGGTTTTTTCACTTCATTCTTTTATTTTGTTTTTGGCTAACTAAGATCAAGTGTAAATTCATTCTTATAAGTTATAACTATGATTATTCATCTTGGTACTTAACGTATGAGTCAATGATTTCCTTAAAATAATGATGAGAAAAAAAAAAAAGTGATTCTTAAATTAATTTAGACGCAAAGCATGTCGCTGGAAATATAAGAGTGAGACTATTATTATTTGACTCGATTTTGAATCGAATCCACGGACCCTTCTTTGTTCTTATGTTATGTGTCAGCAACTCGTCATTCATAGAGCCATACGTCTCCATAACTTAATACTTTGTGGATTAGCCTTTTGTGGCTAATTGTCTTCTAGGGTCCAATCATATTTAACTTTAAAATTAAAACGGTGATATATTGATTTAGCCTTTTTATTTTCACATTATTAGAATGTGATATCTAAACTATACGAATCAAATTTTGTAGTCCTTGATTTTAAAATTTTACTTCGCTATATCATTTTTATTTATTCCGTTTTTGTGTTATCATAATGAAAGTGGGGCTGTCTTTTTCCAAAAGCATTCTTTTATGGGTCCTTTTTTCTACTAAAGAAGTTGTGGAAAAGCATCACCACCAATACTGCTGGGGGACAGAAACATAGTCATAGAGTTATAGGTGCATCTCTAGTTATATCAATACTCTCATTGACATTTTCGATTGGTAGATTGAATATTAGGTTATCTTCATTTTGCAAGTTGTAAGAATTCGTTAGTAGTTGTCAACATATTCTCGTCCTATGTTTATTCATTAGGTTTGTTATACAGATTTTGAATGGCAGATAGACCACAATGAATGCAACTTACTTGCCGAATCAGCACAAATGTGTTGTCACTTGTCACCACCATATTCTCCTACATTTACTTATTGGATTATTTCTTTAGCATGGATCAAGCCCAATTCTTTAGTAGTTTACAATAGGCCTTGACTCGTGCAAATGATTCCCACATCAATCAAACAAGCCCATCAAATTCATAAGTCTTTTGATCCCAACTCGGCTAGTTTTGCACTTCGAGTCCAGTTTCCAGTGTCCACAATGGTAAAAGATATGAAACAACGATGTTTTAATGATACAATCACCAAATTAACGATGATAATAGTGGCTGTGGTTAACATCGTTGATAGCATGGTACTTTATTCATTTTCATGCGTTCTTTTTTGATAACCCAGTGTCCAGACCACACAGTGATCCGACTAGCTTACTGGGCCTAAGCCCGCGTGCCTGGGATTTTTAAGCCTCCACTTAAGGGCCCCCGGAACTGGTGGTCTGGGACGCTGCGCCCCGCAGGTAAATTGCGCAGTGGCCAAGTGGAGATCTAGCAATTACGCGCTTGCGGGGAATCGATCCCTGGCCTAGACCAACAGGGCAACTCCTCCACAAGTGGCAACCACTAGACCAAGAACACTTGGTTATTTTCATGCGTTCTTTAAGCTACTTTTACATTTTAGTCGGAGATATACATTGGAATATTAGCTAAGGACGTACGTATGCAATATTTTTAATTCATTCAAGTATGATTATAAGAACAAGTGATTAACTATACGTTTTGTTTCCATGTAAATAAATGGGTAAGTGGAATAAAAACAAAGGACACCTCTTTCTGATTCTGTTATTCATCACGTGATCAGCCGCCAACGAAAGCAAATATGGTACTTCTCCTTGCTCCCTCCGATGGGTGCGTGAATCGAGAAGATAGTATCATGTATACTCAAAGTCTGTATTTTTTGTATTACATGATTCAGTCACTTTTGGAGTATTGTTGTACGTAATTGTATTATATATGATTTATGTACAAAATTTTTATTAGAATTCAAAATGTAAATTCAGCACACAAGGTATAAAGTTGTAACTGTATTGAAAACATTACGTAACAAAAGTACTTAATTTGATTGTAAAACAAAGAATAATACTATTTATTTTGATACATATTTTTTTTTGGTCAAAGATACATATAGTGATGTTAATATGGGTTTTATAGCCCATTTAATTAAATGGGTATGTTGTTAAAAAAATAGCCCATTTAAACCCATTTATAGAAAAATGTTTGTTGGGGTTAAATGGGTTAGCCCGATTAAGCCCATTTATTAAATGGGTTTTCTCTCAAATAAATGGGTATCCATTTAAACCCATTTTTTTTTTCTTTGTTAATCGACGTCGTTTACGTGTTTAGGGTTTCAAAGCTTGAAAACAGTCTCTCTTCTTCACGAGACTGTTGAATCTAGCTAGATGGTTTCAAAGCTTCAAAACTCGAATTCGATCTCGTCCTCTTGAATCTAGCTGGTGGGTTTTCGTTTTCTCGACTCTCTTCTCCTCTAGATAGAAGAAATCTCATCAATCTCCGGATCAAATCCAATTTTGTATCGTCTCTTCATAGGTAATTGTGAATAACCATTAATTTCCTCATGTTTTGTACTATAGATTGCATCTACTGTTATTGTTTCCGATTGATTGAATTAGTAGACAAGAAAATGAGACAAATATTAGTTTAGTTTAGCTCAACGTGAGCTTGGTTTTAAACGTGAACTGTTGTTATTTATTTATCATGAATTTATGATTTAGTTAATATTGGTTCCCATCATACTTGGAAAAAATAAATAAAAGGCAATATCCCACTTAAATGGGTTTAAATGGGTCTAAATGGGTTTACCAAATTTAAATGGGTAAGGTTAAGTGGGTTTCAAAGTTAAATGGGTTTATATGGGTTTGAAGTTAAATGGGGTGGGTTTAAATGGGGTGGGTAAACCCATGATAACATGACTAGATACATACTATATTTTACCAAAAAAAAAAAAAAAAAAAAGATACATACTATATATTATGTGGCTAAAAAACAAACTAGAAAAGTCGTAAATCAATATGTTTTTTTTTTCTTTTCATTTCACAACTTAGCCGCTAGAGCCGCAATTCTAAAATTTGACATCAGGATGCAAAATGTGAACTTCACATGGGCAGTGTTTCGTCGGAGTCTATAGAGAGATAAGAGATTCATTACTCTGGTAAATGCGAACATATAAAATTAAATCGAAGCAAGATCGTATACATGTGATATTCGATGTAGGGACACGTGCGAATGGTCTCACTCCATTATGTTTTATATTCCCCACCCCAAGGACATCGCACGACACCTTGTGTCAGCCCAGTTCCAGATTTGCCGGCTTTATATTTGCTATGCTTTTTAAAATGTAATTAATTATCCGCTTAACAACGAAGAAAATGTTTCCAATTAATTTAGACTTTATAAGTACTCATCCGTGCTTCGAATTACACGAAGGCGATTTGGATGCAGAACGAATAATTTACCCAAACCATTAAGTTATATTCATAGATGTTCGAAAAAATATAGTTATATGTGTGAATGAATGCACAAATCTCTAAGGTTCTAACACGAAATGATTTGTTATTCATCTTATATGGAAGCTAAAACTCAAGTGTTAAACTGAGATACACATTACACAGAGCCTAGACCTAAAGTTTTAAGTTGAGATATACGGATCTCATGACATGTTTTGATATTTTATTATTTCAGTATCAAGATTTGAGCACGAGTGATAGATATCATGTTTTGTTTGACCTTCCGATTTAATTATCCCTTTGGCTATTCGAATCTTTCTGGCACAGAATATGATTAAAGAAAACAAAAGCACACACGACTTCAAATACTTGAAAATTAAAAAAAAACTAGCATTATAATCATACCTAAGATATTGATTACTGAAAAAAAAAATTGATTACTGAAATATTGATGGCATATACATCTTACACATAGTTGCGAACTACAGAATCTATAGTATGTCTTTTATTGTTTTTATTTCCCATTCAAACTCTATATTTAAACACCTGCCGATTCTATAAAAAAATATTTACACGTTTATCAATCATATATAAATCCTAAAGTTTAGAGGTAGATATTGTATGGCCAAAGGAAAACTAAGAGAGGAGGAAATAACATTTGAAAGCTATAAAACAAGTTACTTAGAAAAATGAAAGGGAATATTAACAAAATACGTTGCTTAATGAATATTATAGACGTAACTATAGTTTAAATGCAACGTACAATACAGACTCGTAACGGCAAGGTGGTGTATCTTTTGGCTAAAGCTGAAAGACATGGCCACGTGAATGGACCAGAATTGATCGTACGCTACAATTACCAGATCGACGATAGTAGTAACAGAAGAACGCTAACTTTCATGGTTAAACGACATTTGTCCAGACTGGCTTGAGCTGTCTCTAACCACGCGATTTTTTGGGTTCCTACGTCACGCGCCCACTCACAAAATGCTTACCACTGTCTGATTTTGATAAATAAAACCAAAGCTGCAAATTAATAAGCTTCTAATTCAGCTACTACAAAACCTTCCATCAACCCATTTCATCTCTATCTCTCATATACCTAACCTGACAAAAAAATGTAACTTAACGTTAATCAGTGGAAGAAAGCAAAAAAAGAGTAACTAACCATGCAATTTTTAAGTGTCATTAACAGTTAATGGCCACAATTGGTCCATATCTGCCACCTCATATCAGATTTTGACAATTCACATTTTTTGGGTCCATCTCTTTCTTGCTGATGTATTTATGCGTATGTATTGTTCTCTATTATTGAAATTTGTTATAGTAGAGACACTTTTTCACTATTCAGTAATCCGATTCTACTTGTTTAAAATTGGCTTGTTTCTGTAATTAACATATATCTCGACTTTTATTTTTCTTTAGAAAAAGTTATTTTGGACTAACAAGCAGACTAAATATTCATTTTGTGTGATGTGACACCATTTCATTTGTTATCTTCTGCTATAAATCAAATAAAGGAATCAATGAGTGCACCTTTAATTTTTTTTGGTTAATCAACGAGAGCACTTAATGTCAAGTAAGACGATAAGCAATCAAAGTAAGAAACTTTGGATATCTTTTTCTCCTCCCTAGTAAATTATACCTATGTTTCTTCAGAGATGCAAGATTCTTTACCATGTTTAATTCAATAGTATTGTTTTTTTTTTTGGGGGGAGGGGGGTCAATGTTCCTGACATCGTCTTTTCAAAGATAAGATAAATAGAATATAAATTTCGACCCGTAAGTAATACTAAATAATCCATGGTTTCATTATGCCATCTGATAAATTTATGTGAAGTGGGTACAAAAATAACAAAACTTTTTCGAAGAACTGAGAAAATGATGTAACGGAGCATTATTATTTGTGAAACATTAGAACATGTAACCATGTAGCAACGGTAATTGAGATGGTCCATACGAAGGGCCGTCAACGGTGGGAATTGTCTCAGGGCCAAACGTATAAAAATACTTAGACACGTGTAACAATCACATGGTATCGTTGGGACCACAGTCTAAATGATGTACGGTAAGTTCAAGGGACCCATTTACACGTGGAGCCATCACATGCTGTCAGTTCTGATTTTCACGAATTAATTTCGAATATTGTTGTAATAAGTAGGACTATATAGATATGTGGAGTATATATGGTAATCTTATTTTCCCTACAAAAAAAAATATCTTATTTTGATTTAAGGCGAGTGGCCGTAAGCGACGTCGTTAAGTACAATGCTACAATTGTATTAACCAGTTTTATCTACAAATAGCAAAAAAAAATCAAGGACTATTGTTTTAAAGAATCGAATCCAAATCTTATTCAAATTTAACCGTATGGGTAAACATGGAATGTAAAAAAAAATTGACAGAAAACTGAATGCTATTTTAAATGACAAATATCCGAAACTTGAGAGTTTTACTTTTACTTTTTCTGATGAGGATATATGATAATTAATGTTATGTTAAAAAAAACAAAAAAATGATAATTAATGTTATCTCGAAATTGATTTATTCTGTTTACCTTTTTTTTCTACCCCCTTGCTCGAAACATGCCTACATTATTACAAGGGGGAAGGCTACGGCACTCAAACAGTATGATGAACTCATTTCAGCTTTTTTTAGTGGCATTTTAATTTTTGCTTCTGTGAAAAGCTTTTAGTTCCCCATCAAAAGAACAAATATAGAAGTCTTATGTAATTAATGAAAATGTTACTTCTTCTCCTAATTAACTAGGTTAAGATTTTCTTTTTGTTTAAGATCTTGAAAAATGTTAGAAAAGGAGCTTTTTCTTACATTTAATTCAAGACTTTAACAATTTAAAACTAAAACGGGAAAACGTCATGTTCTCTCTTTCTTTTTACTAAAAAATGGAGTATTAATTTCCATAATGGGTTTAATGATGGTTTACTTTTCAATACAAAAGTTCCATTATAATTTAATAAATAGAATTAATAAATAAAACTAAATTATTAACATATAAAAAATCTCTATTTTGGATCAAAAGATACAATCACAGAAAACCAACACAACAAACTCTTAAAAAAGCGACAAAAAGTAAATTGTACCACTAGTTGCATGACAATCTTTTTAGTTGTTCAAAATTGTATGACCATCTAAACTCTAAAGTAAAGTTAAATTAAAAACAAGAAAAAATATTGCAGTACATAAATATTAATATCTCAAAAGTTAAATATTCCCTAATACATAATACTAATTTTGTTGAGGAAATATCAATATATAAAAAGTTATATATTCTCTAATTTTCTTTTTTGTGTGTTTTCAATATATTCCCTAGTAATACTATAAAATAAGTACTAATTTTGGTATGTGTGTTTCAGCCTTATCTCTTAGAGCTGTAGATGTTGCTGTTAGCCCTCTGATCCATGATTCATCGGACATCGAGCCCCATCACCCCCTTTTTTTTTTCCCAACAATAATAATCATTTTTTTTTTCTCTATAATTCTATTTTTACAATTTATTTTTGGTTATTATTAGAAGAAGTGGTAGTAGAGTGAAAAATCCTAGGCAGTAGTAGTCCCAACCAATCCCCGAAGCTAAAGATTCTTCACCTTCCCAAATAAAGCTAAACCTAGATCCGACATTGAAGGAAAACCTTTTAGATCCATCTCTGAAAAACCCAACCATGAAGAGAGATCATCCTCAACATCATCAAGATAAGAAGACTATGATGATGATGAATGAAGAAGACGACGGTAACGGCATGGATGAGCTTTTAGCCGTTCTTGGTTACAAGGTGAGGTCATCAGAAATGGCGGATGTTGCTCAGAAACTCGAGCAGCTTGAAGTTATGATGTCAAATGTTCAAGAAGACGATCTTTCTCAACTCGCTACTGAGACCGTTCACTATAATCCGGCGGAGCTTTACACGTGGCTTGATTCTATGCTCTCCGACCTTAATCCTCCGTCGTCTAACGCCGAGTACGATCTTAAAGCTATTCCCGGTGACGCGGTTCTGAATCAGTTTGCTATCGATTCGTTTTCTTCGTCGAACCAAGGCGGCGGAGATACGAATGCTACAAACAAGCGGTTGAAATGCTCTAACGGCGTCGTGGCAACAACAGCAACGACGGATGAGTCAACTCGGCCTGTAGTCCTGGTTGACTCGCAGGAGAACGGTGTGCGTCTTGTTCACGCGCTTTTGGCTTGCGCTGAAGCTGTGCAGAAGGAGAATCTGACTCTAGCTGAAGCTCTGGTGAAGCAAATCGGATTCTTAGCTGTTTCTCAAATCGGAGCGATGAGAAAAGTCGCTACTTACTTCGCCGAAGCTCTCGCGCGGCGGATCTATCGTCTCTCTCCGTCGCAGAGTCCGATTGACCACTCTCTCTCCGATACTCTCCAGATGCACTTCTACGAGACTTGTCCTTATCTAAAGTTCGCTCATTTCACGGCGAATCAAGCGATTCTCGAAGCTTTTCAAGGGAAGAAAAGAGTTCACGTCATTGATTTCTCTATGAGTCAAGGTCTTCAATGGCCGGCGCTTATGCAGGCTCTCGCGCTTCGACCTGGTGGTCCTCCGGTTTTCCGGTTAACCGGAATCGGTCCACCGGCGCCGGATAATTTCGATTACCTTCACGAAGTTGGGTGTAAGCTTGCTCATTTAGCGGAGGCGATTCATGTGGAGTTTGAGTACAGAGGATTTGTGGCTAATACTTTAGCTGATCTTGATGCGTCGATGCTCGAGCTTAGACCGAGTGAGATTGAATCTGTTGCGGTTAACTCTGTTTTCGAGCTTCACAAGCTCTTGGGACGACCTGGTGCGATTGATAAGGTTCTTGAAGTGGTGAATCAGATTAAACCGGAGATTTTCACTGTGGTTGAGCAGGAATCGAACCACAATAGTCCGGTTTTCTTAGACCGGTTTACTGAGTCGCTGCATTATTACTCGACGTTGTTTGACTCGTTGGAAGGTGTGCCGAGTGGTCAAGACAAGGTTATGTCGGAGGTTTATTTGGGTAAACAGATCTGCAACGTTGTGGCTTGTGATGGACCTGACAGAGTTGAGCGTCACGAAACGTTGAGTCAATGGAGGAACCGGTTCGGTTCTGCTGGGTTTGCGGCGGCACATATTGGTTCGAATGCGTTTAAGCAAGCGAGTATGCTCTTGGCTCTGTTCAACGGCGGTGAGGGTTATCGGGTGGAAGAGAGTGACGGCTGTCTCATGTTGGGTTGGCACACTAGGCCGCTCATAGCCACTTCGGCTTGGAAACTCTCCACCAATTAGATGGTGGCTCAATGAATTGATCAGTTGACCGGTTATGATGATAGATGTTCCTACCGAACCAAAACTACATCCTACTGTTTTCCTTTTGTCACTTGTTAAGATCTTATCTTTCATTATATTAGGTTAATTGAAAATTTTCAATCTCGCTTTCGAGAGTTTTTTTTGCATGTGACATTGGAGGGTAAATTGGATAGGCAGAAATAGAATTATGTAGTTACCAAGTTTTTGTGTAAGTGGTTGAAATAAAATAATCTTGAATGTCACCTCTTATAAAATTCATTGTAATGATTAATGAGCCTGATTAATCTGTCTCTTATAAAATAAAATGAGCTAATTCTCCTGAATATGCTCTTTTAATGTGCATAGTATTAGGGGATGGGCCTTTAGTCAAGTGGTTAACTCCACTTGACTCCGCCTTTCCCACTGGAGTTCGACTCCACTAAGTCGCGTTACCCCGTGTAGTAGGGATTGGCTATGGATCGGGCCTTGTCGATTCAAAGATGTCAAAAAAAAAAAAAAAAAAAAAAAAAATGTGCATAGTATTATTATAGGTGGACCAGATTATTCTAACAATGCTAAGTCCTTTTCAGTTGTTATTTTGTTAAAAAATTTAAAAGAAAAGTAAATAAAAGAAACCAAAAAGCTAAATGTCCACCTTTTTGTTATGAAAGAGTTCACGTCAATCGCATAAATAATTCATACTATGTGTAAAAATGGGAAATGCAGATCTTCTTTGTAAATGAAAAATTGAAACTGGTTTAGGAACTTGTTTAAGAGATTATAAAACATTCGACAGAGGTGGTCGTAGACTTCACTCGTGACCCTTTGGTATATATAGTTGAGTGACTGTGACATTTGATCCTTTATGTCCTATGATGTATAAAAAGGGCACGAGGCGGTTGGTTGATTATAGTCAACTTTTGCTACCCCACATATATGGGCCGAATAATTTCCTAATGGGCCTAATTAAACATTCCTTCACTATCAAACATGACTCTACAAGTTAAAATCATATGTATCAGAAAACTCGAATTGAATAGAGTGAACAGTGTCACGGTCGGAAATCGAAAGCAAGTAGAAATGGTTCAGAAACAAAAGAGAGCAACTTTAAGGTGGAGATGTGGGAGTCTTTAGACGGAGAAAAGATTTGCATGTTTTCTTTTGTATGTCTGATTTTGTTTCAGAATAATGGATATTTTGGATTTTGGTTAATCAATCCCTCTCCTCGTATAAATCTTTCTTTTTTTTTTCTGTTTTGATGAAATTAATTATGAGATAGATAGTGACAGTCATGAGACTAATATACATCCGCCTTATATTTATCTTATACGCAAAATCGTATAACTAACACACACTTATTTTATTACGAACACGCATACAACAACATCACAGACAGATCACATAAGCATACAAGACCGCCATTATCATTAGCATAACATGTAGAGGCGGGTGATAAAAGGCACGTACGAGACAAACACAAAAGACACACATGCATAAGGATAATTTACTACGATGACCATGGAGGTTTTTAAGCTTTGTTCTGGCCCTTGAGGACGTGGTCGTCCATGTCAGCAACTAAGCTCTTGACAAACTTCATGTAGTTGACTGGTTCGGGGGAGTCTTCCTTAAGCTTCTCCCATATCAGAGTAACTTTGCAGACGCAGCCTTCCTTCGACTTGGGAATGAACTGTACGATGACGTTATACACCTTGTACTGCTCCATCACGTGACCCTCTAGTCCTCTGAACGTCAACGCCATCTTCTCATCGTCTATCTCTCTCTTCTCCTTGATGACTTCCGGCTTCCCATCTTCATACACACACACACACACACACACACACACAATTCTACTCCACGTTAGAAAATAGATATCATCAACCTTCGTATGACCAAACAGAAAGAGATAGAGTAAAGTAGGGTCGACCAAGTGTGTAGTTCCAGGATTTGATGGAACCGTGGGATTCCCAGTCGCCGTCGTGGACGGTGACACCTTGGACATGGTGGCCGATGGCGTCCGGGAAGAGATTGTTTTGGCTCCTCCATCTCTTGTAGTGTTTCTCCGCCGACCCTTTCAGCGGTACTTCCGCCACATATGTTCCTGACATCGCCATTTCTTGATTAATTGTTTTCTTTTGATATGTGTCAAGTGATTTGTTCGATGCAAAAACCCAAGTGTTTCCCTTCCTTATTTATATACAAAAACTGACCACAACACTACAAGAAACGAAAATGGCTATATATGTGTACTGTACATATGTGAAACAATGTCACATCTTATAGTCTTTCTTAAATATAGGGTTTAAATCTTTTTACTTAAGATAAAGATTTCATTTGTTTAACATCTGCTAAATCCTGAATATGAATGCTTAGTCCATCCGTATCATTTTTAAGTGATTTTTAACCAAAAATTTGTTTCATTTTAAGTGGAAGTTAAGTAAAGAAATGCATGTGAAGATAGTTTGTATACTTTCACTATTCATAGATAACATATTATTAACTGGATAAAAAGAAGCAAAAAACCTGGGCGAAAATAGACGGGCAAGAGTGTTTTGCGTCATTTAGTGACCATAGACGTCATCATAGTGATATTGATGCTCCACATGTGTAGCCTGTGTGTCGTCATTTCCATCTATCCCTCACTTATAGATTCTTTGCACCCTTTTATGTTCTAATCATCGATTTAAGAATTCTTTTATATAAAGATGAACATGTAATAACTGAAAACTGTCCTTCAATTAGCTAGATACGAACGTGCCCTTCAAAATTAGTTTTGATGCACGAGTTAGAGATAAAAGATGCATATATTGATGTTCCCATCTATGAATGTGAGTTGGATTGATCCGAGTTTATGATAAAATGTGGGACTAATGATTGTTCAATATATGTTCGTATTTTGTTATTGTTCTATAGTATAATTAAGAATATATATATCTAGCTTAGAGTTTTCAGGTATACAATTTAATTAATGCTTTTATAATTAATGAATATGCATTTATGAGAATCTCAGTGTGTTATATGACATGAATAAGTACACAAGTATCAAACATTATGTGGAAGCGCTACATGGATCATATTGATACCATGAAGACCTATGTGGAATTATGAAGCCACTTCGTGAGATTAAACGCTACAATTATACCACCTTCATAGTGTACTGTTGCGAGTCCGACCATCAAACAAATTAATAAGGAGTGATCGCATAAAACACATTGAGATTCTCATAAATGCATATTCAAAAGTTATACAAGAGATGATAAAGTTGGAGCAAAATTAAATTTCAATTGATAAGTTTGATGAGAGTAAGAACACAAAGTGTTTAGGAAGAAGTATATTAGACTCTCATAAGAATAATTGTACAAGATACATTCTCTTATATAGAGATGAGATTTTCTAATCTAAGATAAATATAAATGTAAATAATATATTTAGAGATAATGTTAAACTTTCTAAACTTAAGATAAGATAACTTCTAGATCCTTCATGATCTTCATGAAATCCATAATCTTGGGCGATCTTCTCGACCGTCGATCTCGGTCGATCTCCGGTTCCTCCAATACCCCCCGGCAAGCTCATACGTGGTAACACGTGTGAGATTGGACACATCTTCAAAATAACGGCTTTATACCCGGCCGTCGGGTCATCATCGACGTTTATACCCGGTCGTGGGGTCAAAGCGGCTACAATACCCAGCCGTTAGGTCATCGACGTTTATACCCGATCGTAGGGTTCAAGTAATAGAAAATAACACCCGCGATTGCGAGGTTTGGAAGTCACTCGCGTGAATGCGAGGTTCGGATGTAGCTCGCGATGGCGAGACTAAAAAAAACAACTCACGAGGGCGAGAAGTTTAATCAAAAGGAGATGTCAAACTCGCGAGGGCGAGAAAAACATCATTGTTACCGAAACTGAACGAACCCACTAGATTCATGTTCATGATCAAGTGTCTTGTTCTTCAAGAAACTAGCAACTTTGCTAGAATATCAACGTGGCTAATCAATGACCGGGACAAACACATGATAAACCCACCAAGAAGAGAGGATCACGCACGTCTCTTTCTTCTTCTTCTTTTTTTTTTTTTTTTTTTTTTTTTTTTTTTAAGAATAGCGGAAGCAAACAAAACCTTAACCCATAGGAATAGGATCAAGGCTCTGATACCATGATAAGTTTGATGAGAGTAAGAACACAAAGTGTTTAGGAAGAAGTATATTAGACTCTCATAAGAATAATTGTACAAGATACATTCTCTTATATAGAGATGAGATTTTCTAATCTAAGATAAATATAAATGTAAATAATATATTTAGAGATAATGTTAAACTTTCTAAACTTAAGATAAGATAACTTCTAGATCCTTCATGATCTTCATGATTTCCATAATCTTGGGCGATCATCTCGACCGTCGATCTCGGTCGATCTCCGGTTCCTCCAATATCAATTGATTGTAGTTTCGAGAACGAATCTGTTTTTAGCTGAAGAAATTAATTCTGTTACGACGTCAAATTACAATGATCAATTGATATTCCTATTCTATTTATTAATTTATGTAATTTTAATTCTTATCTTATCAATTTTTTTTTAATCATGCATCTCTTTGGTTAGATATGTTTGTGTAACTTTTGTTATAGTAGGTTTGTTTGTGTTACGTGCATGTTTTCTTTAGAATGTCTGGTTTTGTTTATGATTAATGGATATTTTTGGATTTTTGGTAATCAGTTTGTTGCCTCGTGAAAAAGTTACCTATTTTGATGAAATTAATTAATGTGATAGATACTGACGAATGAGGCTATATATATATATATATATATATATATATATATATATATATCTTATATTATACGCTTTATGTCTTTCAATTACTATTATATTACGAACACACTTACACCATAACAACATCATAATTCATAACAACATATAATCATCAAACAGAGATGATACATAAGCATACAAGACCTCCATTATTATTAGCATAACAGGGAATGTACAAAGGGGAAGGCGGATGATAAGCCACGTACGAGGCAAACACAAGATACACATACATAAAGATGATGATCATACGACAATGACCATGGAGGGTATTTAAGCTTTGTTCTGGCCCTTAAGGACGTGGTCGTCCATGTCAGCAACTAAGCTCTTGACAAACTTCATGTAGTTGATGGGTTCAGGGGAGTTTTCGTTGCGCTTCTCCCATATCAGAGTAATTTTGCAGACGCAACCTTCCTTCGACTTGGGAATGAACTGGTAGATAACCTCATACTTCTTGTACTTCTCCATCGCGTGACCCTCTAGCCCTCTCAATGTCAACGCCATATTTTTGTCGTCTATCTCTCTCTTCTCCTTGAAGACTTCCGGCTTTCCATCTTCATACAAATACACACATACAATGCTAGTCCACATTAGACGACAAACCTTGTATTATCAAACATAAAGAAAGAGGACACCCGGTGTCGGTAGCTCTACCGGTTGACCTTGGAAACTCTTGGAGGAGAGTTTGAAAAGGTTCTGGATTCGAGGCCCACCGACATCGGGGAGAGGAGGACTTATCACTTACCTATCTAGTCCTTGGCCCCTAACAAAAAATATATGGACCAAAAATCTCTATCTACTAAAATACTAACAAAAAAGAGAGAGAAGGTAAAGTAGAGACCGCATGTGATGTTCCATGATCGGATGGAGCCGTGGGAGTCCCAGTCACCGTCATGCATAGTGCAACCTTGGATGTGGTGGCCGATGGCATCCTGGAAGAGGTGGTTTTCGTTCCTCCACCTCTTGTAGTGTTTCTCCGCCGACCCCTTAAGCGGTACCTCCGCCACGTATGTTCCAGACATTGCCATTTCTCGATTGATTGATTTCTTTTGAAATGTGTCAAGTGTTTTGTTTGATGCAAAAACTCAAGTGTCGCCCTTCCTTTATATACACAAAACTCACCACATAACAAAACAAAAAAGGCAATATATATACATGAATGAAACATCATATATAATTGTCTCCTTTAAATATAGGGTTTAATTATTTTATTAGAGTTAAAGATTTCATTCGTTCAGCATCTACTAGATCCTGAATATGATAGCTTAGTTTAACCTCAGAAATAAAATTGTACACCCATCTATAGTTTCATTCTGAACTCGGTTTTTGAGCTATATTGTTGACTATTTTAATTAACTCTTGTTTGTTTTTAAGTTGTACACAATTTGATTGTAAGAAAAACGTAAATCACTTCTCTCCAAACGTAACAATAGACTCGAAGCAAGATACTTTCACCACTCAATCAACACTTGCTTAAGTGATTGATAATGAATACATTAATTAACTGTCTATGTAAATCATTATATTTTGCTAATTAACTCTAGTTTCTATATTGAATTATATAAACTCCAAACTCAAAACTAAAAATAAAAGCTAAAATTTGAAAAACAAATACCAAACAAAAACATAAAGTAACAACCTAGTAGTCGAACTGAACATTGTCTTTTAAAGCATTAGGTTTTTAGTCTCAGACCAATTCAACTTAGTTTTTTCTTATCATACACCAAATGTTCAATGTAAGAGGAAATATTTAATATCTGTAAACTATATAATCGCATATTGAGTTAACTAAAATATTCAATCGCTTGGGAGTATCGTTGAATCTACTATCTCCATATCAAGTAATGGCATGTGAAGATAGTTTGTAAATGCTGGATTAAGGTTTGACTCGGTTAGAATGTCATTATTCATAGTCAGAGGTAACAGATTATTGACTGGATAATCAATGATTCATTGGATAAATACCGATTAAATTAAAATAACAGAAAAAACCCTAGGCAAAAGAGACAGTTTTGCGTAATTTAATGATCATCGACGTCATAGTGATATTGGTGCTCCACACGTGCGGTCTAAGTGTCGTCATGTCCATATATTCCTCACTTATAGATTCATTGCATCCATGTACGTTTTAGTGATCGAATTTAGTACGTTCTTATCACACATGAATATCTTAATTTCCGTTTCTTTAAGTTATAGACTTCTAAACTCAAAAGACTTTATCGTTCCTATATAAAAATTATGATGATATATATCACTACAAATCTATCTGCTCTTTATTTAATGAATATTCATTTATGGTTATTATTTCTGAAAAATTAAACTGTACAAAACAGAATTAGAGGAGAAGAAGCTGATAAGTGATTACAAAATATCAAGACTATTAATGTGATATAAGATAGACAAAAATCAATATGCATTATGTGGAAGCGCTACATAGATCATATTGTTGCCACGAAGACCCATTTGGAATAATGATGCAACTTCGCTGAGATAAAAAGCTACAATTATACCAGCTTCGATCATGGTGTTGCGAGTCCGACCGTTAACTAACGAAATAAGAAGCAGTGATCGCATATCCAAAAGCTATACAAGAGATGATAAAGTTGGAGCGCAATTAAATTTCAGCTGATTGTAGATTCGAGAACGAAACTTTTTTAGCTGAAGAAATCTGTTAATTAAGATGTCAAATTGTATTACGATGATTATTTAATAACATTCTTATTCTATTTATAGTTTTACCTAGTTTTAATACGTATCTTATCAGTAAGAGCATATATTTGGTTTGGTTTGTCTGTGTTATATATGCAAAAGATTTGTAACTTTTCTTTTGTATGTCTTTTTTTTTATATAGATGAATGGATATTTTGGATTTTGGTTAGTCAATATGTTGCCTCGTAATAAAATTTCTTTAGTACTTTTTTTTTTTTGATGAGATCAGTTATGATTAGAAAATGAGACTAAACATCCTAATATTATGCTCTTACATATCATACAGAAAATTGTATAACAACACACAATAATTATATATATAACGAACACCAACACACTATAACAACATCATATCAAATCATCAAAGACAGAGAGATGATTTTGATACATAAGCTTACAAGACAAACCGCCATTATTATCAGCATAAAATGTACACAAGAAAAGGAGGCGGATGATCACCCATCTACGAGACAAACACAAAAGAGACACACACATATATATATATATAGATGCTTTTTATTTATTTTATCTTCTTAAAGATGATCACTATGATGATTACGCCTTGTTCTGGTTCTTGAGAATGTGGTCGTCCATATCAGCAGCCAAGCTCGTGACGAACTTCATGTACTTGATTGGCTCCGGAGAGTCTTCGTAGCGCTTCTCCCAAATCATAGTGACTTTGCAGACGCAACCTTCCCGAGACTTGGGAATGAACTGGAAGATGCAATCATACAACTTAAGCTGCTCCATCACGTGACCATCCAGCCCTCTAAACGTCACAGCCATCTTCTCGTCGTCTAACTCCCTCTTCTCCTTGAACACCTCTTGCTTCCCATCTTCATATATATATATATACACATGCACCTTGCATTAATAGAAACCCTAGCTAATAATAAACATATTCATACAAATAGAGAGTGAGATATAGAGTACCGCATGTGTAGTTCCACGACTTAATGGCCCCGTGGGAGTCCCAGTCACCCTCGTGAACGGTGACACCTTGGATGTGATGGCCAATGGCTTCCGGGAAGAGTTGGTTTTCGCTCTTCCACCTCTTGTAGTGGTTCTTCGCCGACCCTTTCAGAGGAACTTCTGTCACGTATGTGCCTGACGTCGCCATGATAGAGCTTCTAAAAAGCTTTTGATTACTTGTCTTTGAGAGTGTTTATGCCAATTGTTTTTTTTTTTCTCTGGAGGCGGATACAAAAACTAAAGCATATATCGCCCTTCGTTTATATACACAAACTCGTCACAACATTACAAGAAACAACCAGATATATATGTATGACTTTTTCAAGAAGTAAACATATATATAAATCAAAATTATATTTTACTTCAATATACTGTAGAGTTTAAATCTTGTTTGTCTTTTTATACATATGTAACGTTACCACGAAAAAATGTAACGTTCGAATTTATAATAAAAATGACATAAACAAATATTTGCCATGCATTGTGCTGAAAACTATCAAATTATTATATATGTGTAGGAATGGTAAAATTGTATCTATTAATGAATAGAAAGGCCTCTATATATAGGCTTACAAGAGAAGATTCTAGAAGATATACACTAGAGATTTACATAACTAGATTTGGAAGATTTACATTTATCTATTACTCTAACATGCCCCCTCAAGATGGAGAACCATTGGTTACTCCAATCTTGAAACGAAGATCTTGGAAACGAGCCCGTGGTAGTGGTTTAGTAAGACCGTCGGCGAGTTGATCAATAGAGTTGACATGGAGAACACGAAGAACACCGGCTTGAATAAGCTCACGTACAAAATGGTAATCCAAAGCAAGGTGTTTCATACGAGAGTGAAACACAGGATTAGCACACAAGTACGTAGCTCCAATATTGTCACAATAAACCTTGGGAGCTGTTGGAGTCCGGATACGAAGATCAGATAAAAGAGATAGAACCCATTTCACTTCCGAGGCTGCCTCTGTCACCGCTCTATACTCTGCTTCGGTAGATGAACGAGAGACTCCTTTTTGCTTCTTAGACGACCAAGAAATCGGATGGGAACCAAGATAAACGATATATGCCCCCGTAGAGGAATAGTCATCTTTGTCTCCTCCCCAATCTGCATCGGAATAGGCAGATAGTTCTAAGGAAGCATTCGCCGAAAACCACAAACCATGTTCGATAGTCCCGGCAAGATAGCGCAACACTCTCTTAACAGCATCCCAATGAACTGTAGTCGGAGAATGCATAAACTGAGATAAACGATTGACCGCAAAGCCAATGTCAGGACGTGTGAGAGCAAGATATTGAAGACTTCCTACCGCAGCACGATACTCCGTCGGATCAGGTAATTTAACACCATCAGCCACGGTGAGAGTTGTAGAAGAAGCCATTGGTGTAGGAACCGGTTTAGCGCCAATCATGTGATACTTGGTGAGTATATCTGTGGTGTACTTGCGTTGGTTCAGCCTGATACCCGCAGAGCTACGAGTAACTTCAAGACCAAGGAAGTAGGAGAGAGCACCCATGTCTTTTAGCGAGAACCGCTTGGAGAGAACTTGAATGAAACGATCAATAGCCGAAGCACTGTTTCCGGTAAGAACAATATCATCAACATACACCAACATATAGATGATGACTTCTCCCATGTGAAAAACAAACACCGACGCATCCGCTAAGGAATTAACAAATCCATTGCTAAGAAGAAAATCTCGCAGCTCATTGTACCATGCTCTAGGAGCCTGCTTCAAACCATATATCGCTTTGTGTAAACGACATACATAATGTGGTTTGTCTTTGTCAATAAATCCCGGTGGTTGACTCATATACACCTCCTCTGTAAGTTTCCCTTGTAAGAAGGCATTGTTGACGTCAAGTTGCCGTAATACCCAATTTTTCCGTGCAGCAAGTCCAAGTACCACCCGTATTGTAACATGTTTGATGACAGGACTGAAAGTTTCTTGAAAATCTATTCCCGGGCGTTGATGAAATCCTTTTGCAACAAGTCTCGCCTTAAACCGGTCAATCGTCCCATCCGCTTTTCTTTTAATCACAAAAATCCATCGATTGCCGACCACATTTGATGCAACACGAGGATCTACCAATGTGAACGTACCGTTACGTACAATAGAATCAAACTCTTCTCCCATAGCACGTCTCCATCTTTCATCTTTCAAAGCTTGAACATGAGACGTTGGTTCAACTTCCTCAAGTTTTATATTATTTGCAAACTTCCTGTTGGGTTTCTGAATATTATTCTTTGCCCTTGTAACCATTGGATGAATATTGCTTGGAACCAAGGCGGGAGCAGGATTTTCGACCACAACATTGTTCTCTGCATTGGCCGTCTCTTGGGGGGCAGAATTGTCATTCTCATTTGGTGAAGAATCATTGTCGGACTGTTCTTGTTCCGTTGTCGTTGGTGAAGGATCCAAACTGGGGGGCGAGCGGGTGATGAGTGACTCACGATAGACCCGAGCTGCGGAAACAGGATGAAAAACAGAGGAAGAGGACTCATGGGAAGTGTTAGTTGAGGACAAAAATGAAGATAAAGGAAATTCATTTTCATGGAATTCAACATGACGGGAGACAAACATTTTGGATGTGGAAAAATCATAACATAGATAGGCACTTTGTGTAAGAGAATACCCAAGAAAAATACATGGAGTGGAACGAGGAGAGAGCTTGTTTTGTGAATAAGGACGAAGCCATGGATAGCAAAGGCAACCAAACACACGAAGCCTTGTATAGTTTGGTGGGGACTGAAAAAGAACCTCATATGGAGAGACATTGGAGAGAATCGGTGTAGGCATTCTGTTGATGAGAAAGACGGCTGCGGCTAGTGAATAAGACCAATACTCTATTGGTATTTTAGCGTGTGACATTAGTGACAATCCCGTCTCAACAATGTGACGATGTTTTCTCTCCGCAATGCCATTATGTTCGGGTGTGTGAGGTGGTGATGTGAGATGTGAAATGCCATGACTTGCAAGATAGGACCTTAAGCCAATATATTCACCTCCATTGTCCGAGTATAGCGTTGTAAGCTTCGTCTTGAACCGATTCTCCACCAATGCCCTGAAAACCGGAAAAATTGTGGCAACATGAGATTTTTGTTTTAATGGATAAAGCCATGTATACCTTGTATAATGGTCAACAAAGATCACATAGTATTTATAGCCATCAATTGAATAAACCGGAGATGTCCACACATCCGAGAAAACAATATCAAGGGGAAAGTGCGAGTGAATTGATGATTGAGAAAATGGTAGTTTATGACTTTTATTAATAGAACAAGCATTGCAAATTGTCGAAAAAGACATAGAAATTTTAGAACGAGATGAAATAAGTTGAATAACAGAATTTGCCGGATGCCCTAATCGAGCATGCCAAGCAGGGGAAGATGTTTTAAAAGTAGAAAAAGCTGAAACAAAAGAAGATCCAGAAGGAATCGTTGGCCACTCATACAACCCATCATTAGCTCTGCCCTTGATTATTGTTGCCCCCGTGTTGAGATCCTTCACCTGAAAATCATTAGGACACATTTGAACCATTACACCATTAGATCGACATAATTTATTCACCGAAATCAAGTTCTTCTTGATAGTCGGAACACACAAGACATTATCAAGTAATAACTTTTTAGTTGGAGTAGAGAAAGTAGTGGAACCCGTATTAGTAATTGGCAAGCCAGCTCCGTTGCCAACAATCACTTCTTCACCGCCATTGTATGGACCCGCAATGGACATATTGCTTAAATCTGAAGCAATATGATGAGTCGCTCCACTATCGAGTAGCCACGGTGCTTGTGAATAGTTAGTGGAAGCGGTGTAATGAGCTCGCGGTTGCCAGTTGGGAGGCGGCATCGGTGGTGATGGATTCCACATTGTTGGAGATGATGGTGGCGGATACTGCGACGGCGGAGACCATTGTGGTGAGGCAAGCTGACGACAAGTCCGTGCACTATGACCATGAATACCACAAATCTGGCATCTTCCTTGGTACCCACGTCCTTGTGATCCTCTTCCAGAACCTCTACCTCTTCCATAGTTGTTGTTGTTGTAGTACTGGTTCTGATTCTGTTTCGAGGAGTTGTTGTTGTTATTGTACTTGTGTTGTGCCATATTCGCAGACGCAGGAGCAGCCGTTGATGTTGTCTCCGCAAGGTTGCGAAGCATGTTCTCTCTGTTGAGTAGTTTCTCGTGTAGCTCTTCAATGGTTATTGGAGTTTCTCTTCCATTGACAAGTTCCACAACCGGGCGATAATCATCATCTAAGCCAGTAGTGATGTGATCAAGTAGGTCTTCATGTGGGAGTGGTGAGCCAAGGAGCGCTAACTTGTCAGCCTTAGTAACAACATTCTTCATGTAGTCTTCCACCGATTGATTTCCTTTGGAGATGGTCTTGAGTTGTTGTCTTATTTGGTTGATGTGTGCTCTTGATGGATTGCCATAAGTCTTGGCTAGTTTAGCCCAAATCTCACGAGTAGTCGTCGCACGTGCAACCATTGGTTGCACTTGAAGAGATAGAGTGCCGATGATAGCACTGTAGAGAAGACGATCTTGTCTTGTCCAAGAAGTAAACTTAGGGTTTGGTGTTGTCACAGTACCTGAAACGATGTGGGTGGGTGGAGCTTTATCGGTTTCACTAATAAAACCATGAAGCTCGTGACCTTCTAGGAGAGCTGTGATCTGGAGACGCCAAGTGAGATAATTCATTGATGTCAATTTTGTGATGTTTGACATGTTCACGGCGATGAGAGTTGGGGTTGCACTATCTATGTCAAAGATAGGTACTCTCGAATACGTTGCAACTGACGACGAGGCTTCTTCACTCATGTTGATGACTGAAGAAAGAACCGGTGAAAAGAGACGCTAGGTCTGTAGCGGCGGTGGGTTGGTGAGGCGTGAAGAAAAGAGAAAAAAAAAAAAATTAGGGTTTTTGTGTTTTGATCGATAGCTCTGATACCATGTAGGAATGGTAAAATTGTATCTATTAATGAATAGAAAGGCCTCTATATATAGGCTTACAAGAGAAGATTCTAGAAGATATACACTAGAGATTTACATAACTAGATTTGGAAGATTTACATTTATCTATTACTCTAACAATATGGTGGGTTTAATTGAAATGGTTGTTCCTCACATTAATCAGATTTACAAGAACTTAGGGATCAATTGCTAGCTAGGAAATAAACCAACTATTTGGGAGAACATAATTAGGAGTGTTTATAAAAAATGTTGTACAAAGAAAAAAGATTACAATATTTGCGATAAAAGCCTAACCCATGAGAGAAAGCAGTTACAAAAATAAACTACAAAATGCAAGTGGAGATATATATGTATCACAGATTGATAATTGGATAAACAGCGATTAAAGAAAAAAAAGACCTGATCGAGCGAAAGAGACGGACAAAAAAAAGTAGGTGAAACTTCGTCCGTTTTTGGGTTATTTAATGTTCTTCAACGTCATAGTGATACTGGTAGTCCACACGTGTGGTCTATGTGTTATCATCTCCAGTTTCCACTCTTCGCTCTTTACGTTATTTGCCATACCTTCTAAAATGTATGCGTAACTTTGTGATATATCTAACTATTGATCTTAGAATTAGGGTTATTGACTATATTAAAAATCTCTCATATATATGTATGTTACTATGTACCACGTCTCTGTATATTTTTGGACTATCTCACTTGACCAGACCCCCAATTATTTTCGGATATGTTCGGGCCCATACCAGATTGTACAAGTATTAAATAAACGAACAACAACATGGTGATTAAAAAGAAAGAAAAAAAACGAACAACAATATACTTATGTAAATAAACGTTGGACATACAACACCATGACGATATTAATTAATATCATGTACAAGATGGACACAAATTAAAACCGTAGATAAATGGAGGATGTGATGATGATTAAGCATCGATATCCATCATTCCTGGTTTTGGAGGATGTGGTCGTCCATGTCAGCAATCATCTTCTCGACGAACTTCATGAAGTCGATGGGCTCTGGGGAGTCTTCGGTGCGTTTCTCCCAAATCATAGTAATTTTGCAGACGCAGCCATCTTCGGACTCGGGGATGAAGTGGAAGGTTGTAACATACACCTTCAGCAACTCCATGACGTGACCATCGAGCCCATTAATCGTTACCGCCATATTCTCGTCGTCGATCTCTATCCTTTCCTTCAATACTTCCTCTTTCCCATCTTCATCACACACACAAACACCACAATTTTGTATACTCATCAACATACACATTTATATCTTACCATAATTAAACCCTACTTTTCCATGTTTAAACAAATCATTTGTAAGGGACAATCATGAATATTCACATATATAGGTGTTCCCTTTATGTTATTTATATTTGTGTCATTATATGTAGAGGAAAAAAGTATAAATACGGACCACGAGTGTAGTTCCATATTTTGATGGTGCCGTGTGAGTCCCAATCGCCTTCGTGGACGGTGACACCTTGGATGAGGTGGCCAATGGCGTCAGGGGCGAGATGGTTCTCGCTCCTCCACCTCTTGTAGTGTTTCTCCGCCGATCCCTTCAGAGGCACATCCGTCACATATGTTCCTGACATCGCCATTGATGAATTAATTAGCTTTCGATCGTGTATTTTTTTTTTCTTTTTGGTTGTGTTTTGAGTGTTTTTGTTCCTTTTGTCTGAAGAAAATACTCTGATCTCGCCTTCCTTTATATACACAAGCTCAACACCAAGCTACATTAACAGCGAAATTATTTACAAAATTTTGTATACGGCTTTTCAAACTGTCGACGGATCAATATATCTAAACAATGGTATATAGTCACGTATTGATATACCCTTATAAATAATAACAATTATTGTAAAATTAATGCGATAATTTCATACCATGCATCAAAATGTAGTTTTCAATTTCATACAATCTCACAAAATCTGTATTTTTAATGAACCGCGAAAACTAGATATTATATAAAAAAACGATTCCAGCCATTTGCTGACTCACACAAATGTTCCAAAAAGATTTGGTCAATTGTGTAATGTATATCAATCGAGAAGGAAACTTTAAAATATATATAAGTTGAGAACGTTAAGAATCATCCAATATTTAAAAATTACTCAATCATTACATTATAAGTCGACATCATAATTAATTTTAAAGTTGAAATAATCATACTAAGACTAGAATTATATGTTCAAAGTTGAAATAATTAAACTAAGTCCTTCTTTCAAGTTAAACTAAGATCAATAATAGAGGGGTTATCTGGATATTGATGATCTCATGGAAGAACTTTTGACATAGAATTCGGAAATTAATAATGGCACATGTAATCGGATGAACCATACTTAGGTTTACCCCTGGGGTGAACCTTTAAATTCACCCAACAGATTATAGCCAATCGTTTTGCCATGTCATTATTAATACTAGAGAATTAAAAAAAAAAGAAACACAATTAAAAAAAAAGGAAATCACAAAATAGATTTAGGGTTTAAGGTTTAGGGTTTAGGGTTTAGATTTTACAATTAAAACGAAATTAGATGTCGGTTTGGGTTGCCAAATGAGTGGTTAGGGTTTAGATTTTATAATTAAAACTAAATTAGATATCGGTTAGGGTTTAGGGTTTAGGGTTTAGGGTTTAGATTTTACAATTAAAACGAAATTAGATGTCGGTTTGGGTTGCCAAATGAGTGGTTAGGGTTTAGATTTTATAATTAAAACGAAATTAGATATCGGTTTGGGTTGACAAATGAGTGGTTAGGGTTTAAATTTTACAATTAAAACGAAATTATATATCTGTTCACCGCTGGGTTTAGGATTTGGGTTTAGGGTTTAGGGTTTATATAACAAATATTTCACAAACCTAAACAGATATATAATTTCGTTTTAATTGTAAAATTTAAACCCTAACCACTCATTTGTCAACCCAAACCGATATCTAATTTCGTTTTAATTATAAAATCTAAACCTTAACCACTCATTTGGCAACCCAAACCGACATCTAATTTCGTTTTAATTGTAAAATCTAAACCCTAAACCCTAAACCCTAAACCCTAAACTCTAAACCCTAAATCTATTTTCTGATTTCCTTTTTTTTTAATTGTGTTTTTTTTTTTAATTCTCTAGTATTAGTAATGACATGGCAAAACGATTGGCTATAATCTGTTGGGTGAATTTAAAGGTTCACCCCAGGGGTATACCTAAGTATGGTTCGTAATCGGATGCTTGCTAAATCACCAAGAGACTCATTCGAAAAGCAAAACGTTAGTTTTTCACATGCAAAAAACAATTAAAATCAAATTAAAAGAACAAAACAAAAAGCCCAATAGAAAAGGCCAATAATTAAAGGCAAAGGCCCAAACTCATCATAAAACAGCTAAAAGCCTAAAACACTAAACCGGAATTTCATCAGAACCCCGAAATAGTCATGGTTAAGGCTTAACCACGGTATAAGCACCATGGATGGCGATTGGCGAGGTTATGACCACTAACGTAAGCAGAGCCATCAGAAGCAAGAAACAGAGCAGCTTCCGCCACGTGTCCAGCCTTCAGCACAATGCCCTTGAGATTCGATTGTGAGCTGAAGAATGTCTCCATCTTGTTTGTACTGTACAATTTACATGGCCAATTGGCACCATTTCAAAGACAATAATGATTGCCAAAATACTACTTTAATGACAAAATTGCCCCCAACTATGGGTTTTAGTTTGAACATTACAGAGAAAACACAAAACATGCTTACAGACTACAGTTTTATCTCAAGTGCCTAAAATCTCTACTCAAATACAAAAAACATGACATTGAGAATCAATACAATGATAATGGGACACTTTTGGCGCTGACCAAAAAGAGAGTCTAAATTGCTTACCAATCACATTCCATTCCACCTTTTTCAACAAAACTTGTGGATGGTATGTTAATCAACTGTGGAATAAGCCTGTAGTTTCATGTGTTAATTCAACTCATAGTCATACAGAGCGAAATACCATTTTTTGTTGGTAATTAACAAGGCGAATATTATTGAAGATCTTATTACTAAAACATGGTTTTAAACCCAAAAGAAAAAAACATGGTTCTAGGCCTTGTTTTCGTAGGAAACTAAAAAAATTAGATACACCACATTCACTTGGAAGAACCATAAGAAATAATATTTAAATAGAATGTAAACAAGATTAAAAAAAAAAAAAAAAGATTAAACCAAAAGGAACCAATCAATGTACAAAACTTTTCTGGCAGCTCTCTTCTCCCCTATGATCTACATTTATTTCTGGGCAAACCCAACACTAGACACCAAATATACAAAACTCAAACTTTTCAAACTGCAAAACACAAATGAACCATCCAAATGCTATCCTCTTCGCCCAGAAACAAACGTCGAATCTCCGTGGGAGCTAATCTCATTTTCTCGTGTTAGATACATCAGCTTCAATGTGTCAAAAAATATCCCCCAATAAGAATGCTTGGGAAGTCCTCTCTGTCTCTCTCTCTCTCACTCTCGCTCTGTTTGGATGCGGATGTGGCCAAAGAATTGAAAGAATTAGCAACACATGTAAATAAAAGAATGCACCAGAAGATATCCAGTAAAAGAATGTGTCAGGTGGCTGATGCTGTTGTTTTGTTCTTCCGGCACATGCAGTCAGGGCAAGGGAATATGTAAATGGAGTCACTTGATCGTTTCAGCTCAAACCCCTTGGAGTCACTATGGGACCTCATGCTTAGCATTTGCCGTTTAAAACTTTTCCATCTGCCGGTAATATCAGAAACAACCATTGAGGGACCAACCAGATACTATTAACCATAACGCATGTTTTGTAGGTGGAAAAGGTGAGAGTCGTTACCCCAACTTGGGATTGTCAAAGAGTACGGCTAACTTTCGCTTGTCTGGCCGAATCGTCTTTGAATGTCCTCCAAACAAATACCTCCTATGCCCCATGAGGAAATGAGGGAAGTTTCCACCTTGTGTTGTCACAAATACCTCACTGTGGAGACACACCGTGTAATCTATTGCAGCCATTCTCGAGGAGAAGTTCTGAACACAGACACATAAGTTTACAAGTCAGAAAAGACTTATCGTGGATGAGCAAACAGTTGAAAACCATAGAAACCTTAAAAGGAGCCAGTTCTTCTTCAGAAGCAAGCATCTCCTTCGTCTGTAGATTAGGGAACATCTCGAGTAGTGGAGCCATAGTTCTATTTGCGCTATATATTGGGCCAGCGGCAAGGTATATATATGTACTTTTGTTGAAGCCCATTCCTCTAAGCATCAAACCAACCTGATAGGTGTAGAAGAGCAAAAATTGAACTGATATCAGCAAGTTACTCTACTCACATCATTGCTCACAAGGGTTAGCACTTTCCACAACTACTCTGATTATTCCACTGCAGTGTCCATGGATGAATATAATACAACAATATTCTCGTAATACTAACAGTTAATATAGACCACAATGGTGGATAGGTAGAGCAGTATCCAGATTCAAAAGAATTTATGCTTACCTCTAAAGGAGTTAAAGGGCATTTCCCATTGAGCCTGTTAGCTCCTGGTCGTATCACACGGCCCGGTTTTGTGAACTTCCCTTTCCATCCTCGTTCTCTCGCGGCAATCATGTCTTGTTTTTCTTGGTCTCCACCATCAAATACACAACAAGAGAACGCGACCATATCCTGTAACATGTTCTTATAGTGTATTATATCTCTCACCTTATACACAGATCTGTTTTCAGAATAAGACAAGTGGCAAATTCGTGAAGCGTTTCTCCTTTACATGTAACAAACCTCTTCAAAACGAAGATGCACAGAAACGTATTTCCCGGCGTTGTTTGCACTAAGCTCCTTCATTTTGTTCACCAATGTTTCACCTTGGGTCAGTATGGGTTTTGAAAATCGCAAGGCTACATTATTCGCCAAACATCTAAATCTCTGGACAGCTCGAGGAGCATCAAACGAAAGTCTATTTGCAAATGGGGAAATTCTTATAACCCTGTGCCGTTAATAGACAACAAATAATTCAAAACCCGTGTACTATAACAGATAAAAAATCCTTACACAAAAACAAGACAGCTTATTATGGAAACTAACTTTTACAGTATTAGTTAACAAAAAGGTGTGACTCACTTTTCTTCAAGCAGCTTTGGCAGGACTGAGTCCCGGTAATAGGAGGTGGGTGCCCATGCTTTAACTCTGAAGTTGTAGACATTTGTCAAGTTATAGTCAAAACGCTCCATTAAGTATTCAGGAACTGTATCGACCACCCGCACATCATTTGCTAAGGTATCGACAAAGTATTCCTCATCATAGATGTCCCCAAATTTGCTGCAAGGAAAACTCTCTGTCAGAAAGTAATTGAAACAGGGATGGCTTTGCTAAAAAATTACAACACCAGGAGAAGATAAGAAAACAAATATCCGAAACCTCGGATCTTTCCATATGCTGTGATAGTGAAAGTTGGGAATTACAAGGGTCGCATTAAGGTATCCTGCCACAGCAACCGCATTGCATATCTAAGCAAAACATGGCAAAGACTAGTCAACAGCTTCAACTTTGACAAGGTTGGCAGACAATAGCAAGAAAGGTTTGGGTGGAAAAAATCAATTTGATGTAAGATGATGAACCTACCGAAGTCCGCTGCTGATTCAAGCCTCCATTTGCCTCAATGAATATGAAACCATTTGACTCAGGTAAAACTAAAATTGTCAACACACAAAACAAAAAGAAAACCTCGTTAATTCAACAATGCTGTAACTTATATTGCATAGGACAAGCACACAAATGAAGAAACTACGAGAACTAATACCTCCAGTAGATTTGTTCACACATGGCTTCCATTCTACACCTTTATAGGATCGCTTCCAAATTGTTGATATCTAAAATGAATACAATTGCATTGACGACACATGAGAAAGGAGAACTAGTAAACAACAAGTATCTTATACAAACAAAGTAGGGACAATAATGATAAACAAAATTATGCATTCTCCTAAACATTGTTCCACATCGAGAGCTGAAATTATCTTAAGACAAAACAATGGCCACATTCTCCAAAAGATATCACAATAAGCGGTGGGATAAAACGGAGGCAAACCTCACCGCATCAGCCGTGGTATTATCAGCCTCAATCTCGCCGCGAAGCCTAGCGTAAACCTGAGGGCTCCTATAGACAGATCCCGGAGCAGGACGGCGGTGGATAATGGGAGAGGCATCAAACGACGCCGCGTGTAGGTGAAAAAGCATACAGGAGACGTAGATGACAGGAGCGAATAAGAGAATTCCCTGACGCCGGAGAAGAACCGATAAAAGGATCCATGAGAGACGGTGAGCGACGGTCCGGCTTTGCTGTTGTACGGAAGCGGAGGATTTAGACCGGCTCCGGCAGAGATGAGGAGACGTCGGCGGAGAAGGGGTAGTGTGATCGCTTCCCGGAAGCCGATTTTGAATCGACAGATCTCTCTCCACCTGGGAAATCATTGTTTCCCTTCTCTCTCTCTCTCCTTCGTCAATGCGCTACGCCATTAACGATATAATGCATTGCTTGGAACAATGGCAGGTGGCAAACGCTGATTGAACGGATTTATCCCGGCGGCGAAACTGTGAGTGAAGTAAGAGAGAGAGAGAGAGAGAGAGACTTTTATTTATGTTTATGTATGCGCTCGTGCGGTGGAAGCGTGATCGATTGATCACATGCACTTGGTATTTATTTGGCTTCTTATGTGTTTTTAGTTCTTTAGTCTTTTTCTTTCTTCAATTCTTTGATTTGCGTTTAGAGGAAAACTTTTGTTAATGAGAGAATTCAATGCAACGGTTTCTGTTTATGGTCTAATTTGTAATTGAAGAGAGAGTTGTCCAAAAATAGCAATTTGTTGATATACACATTTTTCAATTTTTGGTTAGAAAGATGGAATATTTGAAATCGACCAACCTATACTAAATTTGAAGTTGCGACAAGACAATACTAAAGTTGTATTAACATCTAAACGAGTAGTTACAAACCTAAATTAGACTATTCCAACCACTGTGAAAAGGTAATCAGAAAGACACCAATTTTCAAAATGCCAAGACATTATGGTCCTACTTCTCGACCTGATTCAATTGACAAAATGTGAAGATGCCGATGCTATAGAAGAAATCATGCGGTCAAATTAGCTTATTTCTCTAGTTATAGCTTGAGCAAGAATAAGTAAAAGTCAACTAAGCTATCGTCTACATTGGCTATTGAAGTTGCTGCCTATACGTAGAGGAAAAGCATCAACAGATTATGGAAAAGCACAAAATATTAGAATCAGAAGATGCAACACTTGGGTTACCCATATGATTTTGATGCCCATTTGTAAGAATTCAAAGACAACTTAAAGATAAATTCAATGATAAACGACAAAGTCCAGCCACATCTTCAAGATAAACTAACTTATAGATGACTCCTCCCTCATAAGACAAACACCAACATGAACCCTCGTGGTTGAGTTGGCGAGCTTAGCCTTTTCAATCCTCGTGCAAAGTTCCCAAGACATCCTCGTCCCGGAAGAGATGGTACCTGCATCCATCACACAAAACATAAGTTCCTCACTTGGGTCTAATCCTACATATGTAAATGTGGTTTCAAAATTGGCATTCTTAAACAATTAACAAAGAATTTTAACGAGCTCATTTACAGAATTTCCAATATCTTCACACACAATCTTACAGGTACTTCCCTTAATCCCCCTAATCTAATTAACTGATAATGATCCCAGAAAAAGATTATCTAAACATCATGGTTCAATTAGATCAAATCAATAGTCTCATGAATTTTATCATAATACTAAGGCAATAAGAAAGAAGCGGGTTTAACTTACTCGTTCTCGCCGAGCTTGACCTGGGTACCACCGTACTCTGGAAGAAGAACAGTGTCGCCTTCCTTCACAGAGACCGGAATCAATTTCCCGTCCTTATCCCTTGATCCAGGTCCAACAGCTATCACCTTGCCTGAGTTCAGCTGCAATCAACCAAAAAATGTTTATCGTGTTCAGATCTTAGAGGCCAAAATCAGCGGAATCAAATCGTGAAATCAAAGCTCTTTTACCTTGGAGGATTTCTCAGGGAGGAGAATGCCGCTTTCGGTTTTTGCAGGCTGGATGACTCTCTGCACCAAGATGCGGTTGAACGTTGGGATGAGACGCTTCATCATTTCTCAATTCTTCTTCTCTCGGATGATGAATCGGGATTTTCTAGGGTTTCTGAGGTTTTAATTGGGGAGAGAGAGACACAGGAGAGGGAAGAAGATTCTAGATCGTAGGGTTTAGCGTGGCGGAAAAGGCCAAGGGTTTTGGGTGTAATTCGCACTTATTTGGGCCTATAATATCCTGATATCTCTTTAATGGGCCTGACCCATTTGTACACGGAAACATAGAGACACTCTGTGTTGTGTGTTATTTACTTATTTGTTGGAGCTCCACTTTGCAAAGTTTTGGATGCATTAAGGTAAGTTTGAGTTACATCAAGAACAAGACGTTTTCCGGTCCCTCTTGTGTTTTTTTCCGTCTTTTAATATTAGATATATTCCTCGGGATCTTAATTATAGGGCTGATTGTCTAGCCAAAAAAGCTCGGGCTCGGAATTGCCTGTTTTCCCATGTAAGCAAATCGGTTCCTGACTGGCTCTCCCCAGCGGAGAGTCTCTCTTTCCGATAACTTAATATAATGGTGTTTGACGAAAAAAAAAAAAAAAAGAACAAGACGTTTCTCTTTTGAAGAATCTCTCCCTGGATGAGGTGGGGTAGGGAAGTTCTTTACATCGCTGCAGTGACATGGAATTTTGGGTTAAAGACCTTAGATTTATCAAATGTTCGAGCAAAATTGCTTATTCTTTTAGTCGGATAACGATAGAGTAGCTTGTTTACCTAGCAAGTGGTGGAAGTATTATCACATGGGAAATGGGATACAACATGGGAAATAAGGTGCTCAAATGATATAACAACGTTGTGCCAATCTGCCTTTGCGGACATTTCATGATTTATACACCACACATGCTCTTATTTTTCTTAATACAAACTGAATAGTCCATTTCCCGATTTATACCATCCATCGCCTTACAAATGTTCCAGATACCCGGGTTCGCCTTTGCTATAACAAGATTGGATACAAAGCTTAAGAAAAAAGGAGTTGACGCCACTAGCCACTTCCATCGAGTTGGCCTTGAGAAAGAAGGTGAGCCATGTATTGCTGCATTCACAATCAAAAGAGCTCAACACATGGTTTTGTATTTCCAAGAGTTGTAACTCCACATGATTCGACCAACAATTCTATGGTGAAATTGAATTTACTAGTATGGTACTCACTACAAAGTCTGTACCATCTAAATCCTAGACTAACTAGTATTTATGGAAACTGAACTTCAACACTCAGTATCATCCGTACCAATAAGACAATGTTCAGCAAAATTAAGACCATTTAAAAGAGATTGAATAAACTTACGGAGTGATAAACGTATGGAGATTTTCCCTGGCGCTCAAAATGCTTAGCCATTATGCAGAACTCGACAGGACCCCAATCCTCAGATTCATAGCAATTCCCAAGCGCCGCTTTATACAGCTTTACACCAAAAAAAAACAATTTCATCAAAAACTTCCACAAAGATATCTAATCACAGAGAACAAATCATCTCTAAACGACAAGTCAAATGTCTCGGGGAGAGACAAGAGATAACCTTTGCCGTGTCGGTTAGAAGTTCAGTGCCGGCAGGATAAGATGCATAAAACTGATCGCCCCTGGAATATCCTGCTCTTGTTCTGCAAAACATCCGAATCCGTATATTAAAATCAAACAAGAAGGAAAGAACAACTAAATGAAGCAAACTGAGATCGAAGGCTAAACTCATGAAGACAATTACGTGTTGTTCGTATAGAAGAATGTGAGAGCAGCGGTGAAGCAGTAGAATCCGGCGTAAGAGACAAAACGCCGTAGCTTCTGGATCTTTAAAACCTCTGCGCAAACATCCAGGACCGTCATCTTCACCCTCGAAAATTCAACTCACTCTAACGGTGTTAGAAAAGCTATGGAACTTCTTTCAGGTATTATGTCGAACACCTTGTGATCACTTTACCAAAAACAAAAAAAAGAACCTCACGCGAGATTCGCAAATTGGCGGCGAAGCAAATGGTAAACATCAATCAGGCTTAATATTGTCCAACATATTATGGGCCTTCCGGAGCTTTATCATTTTGGGCCAATAAATTTATTTTTGACAAAGATTACGTCAAAGCATCTTTGACAAGAAAATCAATACAATAAAACTACTAAGAGTCTCTCCAGCAATGACACATCAGCTTTTTAAACTATTGTGGAACTGACACATCATTAAAAATGATACCTAATCAAAACATAACAATTAATACAACTCATCTCTCCAGCATGCCACATCAGCTTTCTGTGCCACATCAGCTATTTATTAAAAAATGCATCATTTTAAAAAGACAACCAATCAAATTAAAATATATAATACACATACTTTTTTTTTTTAATTATGATACATGAATTTCTAATTTGTTCAAAGAAAAACAAAGTCAAATTATAAATAAAATGAATACACATTAGATTATGTAATGTTGACACATAAAAAAAAATTAATTATTTCATGGAATTGATCAAATATATAAATATAAACTTTATATCTACAGTTATTTTTACATAACATATTTATATTTAAGACGTTTATAATAAAAAAAAATTACTATATAACTCAACAATCAACATATACCGATTCAGTTTACACATAAATTTTTTGATATTCACGTCCACCAAAATTTTGATTTTGTACTACTAGAATTTGGTTTAGTAACTATATTCTTAATTAAGCCACTAATCACTTTTATTACTTTATGTCTTTCTAGAAGCTGATATTTCATTTAAAAAGTAAAATCAATCAAATTAAAATAAATAATATACATCAGCTTTTATTATCATAGACAAAATTTATAAAATATCTTAATTAGACGAATAGTTCATATTCCTAATTGTAAGGATTGTTAAAACACTAAATAATACAAATATATAAATTTAAACAAGCTTGTGTATTCCGTTTTTTGGTTTGATTTGGTTCAATATCATTTTTAGATACAGTATTTCAGTTTCGTAAATTATAGTCTGACACTATAAACAAAATAATGATGTTAATTGAGTATATCAAATAAAAAAAATAAAAAACTAATGGTGAATACTTTTTGTATTTTTATCTACGTTTATACGGTGTAATTACGTTATAAAATAATAGTAAAGTAGTGTTTCCTTGATTTTCTGCTAACATCGAGATTGTGGGTTTCTCCCTCAGTTACGAAAATGAGAAATTTTTTTACAAAATCCAGTAACATAATTGGAATAATAATTTTATATTAAAATTATGGTATAATTAAAATAAATTATAAGTTATCATTTTAACAAATCATTGTGATTTAAAGGTTAAAAGAATAGTTTTAGAAATTGAAAGTCTATGTTAAATTTTGAAGTGTTATTCAAAATTATGGTTGTGCACCATGTATATCTTTAATAGAAAGAAAGTAAGGTTCTTGAAATATATTAGTCGCTGAAAACTATATACATATAAAAAGAAATCAGATATTTGTAAAACGTTATACACATTATAAAAATAAAACAAAACAAAAAGACAAACACAAAAATTGACTATACGGTAAATTTATTTTATAAAAATAATATATAACATCTATTTATTAATATATGCATATTTAATAAAAATAATAAAATACTAAAATTTGAGTAAAGGTAAAATACCCAATCCTAGAATCATTGCAAACTTCTACCAATCATATTTGTAATTATATTAAAACAAAGCTAATTTACAAAAAAATACCCCGCGGCGGCAGAGCGCGGGTTCTTTATCTAGTAGTAATAAAATGAAAACCATCTAAAACTAAAACATGTCCGTTAAAATATATTAACCACGTGTTGACAAAAATAAAAACCCATAAAAATACGAGCCACGTTAAACTGGTTACAAGACAAAACAAAACACAAATAATTCAAAGGGATCTTTATGTAAAGGCACTACGAGCTAGTGGCGATAATGGAGCACGGCCCTACATTCTTCTTCTTGCTTTCCACTCTCGTCCTCGCCGTTTCCGTTAAGTCTCCTCCGCCTCCTCTATTTCCCGATGAAGCTCTCCCCACTAATTCCGGATACCTTTCGGTTAAACCAGCCACAGACTCCTCCATGTTTTATGCCTTCTACGAAGCCCAAAAGCCGACCACACTTCTTCCCGACACTCCGCTCCTCGTTTGGCTCCAAGGTGGGCCAGGCTGCTCTTCCATGATTGGCAACTTCTACGAGCTTGGCCCGTGGCGCGTTATGTCAAGCGCCACTGAGCTTGAACGCAACCCAGGCGCTTGGAACCGTCTTTTTGGGCTACTCTTTGTGGATAACCCTATAGGAGTCGGATTCAGCATCGCCTCCTCAAAACAAGACATACCCACAAATCAGAGACAGGTCGCTGAGCATCTTTACGCTGCTCTCGTGGAGTTCCTTGAGCAAAACCCAGGCTTCGAAAACCGACCGGTTTACTTCACTGGCGAGAGCTACGCTGGTAAGTACGTCCCGGCCATTGGATACTATATCCTTAAAGAGAAACCCAATGGGACAGTGAATCTAAAGGGCCTAGCCATTGGAAACGGGCTGACCGATCCCGTGACCCAGGTCCAAACCCATGCGGTCAACGTTTACTACTCGGGTCTGGTCAACGCAAAACAGAGAGTTGAAGTGGAGAAAGCGCAGGAGATATCCGTAGCTCTCGTGAAGTCACAGAAATGGCGTGAAGCAGCAGACGCGAGGACCGAGCTGTTGACGCTACTAAGTAACATGACAGGACTCGCGACGCTCTACAACACGGCACGTTCGATTCCTTACAGAACAGACCTCGTGGTGGACCTTCTAAACCAGGGAGAGGCTAAGCGAGTTTTGGGAGTAAGCGAAACGATGCGTTTTGAGGATTGTAGTGATGAAGTAGAAGATGTGTTGCGGGAAGATGTGATGAAGAGCGTAAAGTTCATGGTGGAGTACGCATTAGAGAGGACTCAAGTGTTGCTGTACCAAGGAATGCTTGATTTAAGAGACGGTGTCGTTTCGACGGAAGAGTGGATGAAGACTATGAACTGGTCGGGGTTGGGGATGTTCTCGACGGCGGAGAGGAGGGTGTGGAAGGATGAAGACGGTGCGGTCGCTGGATATGTTCAAAGATGGGGGAATTTGTGCCACGTGGCGGTTTCAGGGGCTGGACATTTTGTTCCGACAGATGAAGCTGTTAATTCAAGGGATATGATTGAAGGCTGGGTTTTGGGGAAAGGATTGTTCGGTGGTAATGAAGATATGAAGCAGACAATTTCGTCGAGCTTTTACAATTCAATCTAGATAAAGGTTGTGTGTACTTGTACCAGTTCTGTGTTAGTCAATAAGATTCAGATTCTAATTGTACGTCATGTTCTCAAATTCCATTTCAGTACGAATTGGTAACTTTTAATTCCGGGGTTTTATCATTAGCCTGATCTCTGAAATCTGAAACTTCCTCAAAAACATGTAGCATTCAAACCTAAGGTCTGGTTAAAATTTGAAGCATAAATATTAACGAATTTTATAAAAATGTAATGGCGATTGGAGGCGGGATTGTGATTGAGATTCAAAGTGATTGAATAGAAAACTAGACAAACACAATGAAAGCACAGAGAAACCCGTACTATGAAGCCAATTTCGTTTTAGGGAAGAAGAGCAAGGGCACCCCGTAGAAAACCTACAGGTATTTCAGAGCTATATTTATCAAATCTCTCCCCTGTTTTTTGCCTCTTTCCCAATTCTCTTTTCTATGAAAAACAGAATGAAAAAAAACTAGTGATCATGAAAAATAAATCTTCAGCCTAAAAAACGTTTAGGGCATGAGACCCATAAAATCGAAAAATGAAGCAAAAACTCATCGGAATCCTAATGACGGCTTCTACTTGTGAAACTCGCAGCTTTATAGTGCCAAGTTAGGAGAGTTAGGGCTGACGATAATCATTTTAGTTGGACCGAATTAAAAATTTGGGTTCAGAGTTAGATAACTATTAAGCCCATTGGGCTACTGTGTATAGTCCGTGTCCATCGTTTGACCTACACTACACAGCTACACTACAGTTTATTATGCTTATCGAAACAAACAAACAAACAAATTGACATCACTGATCACTTCACCATTATTTCTTAAATTAATGTTATAATAAAGTATGAAAAACCCCCATGATTAATTAATCCTATGGATCGATTCGTACGTTTTTTGGATGTAAAATAAACATAAACAAAGTAGAGGTCAATGTTTCATATAATTATTGGTTGTTAAATTATGATCGATAGTACATTAATGCGATTGACATTTAATAATATATACTCCGATCATCTTTTTCATCGGAGCTTCAAGTTTAATGTAATCTTGATTTGAATTGGCCGTGTCGACAAATTTGTAAAAGACGTGTAAAGCTGAAATTGAGAAGAAACAAAGGTGAAATTGTAAGGAAACGTGATGGATGGTGGCCCCATCAATGCAACGATAAGGTAACGCGCTAATCATTTTTTATTGCTTAAAGCCAAAGCAACCTTAGCCGTTTTTATTTAATATTATCCAAATAATTCCCTTATAAATAAACGACCAATCCCACCACTTGTCTCTTAAGCAACAGAAAATGGAAACTATACTGATCATCTCTTCGTCGCCACTCAGGTTCCATCCATTGAGGACATCACAAAAGATCGCCACCGGAACCAAGAGAAGAAGAACCACCACCGTGTGTGCCGACTACTACCGAGGAGGAAGAACGGTGGACGAGAACATGGTGGTTCTTAGGAAACGGATCCATGAGATGAAGATGGTTGAACGCAACTATGAACCTCCTTCTCATTGGATGCAATGGGAGAAACTTTTATACTGCAACTACGACGCTACTATATGTGACGCTCTCTCTCTTCTCCAAACTTTTCTCATGAACTCTCGTCCCAGCGTCGCGTTTGGAACGTTGCTTCTTCTCCTTGTCAGCGTTCCCGTCTCCTCTGCCGTTTTTGCGTTTCGCATCCTTGATATAACTCTTTGGCTTTTGGACGCCGCTCACGTAGTATGATCCGATTATACATATGTAGTCTTTGTTATTTTTTCTTGTGTTTATCCAAAACTTGAAAAATTTATTTGTAGAGATATTCTAAGAAAAATCTTGATTCTATCTAAAGAGTCCTAATTTCATCTGGTTTAGGAAAACCAAGATAAAGAATCCTTGTATCATACGATATAGGAAAACAATGTAATCAGTGTAAAAATATATAAAGTCAATGAAGATTTATCAAAGAGTACGTAGCAAATAGAAAATAGACGAGACAATTCAATGGACGTAACGTTACCACATGATGTGGTAGAAGATATTCTTGAACGACTTCCCGTAGAAACACTCGTTAGATTTAAATGCGTTTCTAGCACATGGAGATCCACTATCGAGTCACAACCTTTCAAGGAGAGACATATGATTCGTGGACAGTTACTCGAAGATCCCGATATCCTCCTTCGCGGGCGTTGGGATCCTCGCAATCTATCCAACAATGCTTCTCTAATGACATTGACGTTTGACTCACCGACCCCGCTGGTTTCTTTCAAGACTCAAAGTTGCTAACTTTTTCAGAGTCACTCAAAGTTGCGACGGTCTTGTGTGCATATACGATCTTGAGAGTTTGATGTGTGTGATGAATCCGGCGACGAGATGGCAGAGAAGTCTTCCACAGCCAGAAGTGCTTCAACAATATCAATCGTTTGATTGTTTGATACACGAATTCCCTTCGCTTGGGTTTGGTAAAGACAATATCAAGGGCATATACAAGATGGTATGTCTATATAAGTACTACAATTTAAACTATACAACATGCGAGCTTTTCTGTTTTGCCACCAATACTTGGAAACACATCAAGATCATTCCTCCTTGCCAAATACTATCTTCCGAGAGGCCAGTCTATGTAGACGGATTACTTTACTGGTTAATCTACGGCAATCAAGAGAGGGATACGGTAATGGACATACTATGTTTTGAATCTTCACACGGAAATATTTAGTGTCATGTCATATAGTCCGATTGGCAAAACACTTCATCCATTGGTCGAGATGAGCAGTCTCGATAATCGGCTCTGCCTGTCCGTGCAGACGTCGACAGGGCTAGATATATGGTTGGCAACAAACCATATATGGAAAAAAGCATATATAATCGATAATCCTTTAGGCTATGGTTGTGTACAAATCTGGTTGATGGCTCCAGTCAGCGATTTGGGAAAGAAGAAGAAGAAGAAGAGGTTACTGGTTTATGATTCGAACATGGAGGCTACTGGTTTAGTGTTATATGATATGAGTCAATCAGAAAGAACGTTTCCTAACTTTTGTTTATCATTCAAAAACGGAGAGACACCCACTGCTAATTTCCCAAGCTTAGTCACTATTTAAATTTTGACATAGTTAATAAAATTGTGACGTTAGACCTGCTTTTGTATTTTTAATGATCATCTATTAGTTGAGTTACAGATGAAGATGGTAACAATAATGAAAGGCGAGAGATTAGATAGGACTCCACAAAGGAGCTATTCTGGTATGACATATAGATATAGAAGGGTGTATTGAATATTCCAAAAATTCGAAGAGAAGAATCTATACAATCTGTAAGAGGAGAAGAGAGAAAAGAGACCTGAAGCAGGCGACTTTGGCATCTCAACCTCAACGTCTTTGTATCTGTTGTCTGTAAGTTACAACAAAAACAAAGCTCAGTTTCAGAATGTTAAACCATGTGAGCTTTTTCTTTAAGTTAACTCATCTCTCCTTTTCCCTTTCACTTTCAGTGTTACTGAATGTGTTCATAACCATATAGTTACTATTATATCTCTTTAAATAGTGTGGATTGTGGTAATACTTCCGGTTCTTCTGCTGCGTCCTCCAGTAGCAAGCGAGCGCCCCAAATGCGCAGCTTGCAAGTGCTATGGCCAATGCAGCTCCCACTGGCACAACCAGAGCATTGGTCGGTACTGCCATCTCTTCTGCAGCTGCAACCACCTCCCCCTTGCTCACACTGTCACCATTTTTCTTGTAAACGGACACCAGTTTCTGTCCATAGTACTTCTTCAAGAATTTGTAGACTTCATCATGATCCCAGTCAATGTTTTTCTCGGTGCTCGAAAGATAACACGACGGGCAAAGCTGCTTTGGTGGCCATATCATCTTTGGGAACTTGGGGTCTCCTGTTCCCAGAGAATCTTCGTCCTTCTTGAGTCTCTCATTGACCTTGTTGTGTGTGCTCCACAGCCACAAGACGATATCACGGGCCTTTTTAAATGGAGTTTTGACGCTGTCAGTGAAACACATAAGCTGTTACATGTGATAATCGAGCTTGTTAACCAACCCCCGGATATGTCTTTACCTTAAGCACATGTCGTGAAAATGCCGACGGCAATCATCACACATGAAGAAGTTGTTTATGAACTCACAAATGGCCGTGAATGCAAACTGACTTTCTCCATCCTCAATCCTCACGGAAAGTGAATGCATTAAAACCCATAGTCCGCAGCTGCAGCCAAAATATTTTGATAAGAGTTCAGGAGCTTCTGCTTGAATCATACAAAATATGACAACAGATTAATTTTGCAGAAGACTACCTGAATCCCCTCGTTTCGTTTTTGCTGCCACGGCAAAACCTCTGCCAAAGTATGATTACGTACAGAAAACAGGAGAATCAGATTTCTGTGTTTAAGCACAGGAAAAAAGAAAGTGGTTGGTTGGGCGGCACTCACGTAATATCCGCGCGGAACATCCTTTCCACATATATGGAAGTTTCGTAAAGTATCTTTCCCTCCAGATTCCTGGTCATACGAGCATTCGCCCGATGGGCATAAATCATCAAAATTCACAAGAATTTCAGCGCTTCCCGTACGGCACCTATAGAAATTTTCAGCATCTGATTAGGCATGAGAGAAAAGAGTGAGCAGCAAATCTTTAATTTGAAATATGAAGATTAGATACTACCTTCTTGAAGGATGATGTGCCACTAAAAGCTGCAGAAACCTAATAAACGAAGCACTGGTTTCAGATGACTTGATTGCCTGTGGTCATGAACACTACCCATAAACAAGGCTGAAAGGGATTTAGTTGCATACAACAATAAAGCAAAAACTCTTCTCTACCTTATGTGACAAAATGATATCAAAAGCTTCTTCTGTTGCCTCCTCAATGTCAAATATGGCCTGAGAAATCTGAGATAAATCAACAACCAGATCTATTTAGTGTGTTGGAATTAAACCAAATGGTTCCACAATAGCAAAGTGGGGGCAGAAGACATTCTGAGATACCTGTTCCTGGTCAGATATATTTGTCAAGAGATTTCCAAATTTCTGATCATCTAAGCCGTAAGAGCTGCACAACATTAACAAAAAAATTTACCCAACTGAATAAGTTACAGGGGTTTTCATATTAGCCAACATAGAGAGAAATAGATTGTTGAATTTTAACACAATAGACATGACTTTAGCTTAAAATGGTAGCCATGAAATTTCAGTGCACACATACCTGCCCATCTGCTTGTTGATCCAGTTCAACAAAAGATCAGCAGTGCGCCATTCATCGACTACGCTTATCTCACTTTTCTCTTGTTTAGGTCCCCAGCTGCCACCAACGAACTTTTTAGGAGGAGCCCAAAAGAGCATTGGATAATGATTGATGGAGAACTTGTCACAAAGCTTTACATTCATCTGCGCTGCCAGAAAATTCATAAGGAACAATTAGAATGAAATATAGTTTTCAATCCCCAATCTCTGACTCACACGATCCACATGAAGTAAGAGAAAAACAGCTAAAGAAAGTTCAAGATACACGTTGTCTCTATAAATCAGGAAAATGGCGCCAAGTACCTTTATTGCACAATCAACTCTGGTCATCAAAACAACACCAGGATGTACTGCGTCTGCCCCATTGAAGAGCCTTGCAACTTTTTCATAATGTGGCTGCAGATTCACGCATTGAATATAAACAAGTAAACAACATTGACAAGAGAAGGCATTGAATAACGAAAGAGAAGACATTAAATGGAGTTGTTACCTTGTAGTTTCTACATGCAGGACACCTAGAGCCAAACAAAATTATGGGTCAATGTCAGTACTACATTCTATTGGATGGTAAAGCTAAGTTATTTTCGGATAAATCTCACGAGATTGGATAATGTAAAGTCAGGTTCGAATATGAAGAACCCTTGCAATAAGATCCAGTTCTAAACAAACCAAAAGTTGAATTTTTTGATTCAGATTTTTCACGAGAGAGAGAAAACTGACCAGTGAGCGAAGAACTCTAAAACGGCATATTTGGCGGGTGAATCTTGGAAAACTGAATCAAAGTTGGTAGCGTTTAATTCGAGAGCGTTGTCTTTCTGATCGGCGTTGTTACTGCCGATGTCCCGGAGAATCGAGCGCGATCCTGGTGAAAACGACGCCGCAGCTTCAAGGCTCACCAGACCCACGAACATAAACAAGTGTATCAAAGACATTGAATCGGATAAAGCATAAAAAATTGAAGCTTGATCCGAATGAGAGGGAAGATCTAAGAGCAAAAAGAGCTTCCCTCCTTGTTCCGTTGAGAAACGAAGGTCTCTGGTGTTTTATTACGACGTCGTAACGCTTTGACCGGCGTCGATACTTGTTATCCTCCGACTACTCTCATACTGGGCTTTATTATAACGTTATAGGCCCATTACTAATTTCCATTTGTGTTTGTGTTTGTTTTTCCTTGTTGACCCGCCCAAAAAGAAAGAATTTGAATGTAGATAACGCTAAATTAAAATTCTCTCTTGTAGTCAAATAAAAAAGTTGGCAATTTTGTTTGGAAATCAGATGAACCGTTTGTATTATCCAATAGAAAACTTATGGAATTGTCTTATTTGAGATGTTATTGTTTTGTGATTTCAGATTGGATAATACTAAAAAACATTTGTTGGTGTTAATATTTGTAAATATAGATGGTCTTATAACGGAAAATGCGATGTGGAGAAAGCGCCGGAGAATGACGTAGCGAGTTGGGTCATGGGACGATAGTTGTCTACGCGCCACCGACTGAGAAGAAAACAAGAGGTAAGTGAGCAACGGCTGAGTCAGCATAATCCTTGGAAAAAATCTACAAAGTGACTCCAACCACAAGTCAACACCATCTGTCTTAGTCACGAAGAGACACACATATACACCTCACAGTCATACATTTAACAATTTTAACACATAGCTTCCCTTATATTATTGCCACTTCTCTTGCACTCTTCTTCGGTATCAATTGTTTTTAGTGCCTTTCTTCTTGGTACAGGGAAAAATTGACACTAAAATGAATCGATCATGTGCACATCCTCTACCTCTTGATAATTAGTATACCACTTAAATCAGAATGCAGTAACACGGTCCACGTGCATGAATTCATTTTCTGACATATTTGGTTTCCTGATTTCTGAATATTATAATTGAGAACCATTAATGTATGTGCATTACCTGAAAAATGAAACAATTATAAAGTTTATACTCTGAAAATATTTTTATTGATTTCCACGTTAAATCTTGTTACAAACTCAAAAGGATGAAATGAAATATTAACAACCATTCTTAAAAAAAAAAAAAAAACAACCATTCTTTATTTTTGCCAAGTATATACATAGAGAGAATTTTTAGAAGTCCAATTTAAAGATTCTAAATATGCTAATTTTGTTCTCACGCAGCAATAGCATCTAGTATCCACCGTTAGTTATAGAGCTTACTTTGTTGGATAGGCCCTTTTATTATGCGAATATCCCACTTGTTCCTTTGTTCTAAAAAAATCAAATTATATTATAACCCAATAATTCCAATTTATGACATCATAATTTCGTTTAGCTTAAATTAAATTTTGTTAGAAAATAACTGAAAGGGGTTTTCTAAATCATCTCACAGACTAAAGTGGTGAATTCAACTAATTGATTTGGGTGAATTTTTGATAACGGAAAAAAGTGGGGCAAGAGGTAATAAAGCATGGAGTATAAGGGTCGAATATGCAAAAAAACATAAAAACAGGAGGTGCTTCAATCCTTTTATTAAAGAGTCCCCTTTTATTGACTCTCTCTCTCTCTCTCTTGTTTCTCCTTGTATGAACCAAACCAATAATCTTGTTTCTCTTCATTTGCTTCAATCCTCTTGAAATTCTCATCTTCCATTCACGTTTCCTTCTATCCTCTTTGCCTTCATTTTTAATTCGCACGCTAATCTTCTTCTGCTTTGCTAGATATTCGGTTTTGGGTTTTCTCTTTGGTCGATTTCTCTGTTCTCAGAATCTCCGATTAAGCTGCTTCGTAATCTCTTGTCTGTATACGCGCGTTTATAAACTTTTCCGGCGTTTATTTAGATAGGTGATTCAAGTACGACTAGTGAGAGGAGTGTTTTTGCTGACGAAAGCGGAAGCTTTTGTTGCCGTTTGATTCCGTTCAATCTGATTTTGTGGTGTCTGAGTGAAGAAGAGAGATGTTGGGAGCTGGATTTCAGTTGACTCAGCTTCAGAGAGCTCAAAGCGACGTCTTTTATGGCGGCAGATCGATTCACACTAAGGAACGCGAGAACGGCTCTGCATTGCAGAAACACCATGTTTCTGAGGCTTCTTCAAGTAATGTGGAACGGTTTTTGCAGTCGGTGACACCATCTGTGCCGGCTCACTATTTATCTAAGGTTTGTTTCAACATGTCAAGTCAATACCTTTTTTCAAAAACAAAAACTTTAATTAGCTTTTTCGTCTAATTGATGTGTAGACAACAATAAGGGAAAGGAGAGGCAGTGACATTGAGTCGCAGATTCCTTACTTTGTTCTTGGAGATGTATGGGAATCGTTTGCAGAGTGGAGTGCTTATGGCATTGGAGTTCCTCTCACTTTGAATAACAATAAAGATCGAGTCTTTCAATATTATGTGCCTTCGCTTTCCGGTATTCAAGTATATGCTGATGTTGATGCTTTAACTTCATCTATTCAAGCAAGGTAATAAGTGTTTAAGCTTATGTTTTCATTAAGTTCTTGAACCTGAAGTGCTTTCAGTCTATAAAGCTCAAGTCTTTGTCTTTCTATAAGAAATTTGGGGTGTTGTGTTTATCAATGTGCAGGCGGCAAGGGGAGGAGAGCGAAAGCGATTTCAGGGATTCAAGTAGTGAAGGAAGCAGTAGTGAATCCGAAAGAGGACTTTGTTATCCAAAAGACCAGATCTCTGCTAGAATGGACAAACTCTCGTTAAGAAAGGAGCATCAAGAAGACTCGTCAAGTGATGATGGTGAGCCTTTAAGCTCTCAAGGTCGTTTGATATTCGAGTATCTAGAACGTGATCTTCCTTACATCCGTGAACCCTTTGCCGACAAGGTTTGTTTATTTTTGCTCTGACTATCAAGTTATTAAGGCATATGCAAAAGTTATTAGAAACCAAAAGGATTCAATATTCTTGGTATGATGTTAAATGTCTCATATTTTGAAATAAATTTTGCATGAGGCTACACGGAAGTTAGGTATTGAAAAATGTATTTATTGATGTTTTGAGCTTCTTTTGTAATTTTTACTGTTATCAGATAAGTTGTGACTTTCAAAAGCAAACAGTTGAAGTAACATCAAAGATTTATTTATGAAAGTACTGCTATTAGTCAAATGCAACAACTCTTCCGTAGTTGTTCCAAAGTATCCATTTAGGACTATCAACTGACTGTGTAAAGTTCAAATGCTGTCTAGTGACTGGTCCAATTCTTGAATTTTAATTCACCACTTTATGATCTACAAAAATGCAATCCCAGTAGCTCTCTGATACAATGCTACCATTGCAGATGTCTGACCTTGCCTCTAGATTTCCCGAGCTGAAGACGCTGAGAAGCTATGATTTACTACCTTCAAGCTGGTTTTCTGTGGCATGGTATGGGTTCTTTGTGACATGCGTATGTGCTTTGTTCCACATTACCCTATTGTCTCTCTTAGAATCTATTACTCTACTACTTTTGCAGGTACCCAATATACAAGATACCCACAGGACCTACCCTCAAGGATCTGGATGCTTGTTTCTTGACTTATCATTCCCTTCACACACCCTTTCAAGGTAAGATTGGTGTTGAGCATTGTTTATAGTAAGGAACACTAGTTCATTATTCTAACCATGGCCACATCATCAGAATTTGTATGTTTCAAATGATCCTAGAATAACAGCTTTTAAGTAAAGATACATTCACTATCTAGCTAAATATATCTATCTTCGGCTCTTGTAGGTCCAGGAGTTACAACAGGGTCTATGCATGTGGTGCAGCCAAGGGAAAGTGTTGAGAAGATGGAACTGCCTGTCTTTGGTCTCGCCTCATACAAGTTGAGAGGTTCTGTATGGACAGGCTTCAGGGGATCTGGACACCAGGTCGCGAACTCCCTCTTCCAAGCCGCAGACAATTGGCTGAGGTTGCGTCAAGTCAACCATCCTGATTTCATCTTCTTCTGCCGCCGGTAATGATATGATTATACTATGATGACGAAAAAGGATATAGGAAGTTATAAAAAGGAACTCTTTATGATTACTGTCCTGAGGAGACCATACATATAGGATACCGTCAAAAGTTTTCTTATTATGTGTAACACTGTTTTTGCAATAAAAGCTAATAGTTGAGAAAAAAGGAGGATTCAATGGTCCTATCTGTGGCTTCGGGTTCTAGAAGTTTCCTCTTGATGGCATCGGAGCAAAGACGAGCCATCATATGGTGGAAGGAAAGTAGATCAGACAACCGCTCCGCGGAAAATTTGTCCATTGCTCTCTCTTGCTCCTCTTTCCTTTTCATCCTTTTCATATACACACATGAGTTCCTCACCGTCGCTCCCATCTGCTGTAGCCTATTCTCTTGTTGCTTGCTTAGAACCGTATTTGCCTGCATGATTCATTCACCCATGTCAGAAAATTCAATCATGAATGGCAAAACATAAAGCATGTATGTATGTATACCAAACGAATCTCTAACCTCTAGAAACTCGGCTTGGGAGAAGCTTTTGACGATCGTGGTTGTCTTCCTCTTCATCTCCATCTGTGTTGCGTTTACTTGTTTCTTTTGAAATGCAATCACAGCTTTCACAAACTCCTGATAAACTAAAGCGCAGCCCGGATAATCAAACTCATCAGAGCCTGAAAGCCTCATCCTCTCAGGGTGAAACTGCAGACCCATCAAGAACTGACCTTCCTTTGGATCATATCGATTCGGATCATAAAATCCTTCAATCAAACCATCAGGAGCGTAAGCCATTGGCACAAAACGTTGCGCCAGTCTTTTCACACCTTGATGGTGATATGAGTTCACCATTATCTCCATCTCCTCGAACAACTTATGTAACGGCGTCTCCTCCACGATTCTAGCCTCGTGCCTGTGCCCATCGTAGTTGTCATAATCTATATGCTTAGTCGTCGTTGTTGTAGTTCCGAGTTCTTTGTCGATGTCTTGGTAAAGAGTTCCACCTGCGGCAACGTTGAGAATCTGAGAGCCACGACAAATGCCTAAGAAAGGAATGTTTCTTTCAAGACAGAGTCTAGCCAGAGTCAGCTCAATGCTGTCTTTTTCTCGGTCGATGGTCATGTCCTCTGCATGCACCTTCTTGATCTCCTCCATGTCTTCCGGTGAGAGACCTGAGGATTCTGCGTCGGCGTAGAGAGAAGGATCTACATCTTCTCCTTCGCAGAGGAGGACACCATGGATGGGCTCGAAGCTCTGGAGCATAGAATGGATCCCATTGACACGAGGCACGATGACAGGGACGGCACCGGAGGAGACAATGAGATCGAGATGGTATTCTCCTACGAAGTCCACGTACTTGTTCTTACGGAGAGTCCGACGAGAGACGATGAGAACTCTGGGGAGAATCTTGGACGAGAGATCATTAGCGACCACCATTTTTATGTACTAATTAATTCTCTTTTTCTTGTTTGTCTTGTTTATGTCTTAATTCTCTCTTTTTTATTTGTATGGTTATGTCTTAGTTCTCGTTCTTTATTTATAGATTGGAAATGAGGCGTCGAGGCGCAGCGTCTATACAATGTACACACTCAAAGCTGACGCACACTTTTTGTTATCTGTACGTTTTTGGTCAAACTTTTCTGATTGGATGCTGACATGGACTTGTCTGGATATTCCAAATTATTCCTTCTTTTGATTAGGTTATTAAACAAAAAAAACGTTTTCTTAGTAATAAATGGGGTTCATATATGGATCAGATTAGGTTTTAGGAGGATTAGATATGAATGGATGACTCATTGACTTGTAACAAATAACAATATTAGGCATGCAGAGCATATATGTATATCTATATATCTTTATTTTATACTATATATGCATGTCTTTCTGTATTTGGAGGATGTTGAATTAATTATGGAAATCACGTCATCCTAATCAGCCACCGGTTCAGTCACCCATACGTGTAAAAGATAACGTCGTAGACTTTCAACGAATCTGTATGAATGAAAATGTAAGAAGAAAAAGATCGCTGTTGTTGCCGGAGTTGAGCGCTCTTGTCTTCATAAGGCCTTCAATATCCTACTCACTTTTCGTTTATGAGGGTTATGAATTGAAAAACTGAAAGATAAATGGCCCATTCTCCATCGCATAAGAGATTTATTTAGACCACTATTTCTAAAACTAGGATTGTTCACAATTTCTTCGTATCTAGACGGAAGTAACATATAGGAGCTCTAGTCAGAATTTCACCTAAAAAAAGTAGTAAGCGAACATCATCCTTTAGAACAAGTCTTGTTCGTGGTTCTTTCTTTATTTCGAATAATCGTATTCAAAGTTACATTTACCTCTTTTCTTTTGTTTCGTTTCCCATTCAAGATTCAGAAATCAGAGCTGACTTGGAAATTAGAACAAAGAGTGAAGAAAGAGAGGAGAAGCTAATAAGTTTTTGAACTTAAAACGGAAGTGTAACATCGTTTCTTCTTGTGATTCTCAGCCGCTCCACGCTTTCTATGAACTCACTGTCATATTCAAATCACAACACATGTAAACGCTTTATTTCAATGATTTACAAGTTTGTTTATAGAAAGTCTAAAGAGCTTACTTCCATGGAACATCCCCAGCATTCCTCCAGATACCTTCTTCGTCTCTGTAGATCAAACAGAACTCAGACTCCATCTGGAACAACCTCAATCCCGACACACTCTGCATCCCTGCAGATTGTAATGATCATCCGGTATAAAGCCTACTAGGAACATTACCACTTACTCATCTTTGAATCCCAAAAGGAGTAAATATCTAAAAATAAGTCATTCAAAACTAAAGAAACAGGCACTTGCATCCCCACCCATGCAGAGGAGAAAAAGCTTCCCATGAAAACCTTACCAAACATGTCCTCGAGTTGATGAGCAAGAGTTGAATAGCCTCCATGATCAAGAACACAGACCTTGCGACCTACCACAAACCCATCCATAGTGACCTTTACATAACCCCACTTCCGTCTGTATCCTTCGTTACTACAATATTCTTTACCACATGAAATAAGTAAACACTGTCTCAGAGTTGAAAAAAATTACCAAGAAATGCAAGGTGACTTATAACTTTAATTATATGTTAATGTTAGCTGTTGAGGTAACGGAAGGCGGAAGCAGCAAAGAAACTCACTTTGGCCAGATGTATGGTAAATCTCATGTTGAATGGTTCTCAGGCTGAGACCTAAATCGATTACGCCACCACACTTTGTGTTCTGAGGGTAATATGGATGATACTTGGGAGAACTTGGGAAAACACCGTGGGGGTCTGCGTCCATTGTTGTGTTTCTATAACAAATACATATTCAGCAGAGTGTGGATTTATATCAAGCAGTTAAGGCTAAGAGTGTCAGGAGAGTTAAGAGAGATAATCTTAGACAGGGAACAGACAAAAGACAAGAACCCATTACCAGCCAGGAAAGGGTCAGTTTGTGGTCTTTTTGTTGTTTGTTTGATGCCACTAAGTGCAAGGGATGGGGAGGTCACCACAGGTTCAGATTTTGTAACACATACATTTCTGCAATATTTCTGGTCAGCTAACACAAAAACCTGAAATCATCAGTAAAGTCAGGATTGTACTATACTAATCACAGCAAGCACATCTCTATCTAGTGAAGTGTCTCAATGTTATCAGAGAGTGTCGACAACTCATTGTCTCAAGTCAAAACCTGAAATCACTCAACAACAAACACGTTACAGAAGAAATAGATAATTCGTGCTCGAGAACTATGTAGGATGGAGAATCCAACGAATTTAAATATGGACAGGGAAAGAAAAGAACTAGGTATGGTCTTACATGATGGTAGAGAGACAATATCTTTCATGAAAGAGAGCTCTGTTGTTTAATACTAGACAATTCAGATCTATTATTATATCATGTATCCCACACCTTATCTGAGAAGTAGGGCTGTGTCATTAATGGATCTAAGACAGAAAATGTACACATAAATCCATGTCTATACAATTGCTCTCATGGATAACTTAAGTCCTCCAAAAGAAGCAAACCAGTACAAGGGAACACACCAATTCTTCTAAAAATTAAAAGCTCGTTGCAATAAAAAAAAACAAGAGAAATCATCACAGTAGACAAAAGCTTCCAGCATCTCATTTGATGGTTTTCCTAATTCACAGGTGTGTGACTTGAAAAAACTGCCTCCTAAGCTCATGTACAGTTTGCCCGGATACTAAATGTACGTGTCTTAAACGGAAGACATCCTTATTAACAGACGCTTCTGATATACACTTCTTAGACATCGCCTTAGTGCAACGTCTACATGCGTATATAGCATGCAAAGAACAGAAAAGCCCAAAATGTTTCACTTATGCGGAATCATGGTGGCTAAGAAATTCAGTTATGCAAGGATAGACTTGCTCCACAGCCTGTAGTGAGATTATCAGAGAAACGATTAAAAAACAAAACAAGCACGCACATGATATAGCATTGAACAAAGTTCCAACATAGGAGACCTAGAAATGACTGGGGAACAACATACCAGTCGTCCTCCAACCAAATCATAGTGTGCGTAATGTGGTCCGTCCTGTTCTCCAAGTAACTTATAAGTGACCAAGTTCTCGGGAAACAGCTTAACAGTGTCTGCCATATTCACAAGCATTTGTCATTAGTAATAATGGTGAAAATGGCATGTATGAGATTGAGCATAGTAAGCAATGTGTTAACTAGCTTAACAATTTATTTGGTGTGTGTGTGGAAAGGATCATAAAAGTTAATCCATCTACGCCTCATACAGCCTCTCATAACTAAAAAAAAATCAGTAACAACATTGTAGAATTTAAAATGAAATGCATATCTGGGCAAATGAATGGGTTCATGTATATTCTAGGATCATCTATGCAAAATTTCATAATAAACATTAATCTAGTATACCTTCCACAGCCGCAGGGGGACAGATTAAGTCCCGATCACCTGCAAGAGCTAAGACAGGGACACTGGTTCTGGGAAGATGATCCTTGTAGTAAAATTTACCACTACGATCACGTAAGCCTCCCTCTCGAAAGGCCGTTGTCAGCTGAATAAGTAGTTTTGCAGGTATGGTACCTAGATGTAAGAAAACAAAGAAACTCTTTAAAATCACCATATAGGAAGCAATTACGGATTGCGAAAACAAGTCATGGTACATTCATGCATCTAATAGTAACTGTTCTGGCATTTTCTTTTTCTTAATGTTTTCCAGTTAAACTACACTAAGAACTCACATACTTAAATGGGATCAACTGTTTGTACTTACAGAAGTTATTCAAGACAAGCTTTTCTAACATTTCAGGGTGCATCATATCTGTTGATGATATCAAATCATTAAGCCAAGATAATACATATGGAGGACGTGTCGAAAGAGGAAAAGCGGCAGCCAACAGAGCGCCCAGCGGAACAACTGGAACACTCAGAGCTTCTGCAGGATTGGCCTGTAAAAGAAGTTTCTAGTAAATTAGCTACAAAAAAAACTTAGTGGCACATCAATTCTTGTTGAAGATTCCAGCGCAGAATGTGATAACATAAAGTCACGTACAAGAGGTATGAGCAATTTGAGTGCAGAATCTGAGGTTGTGTAATCAACCGATGATGCCAGAGTTGCCACAGCTACCACAGAAGGTTCTCGTCCTTCAAAAGCTAACGAAATGGAATAGAAGAAATGAATGCCAGCTTAAATATATGAGGCCTCTGTTTCCAAGAAAATGAGATCTAATGGAAAGAAGACGAATATTAACTTACCACAACGTGACAGCATTGCATAGAGTAGGATACCCCCCATGGAGTGCCCAATTGCGAATAGTTTGCCATCCTTGGGCTTGCTTTGCGCTCTAACATACTCAATCTGTAGAAACCAAAAACGGACACCCAGTTCAGTAACAAAATCCAGACACGATTATGCGAAGGATTCAGCAAGATCAACATTGCCTCACCGCAGCAGGGACATCCTCCTCCAGGTAGTGATCAAAATCCCAGTCATATTTAACTATCAAATCGAGTTGCTTCTGAAAATCTTCTATGGTCGCAGTGAGGCGTTCTTGTAAATCAATCAGCGGAGGCGAGACAGACCTTTGACCATCATCGAAAAGATTCACAAGGCGCTGGGCCAAATCTCTGATTTGGTTAACAAGTCCTGAGTTTTGCCTTGACTCAATCAAACTCAAAAGCTTGGATCTTATCTCATTAACGCGCTCGTACAGCTGTGTATCATCTACAAGCATTGCAATTTTGTCAAATAACTTAGCAGACATGAACACTGACTGACCTTCACTGAGAAAGCCAGAAAGTCTTTCTGACAAACGCATGAAAGTCGATGTCAATCTTGCCACAAGTTGTGACTCATCCCAAGCCGAGGCTTCGCCAACAACTGAAACATCCGACGCTGGTGCACTACTGTCCACGATATCAGTAGCCTGCTTTTCCTCGGAACAAGATTCTTTACCTGCAGCAGCTTTAGCAGTAGATTCTATCCGATTCGACAATTCATGAGCAGATTCCTCAACATCCTTAAGATCAGATACTCGTGTACTCAATCCAGCTCCACGAACCTCGAGAATCCAGGTCTCAAATCCCTGACCAGACATATGTCTTGCAAAAGAGCACTGCAATGACATCAACGAAGATTTACTTGAAATTCAGAGTTTTTGATCAACAATTAAATCTACTTCCTCATCCAAAGATACACTAGTGTAGTCATCTCCTTAGCGTGAATGTAGAACTTGATGGAAACAAATTGACATTAAAACGAAAAAAACATGAAGGTAACAACATACACCAGGAGATAAATCATATCCAATGGCATTAGTTCCTACTCCAGACAACAGCAACAACGGATGATTCCTCGTCGGAGCCTATGAGAAGATAGAAAATTCTTGATCACAAAAAAAAAAAAAAATCAAAATTGCAGATACAGAGAAGAACGATAGTTGGTGAATTTTGAAAACCTGAGGAGGAGGCAAGTAACGCCAGAGAGCGAGACGCCAATCGCTGTTAGGAACAGAGACGTAATGAAGCTCGTCGGCGGTGCAAAGAGAAGGTTTCGTGGGGAGCTTAACAGAGGAAGAAGAGAAAGCTCTCGGTCGAAACAACGTCGTACGGTGACGAAACGGAGGAGGAGTGACGGTGCTGATGGAGCGGTGGCAATATACGGTGGAGGAAGCCCGGCGAAGAGCTGAGCGGATCTCCAGAGGGAATTGGGGAGGCATGGTGGACATGGCACAGACTCTGGCAGATTTGGAAAAAAAAAATGGTGGCTCGGTTAACTCCGGCGTGTTTTTAAGGATCTTCATTCATTTTCCGGTACACGTGGAGAGACGACCAGTGATGTGATGATTGACGAAGACGTGACTTTCTTATTTTGACCGCGAATACTTTGGGCCCGTGCTATTGCAAAAAGCCCAAATCTACAGTTGGATTTTTTTGTTTCTTTGGACCTTTGGTGGTGCGTTGAAGACAAGGAAGGTATAGTGTAAAGGAAATTCTGTCCAATCATTTTGATTTGGAATTTAAGATGTGTTAACTAAAAGCAATTAATCAACAAAACCAGAATATATCACTGATACTTTATGTTATAATAATCCAATAATTTTCAAAAATAGATATATGTTATTATATTTACATAAACTAAATAATGTATCTAACTAAATAGCTAGTATCATCTTAATTATTAATTTTAAATTTACTATATACTAAGCGAGTAAGCGACTAAGTGAGAAGAATAAAGTCAGATTTGATCTAATTATAATCAAGATATTATTTGTACATTTAGTACTTTTTAATTTAAAATTTCACTAAATTTAAGAAATTTTGATCTAAAATGTAATTTTAAAAAATAAACCAAAAATAAAAACTTTCAATCAAATATAATATTATTTTTTGACTAATTTTGATATTTATTTCTATAATATTGGATCAATTGATTTCTTAACAGACTACACTATGAGTAGTCTCTATGGTTTCTGAAAGACAAAAACATAAAGCTAAAGAGAAGAGGTTGCTTTTTCTTTATTGGACGAAACACAACTTTATCTTTCCTTCCTTTGAAATCTCCCGGAGAAAACCAAACATATTTTCCGTTTCCCGCTTTAATCCATTCCTGTTTTCCCCAGTTCGCGACACACATAGAGAGTGTAGATACGCTTTCACGAGCGTCTCCGACGTCGGACTTCCGGCTTCCGCTCATCATCTCCACATCTCTAACGCTAAAGGTACACTCATCGTCTTCTCTCCTATCACCGATATATTTTGAGACAGAGGTTTAACAGTGGAATTTAGACTATTTAGTGATTCTAGTGTTTCTGGTTTGTGGCCATTGTGCATTTGCTTGTTGTTATAGGCGAGCTTGTAACTTGAAAGCTCTTATTGAGTTCGAGCAAGGTTTCTAATTCGGCAACTCTCAGCAAAAACCCTAGCTTTGAACCTATTTTCGTCCACTAACAGCTTCTCTTGTGGAATTATAGATTAAGCATGCCCGAAATTCAATTGGGTGTTCATACAATAAGATCCCATGGAGTCACAGTCGCGAGGTTCCATATGCATGACTGGCTCATTCTTCTGCTGCTTATCGTCATCGATATTGTTCTCAATGTCATCGAACCTTTTCATCGTTTTGTTGGAGAAGATATGCTCACTGACCTAAGATACCCTCTGCAAGACAACACAATTCCTTTCTGGGCTGTCCCGGTATTACATTTTTGGATTTTCTGATTTCTTTTACACAACAAGTAACTCTTGGACGGTTGGACCTACTTTATGTGATTCCTCTGGTAATTCTTTACAAGTTTTTTTTTGTTGACAGTTGATAGCTGTTGTACTACCTTTTGCTGTCATTTGTGTTTACTACTTCATCCGAAATGATGTTTATGACCTGCATCATGCAATACTAGGTACCTCTTTCTTCTTCCAATGGTGTTATGTTTCGAATTTTTTGTAGCTACTCTTGATTTTGAGGTGTGCTCTCTTGGGTCTTCTTCAGGTCTTTTGTTCTCTGTACTCATAACCGGTGTTTTAACCGATGCTATAAAGGACGCTGTAGGTCGACCTCGTCCTGACTTCTTTTGGCGTTGTTTCCCTGATGGTATAGGGGTAAGCAGCACACATCTCCTTGCTTACTTTTATAATACCGTGGATAATCTCTAACTGGTTGAAGTTTTGAAATTTTAGATCTTTCACGACGTCACAAAGAATGTTCTGTGTACTGGAGCTAAGGATGTGGTCAAAGAGGGACACAAAAGCTTCCCCAGCGGGCACACATCTTGTAAGTGGCTATCTTTGAGCTTGTTGTACCATGAGAGAACTCAAAGTTGTAGTATGGTTATTGGTTAATGTTTTCATCAAATAGGATGGCACATTGTAGATCCTAAAGAGTTGGTCTTGTTACCTGCAGGGTCGTTTGCTGGTCTAGGATTTCTATCTTTGTACTTGTCTGGGAAAATCAGGGTATTTGACCAGAGAGGGCATGTTGCAAAGCTCTGCATTGTGATCCTACCTCTACTGGTTGCAGCATTGGTTGGTGTATCCCGAGTAGATGACTATTGGCATCACTGGCAAGATGTGTTTGGAGGAGCTATCATAGGTTTGTTTGTTTTTTTTAACTCATGCATTCAACATACGTGAGAAACAAAACTGATGAAGGACACACATCTTTCTTGCAATGTCCAGGATTGACTGTGGCCACGTTTTGTTACCTGCAATTCTTCCCTCCTCCGTACGATCCAGACGGTGTGTGACTGGGGAACCTCTTCTCTTCAAAATAGACTCACTTCGATTGATATATAGTAAGGAACACTGATCTATCTCTATATGGACTGGTTGCTTTCAGGTTGGGGACCTCATGCGTACTTCCAGATGCTCGCAGACTCAAGAAACGATGTCCAAAATTCAGCAGGAATGAATCATCTAAGCGTGAGGCAAACAGAGCTAGAGAACGTGTACGTTGATCGAGAAGAGACGTCTATGGAAATATCAAGAAGCAACACGCGGGACACCACCCGTATGCTTGAGAACCGCTAAGTGAAAGTCTTGTATACTCGTTTGTCAGTCTATGTGTATTTGGGTTAGGCATTGATATGTATGGGCTTCTAATTTACAAGGCCAATATTGGTTGGAAATGCATAAGCTAAAAACAGAGCCCAAAAAGAAGGAAAATAGAACCGCTGAAAGGAGGGCTTGAACCTCCGACCTTGTGGTTAACAGCCACACGCTCTAGCCATCTGAGCTATTCCAGCATTTTGACTACCTTTTAAAGTATTATTTTTTAAAACGAAAGTGAGAAGTTGGTGTATGAAAGATCTCATACTTTTGTCAAAACAACATTCAATACCGAATTTTGACATCACATTAACACTTGTATAAATCACTAAAATATATATTTCGGTCAATCATAGTATATATACAGTAATATGATAAGATTCATGAAAAAATGATATATTTTGTCTTTTGTTGAATGGCATTAAGCAACGTATGTTACATCTAAAATTTCATCTTGTCAAAAGGTAAAATCCGAAAGGGATATTTGTGGGGATCGAGGCCCATGCGCCCCTTACAGAATGACCCAGGCCGATTGGCCTTTTCCCTTAATTTTAGGATTTATCATTAATATTTTCGTATTTACCAGTTCACACCCTTTTTTATCTCTTTGAGTATCCAATGATTGCTTTTTCCAATATTTTATGGCCATTTTAACGAGCAAATTTTTTAAATACGAGTCATTTTATTCAGCCTTTTGATGAATTTGTCCAATGGGGTATGCACTCTATGTCTTGGATTCCTCTTAAAAGTCATTCTTTTTCTCCCACACTTTTACTTTTACCTTTGTTGAATTATGCAGAATCTTTACTACTTTGTTATTAAAAAATAAAAACTCTATGGAATTTGGATATTAATATGTAATCATATTTATTATTGTAATTTTAGTTGTTTGTCTAACTAAGTAGTTGTACATGGACTTAAGTGATGATCCAAAGAATATAAAAGATTAGTGACAAATTGCTGTTCATTTTCACCATAAAAATGTCTTTCTATTTAGAAATCATGTAAACCTGTTTATGTTTTCATTATTTTCATTTTTTTAGTCCACCAACGTAATATCAATCATATTCATTATATTTGAAAACTCAACGTGTAATATCTTTCTATATATATGAATATGATATGATATGATTATGGCTTAAAGCAAGCCCTTTGACTTCCGTGAGACACACACCCACCACCTCCTACTTCTAATAGGAAAAGATATTTGTGTTGTATATGTTCACATATATTATCAGTATTTAGCCTTGTTCTAAAAATCGGCCGCCTAGGCGCTGATCGGAGGAGCACCGCGGCGATTTTGTCCAAATCGGTGAGAAAAATCGGAGATCCGATTTTTGTCCGCCTGGACCGCCTAGGCGGCCGCCTAGCCCGCCTAGACGGCGTCTAGCCCATTTTTTTTTTTTTTTTTTTTTTTTTTTTACTTTTTTTTTTCATCTAAAATTCAAAACGTCCTACTTATGTTCGTAATTTGTATAAAAATCATAAATTTGAAATTAAAATCTTGTTTTCATGTGTTTAATACAATTTTAAAAACAATATTATATAAATTACTTAATTATAATGGATTAATATGTTTTTAAAATATTAAATAGCCCTAAAACTAATCCCCGATTAATCCCCGTGTAATCCCCGATTTTCTTGCTAGGCGCTAGGCGCACCCTCACCGCCCGACTAGCGCCTAGCGATTTTTTGAACACGGGTATTTAGTCATTTCAAGTAACAAATTATTAGAGGAACGAACAACAACAAAAAAAGACGACCAACGTAAAAAAAATTGGAAGACAAATGAATGACGCAGAAAGTGGCGTTGTGATGATGTAATTCAGTCTAATCTGAGTAGTGCGGTGTGTGAACGGCCAGGATTGAAGGAGGGCGTAAGAGTGGAGGGTCAACGTAAATAGATATAAAGGTGTTAACTTTTTGTCTGTTTTAGTCACTAAAGAGTAAAGATGTTTGACAAAAATTGAAAAAAAGTTTACGACACGATGAGACTGAGACTGAGACCCCCACCTGTGACTTTATTTTCTCTCTGCCAAAAATGTTTAAGTGATCATAATCAGAAAGGCTACAACACTCATGAGTTAATTTATACTTAGAGAGTAGTTTGTGAATCTATTAACGGACCAGCTCTGCAAGTCGGTGGAACTAAGATGGGTTTGGGATTTGGAAATGGATATGTGCCTTGGGCGATGGATGGATATCACAAATAGCACACAAAATCACACATATAAGTGTGTACAATATAAAGAGAACGTACGGCGACATGATGACCAAATGAGAAAGCCCCATTTATTTGTCTGCTCATTACCTAACATCCAAATCTATATTCATTGCTGGCCTCATTCTCTTTTGTTTTTATATGCAAAGATTACTACTACTCTTGTTTCATAATGAATACGTAAATAACACTAAACAGAAACGTCAATAGTGATAACTAGATTGTGAGATGAAATTTAACAAGGGAATAACATAATACAAAAAAACTAGCACAAATATTTGAACTGAATGCTAATAAATTATTTTTGATTGAAGATTGATGGATTTTCATATTCTCTTGTTAAACTTATAACACCGTCGTGAAAATGAACAAAGGAGACCACATAATTCATGTATGCTCTAAAAACACCAAGAAAAAATATACAAACTTTATATATATATTTTGTATGAACAAATGAAAAGAGAGAAATAGAGCATTTGGTAGAGTGAGGAAAAGAAGGAAGCTGCACAACACTCAAAGCCAAGAGCCCAAGACTGTTCCACTATCTCTTCATCTACGTGACTTTCTATGCACATTCTTCCTAATAAGCATTTCACTAATCAACCTACTCTCATTATCTATATTAATTTTAACAACAATGCTTCCTCTTAAAACTGTAAAAAAGGGGTTTAGGGAAAACATACATACCCAAGAGGCTCGGAGATCGAAACTATATAGAATTCTTTCACATTACCCCAAGTTTAAAATTTTCACTTTTGCCCCTCAACGTCATACTAAACTCCAAACCCCACCCCAAATTGTGTGTCAATCACTTGTATATCATTTGCTAATACATAATCATATTTACTTTTTAATATAAAAAAAGGGGAGGGACATAACCTCCTTGACCCTTTATATAAGACCCACTCATCATTCCATACTTTTGCACATTGCCTACTATACTAATCCTCTTCTTCTTCTTCTTTCAATTGCTCCTTTATATAATAACCAAGTCTTTGCTTTTAGAGGTCAGCTATGGTGTCTACAGAAGAAGACGACGATCGGGGAAAAAGGATGAAAGGTGTTTCATTTCATATATGAAACAATGATGACCACATTTTATGGATGGTTTAGAGAAAAAGATGGGCTTTGCAATAGTTTACGCTCTTTCATAGAAATGTAAGTCTGGGGAGAGCGAGATTATTGCATTGCTTGCTGCTGGGGAATCGAAGGTTACTGGTCCGATTTTTTTTCCTTACCCGAAAAAAATCATTCTTATATCTCTTACTTAGTGTTTTGTGTGTGTTGGTCTACGATTATTTTCATGTTATGTTATGAAATGAAGAGTGTCCTTGTGGTGATGGTATCTATCAACTATATAAGAAAAAGTTACATTTCAAATAAATGAGACTGTAGTAGCAACAATATCAGATGGATTATGAGTTGAATCTTGAGGAATTAAAGTGCTTGTATTTAATTGTGTGTTCGTTTCTCATTTAACCCAACTAAAGAACTCTTATACGACGTTTTGAGTAGGTAAAAATAAGATTAGCTCAGAAACAAAGATGATTGATGATTGATAGAGTTTGTCAGTTTGATAGTGCTAAAGGCTCATCTATAATGTTAACGCCTTAACAGGCCTATTCCCCTTTGAAAACGTAATGTTACTAAGCCCATCTTGTGTGTTTGTTATCGTTACAAATTAATAAGCCCACACAGTACTCTAAAAAAAGAGACTCAATCCTCAATCCTCTCAAGTCTCAACAAATCAACTTCCAAACTTCTTCTTATACAAACGGAAATCATAGATGTATCATTGCAAACTTGAGACTGGAATATAAACCTTTTCCACTCTAAAGAAGTTGATGGGATGTATAGAACATGAATCTGATGTATAGAAAAAGTCTTGACAATTATGTACAATGTCCATCCTTAATTTACACACATCTTGTTACAATACTGAGAGGTGTTGTAATCAATTCCCCTTCTCCCAATATCAAAGCCAGATACATCTACAAATCCACCATTTCCGAACAAAACATTTCCAAAATTCACACTGTTGATGGATTGAGTTTGCAAAGATTATTTCTGGAATTTTTATCTTCCCCATATATATATACTCAAAAGTAAGGAAAAACAAAAGATACAAACGGTGAAAATTTGTATATTTCAAAATTTACATAACGAAATCGAAAGTAAAAAAAAAACAAACAAAAGATCCTCTCACAGAAGAGAGAGAGAGACCTCAAAAAACCGAGAAAAGAAGGGGCGCGCGCGTGGTCAAACCGAACCAGCCAGCCACCGTAGATCTCTCGGATGCCGTCGGATCAAACTCAGTGGAGAGAGAAACACGAGATCAAATCCCTTCCAACGCGGCGCTGCGTTTTAGAGACACAATCATCGGAGACCAAAGCAGATCTACAAAGAGGACAAGTGAAATTGAGTTGATGAAGCCATCCTTCTAAACACTTCTTATGGAACACGTGTCGACATTCCAGCTTCCTCACCTCTTCACCTTCCTTTATCTTCGACAAACACACCACACAATCGGAGCCTCCTCCGTCACCGCACCGGTACGAGAATAACCGATTCAAGCTCAGCTGATCGGCGAGCACGATTATGTTGGCTAGTCCCGAGGCTATAGAGACATCGTCGACGGGGAGATTAGGATTTGATTTAGCGGTGAGACGGAGGAGGAAAGATCGGAGATGGTTGATGAAGACGGCGAGGAGAGAGAGGAGCATAAGAGGGATTGAATCGGAAGAGACGTCACTTAGCTGACCTTGTAGCCCCATCTTCTCCTTCTTCTTCTTCTTCTTCTTCTCTCTCTCTGTTTTCTTCAATATATATATAGCTGTCTTTGCTTTAAACCTTTACACATTATTGTTCCTTTTTATTATTTCAACACTAAACGGTCAATTAGACTTTTGATTTTGGTTTATTATTACCAAAGGAAATTAATTATTAAAACTACTTTTCTATAAAACTTAATGATTTTTAATATATATACAATGGATATATAATTGAATTTTTAGCTAGATTTATGGTAACAAATCATTATTATTCCAGAAATAAATACAGATTTTTTTTATATTATTTGAAGTTTTGAACTCCTATTTTTGTCAATTTTCTTACCAGTCTGACGATTGTGTAATTAGATCAAGTGAAGTTAGTAATAAATACCAAATCTTTTATACACGTGATCTGGTATTTTACGGATCTAATTTTATATTACAAACAAACGTCACTTCTTCTTTTTTTTTTTTTTTTAACAAACGTCACTTCTTTCTCTCTTTCATATTCAGGCCCCTCTATTTTTCCGTGTATGACCACACTTCCCCGTTAGTTTTCAGTGTTTCTGTCTTTTGTTTACACTCTAATTATAATTCATTGTATTTTGTGGTTTTTATGCAAAACGCAAAAATAATCATGTGGAAAAATACTTAAGCTATATAATTTATAATATTAAGTTAATTTGTAAAAATATGAAAACATAACGTTTTAAAATTTAACTAATTAATAATTTTTATCATAACTTTTTCATTTGGATTTATAGGTTATTGTTAGGAGTGTTTTTGTTTTTTTGAGGATGACGAAAAGTGTCTATTATCATAAAACAAAATAAAGGTAAAAAAAATGCATGTGTCCACAATACGCTTAAAACATGTATGTTTTTAAAGATTAAAAAAACGTTTAAGAGATTTAAATTGTAGAATATTAGAAAGAATGAAAGATCCATATTCAACGATAGGTTGAGTGCAATTAGCCTTATGGTGGTGGTGTGACTGTGACCGTAGCCACATTGTTAAGGCATTTGCAAATATGCTAATGATATTTGCAAATATATCAATAATTGAACAAATGTAAATTAGATTCTTTATAAAAAAATGTGAATAATTTACTAATCTTGTAAGGTGACATTTTGAAAAACAAACTTAACACTCTAATCGATTATGTGATGACACGTACGTTACCCTAAAAATTCTTCTTTATTCTTTTATTTTGAAACGACAATAAGCGATCTTTTTCCTTTTCCATAAATGCATTTTGCAATTACAAAAACTATAAAGTGAAATATAAAAATGGTGTTATAGATTAGTAGTGGGCGGTGTGGATGTTTGATCTAATATTAGAGGAAGGGGACCAAACTTATAATATTTTAAGATGAACATTATTTATTGATACCAATTTGTTGATCTGATGAAGATTTTGCACGATCCTCGCTAACTTGTTGTCTCACCACCTTTCATATTTTATATGTTTCGGACCCCCAATAATCATGTCATTTCTACGGTTTCTACCTTATAAAAAAATATATTCCATATTTTTTTAAAACAGATAGCAAGCAACTAATTAAACAGCGGACCAAACAACATCAGAATTTTCGGGAATATAACAAATAAAATTTACGATTTTAGAATATTTCTAAACCGGTGAAAACAGAAGCTACAAATTTTTCTTTTACGATTTTGTGAATTTGTATATCTTCAAAATGAATATTTATTTTTTAACTGGTAAAATAGTTACAACTAAAAATGGTATGAACTCACAAATAAAAATGTTTTATCTAAAAGTGTTAAACAAAATATACTAGTTCCCACAAAATAAGTGGAAAGTGCCATCTAGTTTGAATCGAACATTAGTTAATGTAATTAATGAAAAATCAAAGGATAAACATGATCATAATGAGGGGAACATAAACAAAAGAGTGAAGGATAAGTAACATTAATCATGTATTAGAAAAATGTTAAACGGCGCTGTCAACGCATTAATTTTGCAAAATATAATTATAAGTTTGGGTTTATATATTTAAATAGAGAAAGTGGGAGAAAAGAAGTCTCTATTTCGCCGTCCAAAAGATCTGAGAATCCACCGACTGATAAAAAAAGAACACAAGTTGGGATTAAGAAAGTTGATTAACACATTAATTAAGCAACGACCAAAACCATTACCACTCATATAATATGATATTGCCATGGAATTTAAATAGAAGAAATAAAGTCCAAAAAGGGGAAGGCGTAAAAGTGATTGACGAAAAGGATGTGTTGTCCTCTATATCATAATTAGCAAGAGTTTAATTAATTGGTGATTACCAACTCCAATTAAATGATGAGCATTGTGTGGTGACAAAACAAAGTAAAAGCAAAGAACATCTCTCGTTGGAAGAAGAGGCAGGTAATGGAGAGACCATTCATTTTAAGCATCATGTGGCCAAAGGGAAACCACACAACACAAGTTTAAAATAATAATGGTGCAAAAGAAAGACAAGTCGCTGTCATAGTTGAAGCAATCAGACCAATCTCTCTTGGATCCTTCTTCGGCCTAATAAATCTACCATATGGGCTTGATCATTTTTGATTGCAGTACTTCAGGCCCAGTTTGTTATCAATGATCATCACTGTGTTTCTTTTTACACCAAAAACAAATTTAAGTATAATTTTTCTTGTTCGAGAAACAGAGAGTATAATCCTCTTGTTTTAGGTACAGAGTGATAAATATAAAAAATAACACCACCAGAAATTATACAGTGAGGGTTAAAAGTATCACTAATTTAATGTGTTTGGATTTTGGAACAACAAATGAAAGGATTGATTTTATTGTTGCAATTTATTACATTTTGTTAGGCTTTTTAATCCTATTCCTATAACTCGAAACACGGGTTTAGGGATCAGGAATAGCAAATATATATTTTATGTTCATGATTGTTTGGTTTTTCTAAAAATCGCAAAGGTGATAGATACACATGCAAGAGTTGTTGCGATGTTACTTAATTAGATTGAATTTAGACACATGTAATTTGGTATAGACGTCCATCCTTGTGCCTGGAAGTTCACCGATATACGTCTATTTCACCAATATGCAAAAGCTACAGTTATCTATCACAGCAGTGATGGTATACATGATCTTCTATAGTTCAACATTTTCTTATTTCAAACATTTTGATTTTCATTAAAATATAGGTAAATCGTTATATTCTACCAAAAAAACAATTAGTTATATTTAGTATTTTCTTGAAAGGTGTTAATTTCCATATTACGTTTTCAAAATGGTACTATTAGAATGTCCCACATTGCTTGGGATTAAGATCTTTGGGTAGTATATAAAGGATGTGGCAATCCTTAACTCTTGAGCTAGCTTTTGGGTTAAGTTAGGTCATATTCCTAATAGGTACTTATAACCAAATTGATTGAAAATGAAAAGGGGTCATATGAGTATATGACAGTTGGACGCTTTGCCTTTGCGTGCATCTAACAAGAGCAATTAGTTGGTGGTTAATGTAGCATTTTCAAGTTTCAAAGGACATATATATATATATATATCTTCTGACCTGAGAGCAGCAAGCACGTTAGAAGATATGATGTTCTTGGTGTTGGTGGCATTGCAAGATAATGTGAGGCAATTAACAAAAAAAAAAAAAAAAAAAGATAATGTGAGGCTCGTTATATCTTTTATATTCCTTGGGTTTGCAAGTTAAAAAAAAATACAGGTTTGACTCTTTCTTTGAGAGAGAGTAAACATTTTTGATATCAATTCTGATATTTTTGAGCTTTGACTAAAGAAAACATAAGTATCTTTAATTATCTTAAAGAACAAAAAAATGTGTCCAAACTCTAGGGGTTGGTTGTATTAGCAATAAGGAGCATGTGGTGGATCAGTCGTAGAAACCATAATTAAAGTCGTCCGGACGGATCAGAAACAAGAATGGACCACTCTTTCTTACTTGTCTTCATATGCTAACACTTATACTTGAGACTGACTATTTTGAGGTTGTCCTCCTCATATTATTTCTAGATGTAGACCACACCTCCCTCTCTCCTCCTCCTAAGTTACCATTTACCATTTACATCAACACTTGCTTATCCCAATTTTAACACAGATTCATTCTCCCAAGTTTGCTTGTGGTGAAACAGTTTATTGATAGGCTTATTGGTTACGGTTCTTACAAAAGCAGTATCACACTATTATTATGGTGTCAATCGATACGATATAATGTAGTGATAATATACTAAAATAGTTTTAGCTGTAATGCTTTTTATTCTGCCAATCATTACTACTTCAATGATTTCGAATATCATCGAATCGAAATTCTTAATCACTCTCTCTATCTCATCATTAACTTTGACCCTAATCATTATTAGTATCTCTCTATTTATCTCTCACGCTTTCCTTCTGTTTATTTACTAGTAATTCACTCTCACTTTTCATCCCATTGCTTATTATTTAGTTATTATTACTAATAGTAATGAAAAAGTTAAATTGAAAAACAGAGGAAGAGGGGTAATGTTGTGACAAGTGACAAGTGGTGTCTCCATCTGCATGGTCTTCTTATAGGAATGAGCTGTTTTATCTTTGTTTCTATTCAAATTTCAACTTTTATAATACTCTTTTTTTTTTTTTTTTGGTACAAGGTTAAATTTTATACCATTTTCTGATTTTCCACTGTACATTGTTGAAACAACTTATTAAACAAGAAGCACAAAGCTAAAAAGGAAAGGCAATACAACCGAAATAGAAAGCTAGAAGAGAACCCGCGTGCGACGAAGATCCTGAGATGGTTAGGAGGCGTGTGAATTTAATGGTGTTATTTTTTTAATACTTCATTCATTGGTGTTATTTTTTTTTATTTTATCCTATTCCTAGTTATGTGAATTTAATCAAGAGCTAGATGACCGTGTATGCTTATAGTTAGGGTCCATTCTCTACATTTGTACATTTATAATATAAGCATGCTAGTAGAGTTATTGTGATGATTTCAAGCACAGGGAAGTGTCTATATCACCACCACTTCACTTTGTTAGTTCTCTCTTTATTTCATACTATGACTTTTTTTGTTTGTCATTCAATAAAATGAACAAAATAAATAGTTTGATATACTAATTAGGATTGTTATTCTCTGCATCTCCTTTGTACTTTTGGGAATATCTGTCAAATCAATTACTTAAATAAGAATATTAATAAATTTCGCAATTGATGTGCTTCATTTGGCTGCAATTAAACAACAATCATATGAGTTATTGTATATCATTCCATTCCAACACCATAAATGTTAGCCTTCTCAATTGTAAGTATATATTACCGTTTTATTCAGATAATTTATTTAAAGACGAATCTGGTGAAACATGAATTAATTGTCAATAAAAATCCGATATTGAATGAAATATTTGAACGGTATTTTTGTTTATGTTAAATTAGGCAATACCATTACATATACACTTAACCCTTTACAAAAAAGAATTTTACAAATTAAATTATTATTGGTCAATAAAATTAATCGAAACATAAGTTTCCAAACATTTTCAATTTTTAGAAAGAAAAAGAAATTGTGAATTACATTTGAATGATTGATATGCGTTACAAATAAAATTCACAAGACATAACAAAGGAATCCGCATCAATTGGAATTTATGTACCGAATCACATTAATACCAAACAGCACACCATAAATAAAATAAAATATGGAGAGAAGATAGTGGGATCAAAGTTTGATGTCACCATATTTTGCATTTTTTTGATGTCACCATTTCATTAGTCTATAAAAAGGAAGAGAAGAAGAAGAAGAAAAAAGGGTAGTTCTGGAAAAAACAAAAAAAAGGGAATCGTGAGGGAAAGAAAGCAGAGTCGTTTTCAGATCGTGAAGCAGAAGCAGCAGAAGCAGCAGAAGCAGCAGAAGAAGCCGTATCTATTCCTCTCTCTCTCTACTTTGACCGTTCCTCTTCTTTTTATTCCTCCTCATCATCGTCATCATCGAGCTTTCTACTACTTCGATTCTTACTTCTTCTTCCTCTGATTCTCTCCCATTCCAAATCAATCTCTAGGGTTCTTCAGGTATCCCAAATCTCCTCTCTTTTCTATTTATTGCTTACCATTTCATTTACTTTGGGCTTATTTTTAAGTTAAATCTTCTTCTGATATTGCGTCTGCTTTTTACCTCTGCAAAGACAGAACCTTTCTCTGTCTCTCTCTCTCTGCTTGTACCTTGTACCTTTCTCTCTGTATACACTCCATTGTCTACTTTTTCTCATCTCTCTTTTCTCCTTTTTTTCATTCATAAAATTTCTCTCGAGGATGCTTCTGAAGCCCCTTTTAGTCTCATCTCCCAGCTAAAATTTGTCTCTTTTTTTTTTTATCAGCAATACTTCAGAAACTGGGTTTGGCCATGGAACCCAATGGGTACAGGAAAGAAAGAAGAAAGGAACAACATTTGGGGAGAATGAATGGTGGTGGTGATGTTGAGAGTGATCTTGATCCATGGACTGCATGGGCTTATAAGCCTCGCACTATCTCTCTTCTCCTTATTGGCGCGTGTTTTCTCATGTGAGTCATCATATCTTCCTGCTTCTTCCCTTTTACCTCTCTGCCCATTTCTCCTAATCCTCAAATTGGTTTTGAATTTGACTTAGTTGGGCAAGTGGAGCTCTTGATCCTGAGAGCACCACATCTGATGATCTTGTCACATCTGTCAAAAGGTTCTCTTTTTACTTCTGCCCACATCATGTTTTTTTCTTTTTCATTTGATTCCATCAATTGACACTAGTCTACTATGTTTATGTTCCTTTTCTAGGGGAGTGTGGGCTATGATCGCTGTCTTCCTTGCTTACTCATTGCTCCAGGCCCCTTCAACGTTTGTTTACCAATCTCAGCTGTTTAATTAATTAGCTTCTTCTTTTATAATGTAGAGTGTGGTTGGTGATACTTGTGCTGTGTCTTTAATCAAGTAATTTGCTTTATGCAGGGTTCTAATCAGGCCCCATCCTGCAATCTGGCGCTTAGTTCATGGAATGGCTGTCATTTACTTAGTTGCACTTACTTTTTTGCTCTTCCAGGTTCACTTTTTTTTTTCCTCCCTAGATCCTTACTTACCTATGCCTGTGATTATTGCTCTGATGAATTCTTGTTTTGAGTGAGCAAATTCTAATAGTTACCAAATTCGTTCTCACAGAGACGTGATGATGCCCGGCAATTCATGAAGTTTCTCCACCCTGACCTTGGAATTGGTAACAATTGCAGAGTGGAATGCTATTTATCTGAGGAGTTACTACATCAATGATTGACCATTCTTATTGAGTTTGCTCATGTTGCAGAACTTCCTGAGAAATCATACGGTGCTGATTGCCGTATATATGTGCCTGATCACCCAACAAACAGGTTTAAGAATCTTTATGTAGGGTATCTTCTCAACAACTCCCCTTTACCTTAAATAACCTTCATATCATCTAAAGGCTTATGCTTTGGTTAAAATTTCTCAGGACACAGTATTTGACGAGTTTTTCTTGGCTCACATCTTTGGATGGTGGGGGAAAGCAATTCTGATTCGGAATCAACCGCTTCTTTGGGTTCTTTCAATTGGTTTTGAGTTATTGGAGGTTGGTCTTTGCCTCCGTTTTCTTTAATTTCAGGTTTTAATTTTGATAAAATACAAGAATATGGCTTCCCCTTAGTCACCAATTATCTATGTTCTCCAGCTTACCTTTCGGCATATGTTACCAAATTTCAACGAGTGCTGGTGGGACAGTATTGTTCTTGATATCTTGATATGCAACTGGTTTGGTATGATTCTTAAGCCACCTTGCCATTCAATATGCAGTGCTTCTAGAAATGTTAGGGAATAACAGATTTTCTTGTTTGAATGTTGGTAGGTATCTGGGCAGGAATGTATACAGTTCGCTACTTTGATGGAAAAACATATGAGTGGGTTGGCATTAGCCGCCAGCCTAACATTATTGGAAAAGTAGGTTTGTGCAACCTTGAGAGTGCATACACATGGTCCTAGCCGTTGTACATGTGATGAGAATTTTGTAATTTTTTTCAGGTGAAAAGGACATTGGGGCAGTTCACACCAGCTCACTGGGACAAAGACGAGTGGCATCCGCTGCAGGGACCTTGGCGTTTTATTCAAGTACTCACCCTCTGCATCGTCTTCTTGACAGTGGAGCTAAACACATTCTTTCTCAAGTTTAGCCTGTGGATCCCTCCTAGAAACCCAGTGATTCTCTATAGGCTGATCTTGTGGTGGCTCATAGCGATACCAACAACACGGGAATACAATTCATATCTTCAAGACAGGTAAAGCTATAGCCCACTGCGATGTTGGTTGTTGTTAGTTGAGAAAGAGTTTTGTATATAACTTGCAGTTTTGGTTGTTCACAGGAAACCTGTGAAAAAGGTGGGAGCATTCTGTTGGCTGTCGCTGGGGATATGCATAGTAGAACTTCTCATCTGCATCAAGTTTGGAAGTGGTATGTGGTTCCTTACACATGCTCTACTTTATTTGTTTATTGTTACAGTTACATAGTGTGAAGAGTGTAAACTTTGGTTGTATGGTTATGATACAAACAGGATTGTACCCAACAGAAATGCCATTATGGGTAGTGACACTATGGGGAAGTGTGGGACTTGGACTTGTGGCCTTCTTGCTGTGTTGGACATGGAAGATCCAGAAGATCCTCGCGCAAAAGAGACGCTAAGCTCATGATTGTTACTGCGGAAGACGAGAGAGAAAGAGAGGTGAGACAGTGAAATGCCATTGTGGTTTTTTTTTGTAAATAGGGAGAAGAAGGAACAATGTAAATGCAATTTTCTTTAGGGGTAGTGTGTGATATTCAACGTTTTACAGAGCTTCCACCAATTCTTTCATGCATCAAAAATTGCTTTCATCTTTGTTCTGCCTCCTCAATCTGACAAAACATGTTGGTTTGAATGGTAAACATATTAATGTCAATTTTTGTTACCATTCACACCTTCAAGTTTCACCAGTAAAAAAAAAAAGAAGTTATTGAGCCATTGTTTCTTCTGCTTTTTGAGATGATTGTTTCTGTTGCCAACTCTTACATGGCATTAACAACATTATTGTGCCTTTACTGCCATTCCTTGAATAAATTTTTTCCATTAACTCCATTACTACCATTCAATTTTTCCGTTTTTAATTATTGGTTCAGTTTTGTCTTTCTGGCCTATTATTTTGTATTATCATCATTCAATCAAACATATTTTGTTGAAGGAAATGAAAAAAAAAGAAGCAATAATCAAATGATATTATTATGTGGATAATATATAGATTGTGTGACCTGCCGTGCCGCCCAACAACATCTCACATGTGTTTTTATCTTTTCATTCATAGGTTTGCAAATTCGTAATTTGGTATCTTAGACGACAATATTGACTATCTATCTAATCTAACATCACTCTTCCAACTTTCTTAAAAAAAGCCAAAAATGTTGTTGTCAGAAGCTTAGGAATATTCTGACAAGAATATGATGATGCCATTAAGGGAATCTCGAGTCTTTAATGGGCTTTTTTGGGCTCGAAGAAGCTAAGGCCCAAATTGCATATTTGTTGCCCGACGAAAACGTAATGAAAATGAATCTAGAGAAATCTGAAGACTGACTCAAAACAACATCTGTGTAGGGTTCTTCCTTTGCTTCTTCGAGTCTCGATCTCCTCTCTCAATCTCAGGTAACGACCAAAATCATCTTTTTAATTCATTTGGAGATTTTCTATCACTTTCGATTTCGCCATTTTTAGATCTGAGAATATTGTCGTCCCACGAACCAATCGAATCTGTTGTTGTCTGACATTAATTTTCATTTCTATTTTGCAGTCTTGAGCTTCCGAATTGACTTTCAACATGTAAGCTCGATGTCTTATATATTTTTCTTACCAATCCCCAATCATGTTGTGTAGTAGATGGATCTCTAACATTCACACAACCTTTAGTTTTCGTGTCTGAATTTCTAGACTGGAATCATTTTTAGATTGTGCTCTATATAGCGTGTAGTAGTGATTGGTCCGTCCATGAGGATCTCTTGATTTATTTTACCTGCATATTATCGCCATATCTTCGTCCATATGTTAGCTTGCTGATTAGATCCGATTCTATCCATTTTTCTGGCTTATGTTTTCGCATCATATAATCAGAGCTTAAGAAATAGTGACAAACATCATATTATTTTCTTTCTAGTTTTGACCGTAAAGGCGATTTTCGTATGTCATCATTCACACTGGATTAGTTATCTAGCCATTGATGTCTCATCCTCGATTTATATGGGTTTTTGAATGTTTCAGGGCAGATGATGAAGTTGTTGATCCAAAGAAGTACCTTGAGGAATCTTGCAAACCAAAATGTGTGAAGCCACTACTCGAATATCAGGTGAATTGATGTTGTGACTATATATGAATTGTAGTGCCATGTTTTTTGAAGATCTTTTTTTGACTACAAGTCTTGTTTGTGGTTCTTAGGCGTGTGTCAAGAGAATTCAAGGTGATGATTCTGGCCACAAGCATTGCACTGGCCAGTATTTCGACTACTGGCATTGCATTGACAAATGTGTAAGTTACTTGAATTATGCTCTTTTGCTGTTTTTCATATCATCTTCTACAATTTGATACTGAGATGAAAATTGGATATTGGATCTTCAGGTTGCACCAAAGCTGTTTGCGAAACTAAAATGAAAAGAGGTGAAGCTGGAGACTCCATTGTCTTGAGTTTGCTACATGTGGTTTAAAATTGATGTATAAAATGCAGTGGATGTTGAACTTTTTTACTGCAAACCAGAATATGCCAAATGGCTCTGCTTCTCGGTTTTGTTTCCATCGCAAGTTTGCGCTTATTATATTTTTTGCTACAGACGTTGTTACTGTGCTACTTGAGTAATTGCATGCCTAATAACAAGATATGTGCCTCTCTTTGGTCTTATTGTCGTAGACAATGCTTTGAACAAATCATTAGGCTTGGAGTTTCAATAAATAGAGATTTTCAGGCGTCTGGTAGAGGCGGCCTGGTACAATGAGACCATTAGGATTAGTTAGAGCGCACCATAGGTCTCACTTTGAAACTTACTGGGCTTTGGAGGATATATTTATGATGATGGCAAGGTTATACAAGAGAGAATTGTCGTTGGTTAAGTCACATGTGACTCATAATCAAGATATGATATGTGCCTTATGCAGCAACCCTTGTAAAGGACAGTTTGGAGGAGTGTGGTACGTATGGCATGCGGCGGCTGCATTTGGACTGAATCTAATCTTATTATGTCACGAGACTCTATAGCCATAATGTAGATTCTCCCATTTCACCCTTTATTTAAGTTTCCATCGCAAGTTTGTGCTTATTATATTTTTTTGCCTCCAGATGTTACTATGCTAATAACAAGAATGTGCCTTTTGTTGGTCGTCTTGTCTTTAGACTGCATTGAACAAATCATTAGGTTTGGAGCTTCAATAAAGATAGATTTTCAAGCCTCTGGTATTAGGCGGCTTGGTAAGATTGCCATTGATCAGGATTACTAAGAGCGTGCCATATTTAGGCCTAACATTTGAAGCTTATTGGGGCCTTAAAAGATACTATCAAATGATGACGGTTACAATGAAGATATTTTTTTTTATTTTTTATTTTCTTAAAAATATTTGAAGGTGAAAGAAGGGAGAATAGTCTTAGCTAGGGTGAAATCACATGTGACTGGAATGAAGTGAAGAACAGTTTGGTGGAGTGTGGGAGGTATGCAGCATCCACTTGTGGACTTTTGAGTGAGAGTGAGATGTATGGCCCGCGGCGGCTGCATTAGACTGAATCTTAATCCTTCACAGTTCACACTCTACAGCAATAATGTAGATTATCCCATTTCACCGTCTATATAAGGGTTAGAAAGTGTAATACCATTTACATAGCCATGAACGGTGGAGACGGTGCTTCTAGCTATGCTCGCAACTCTTCCTATCAGGTTTTTATTATATTCATCACTCTTCCATTTCCTTTTATTCTAAGCCTACTAACATGCTGTTACTTGTGTGTGCGCCTGTAGAGGGGAGCCATTGAGGCTGCTGAAGCACTCCTCAGGAACGAGATCAACACGCGGCTCGACATCACCAACCATTCCTTCTCGTCTTTTACAATCGCAGACTTTGGATGCTCCTCCGGCCCCAACACCATTCTTGCTGTAGACATCATCATCCAAGCCCTCTACCACAAGTTCACCTCTTCTCTGCCTAATACTACAACTCCTCAGTTTCAAGTCTTCTTCAACGACGTCCCCCACACTGATTTCAATGCACTCTTTGCTTTGCTCCCTCCACAACGCCCCTACTTCGTTGCAGGTTCCCTATTTCGCTTTGTTTAAATCGGCACAAGTGACTTCTCCACTTAATGGTTCACTGCTTGCAGGTGTCCCCGGTTCCTTTTATGGAAACTTGTTTCCCAAGGCACATCTGAACTTGGCCTACTCCTCTTGCGCCCTCTGTTGGCTCTCCGACTTGCCACCCGAGCTAACTGACAGAAGCTCTCCTGCTTATAACAGGGGCAGGATTCACTACACGGGAGCATCAGCAGAGGTTGTACAAGCCTACTCTTATCAGTACAAGAAGGATATCAAGCTGTTTTTGCATGCTAGGTCACAGGAGCTCGCAGAAAACGGGTTGATGGCACTGATTGTGCCCGGTGTACCAGATGGTTTTCTCGATTGTCAGGAGGCTTCAACGGGATCCGAGTTCGATCTGTTGGGTTCATGCCTCATGGACATGGCCAGAGAGGTACTTTTGTTTTCCGTAAGAAATAAGAAGGCATGACAGGTTAAAATGACCTAAAATACTTGACTGTGCAGGGAGTAATAAAGGAGGAGGAGGTGGACAGTTTCAACCTTCCCATATATTACCCAACTCCAAAGGAACTGGAAGACATCATCAGAAGGAACGGAGAGTTGAAAATTGATAAAATGGAGACACTGGGGAGCATGGGCGCACAAGACACTATGCCTGACCTCCAGTCGAGGGTTCTGTACCTGAGAGCGGTGCTGGAAGGTCTCGTTCGCACCCACTTTGGCCACCAAATCCTCGACGACCTGTTTGATCGCTACGCCCTTAAACTTGCTCATTCCTCTTTCATCCTCCAGCCTCAAACCCACAAATCCATCATGATCTTTGCCCTCCTCAGTCGCTGTCATGACATCTAATATATATTCTCCATTATGCAATCCATAAGGAATGATGTACCTTTTATCTATATATGAATAATGTGCTTTACACGACTTTCATCCATCACATCGCCTCTACTTTGAATAAAGAATTTGAGTCACTATTAAACAAGATTTTAATTTCATTCAAGAAACATGTCAAAGAGACACACACCCATCAAGTACTCACAGTAAACACAACAATATGAATATAACGCCACAATTTATTTCTCCCAAGGTAACTCATTGCCTGTAGTATCCGCCACCTTGGTGAGGAGGTGGGTACGGGCTCTGGCCGGGATAAGGAGGCCGAGGCTGTTGTCCCTGCGGATCATAGTACGAGCCTTGTTGCCATGATGGATGAGGCTGTTGCTGGGCCTGAGGAGGGTATGGTTGTGGCTGGCCATGAGGAGTATGGTACGGGGGAGGTGGACCGTAGGGTGGGATAGTGTAGCCAGGCCTTGACATTTGCTCAGGCGGTCTATAGTATGGCGCATGTGGGTGAGGATGAGATGGATTCTGAGTTTCTGGTGGAGGAGGCGGACTTGAAGCAGCCGGTTGATGCACAGATGGGTATGGGCCGGAGCTTCTATGATCCTGAAAACTCAGACCAGACATCTGTCGTTGCACATCTTCAATCATTTCTCGGCACTGGATACTCCTTGTCATCACAAAATCACTGCACTGCTGCTTCACATTCGTGATTGCATCCTATTGAGACCAACAAAGACAATGTCTCAGATTGCAGGAAAGTTATTTCGTATCCTCAATGGACTGTACAATCAGAATAGAAGAGCCAACCAGACAAGTGGCATAATGTAGACAAGCTTAGACAGTGAAGAGCTTGCTACTATATAGAGAAAAGAAACTCACCTGGAGAGTGACATAGAACTTAAGGCCCTCATTGATGTTCTCCTTGATCTCTCGATACTTCATTATAGCAGCTTGAATCTGCTTGTAGCACTTCTCCTTGGATGCTGAACAATGGAGAAACACAGAAAACGAATGAGTGGGAGTAAAAGAACTGATATACAGGAGCATAAGAAATCCCACTACTTAAAGCCGAATGTGTCAGTTCTATCATCTCCAACCAACATATAGAATGCTAAACAGAAAGTACTTTGATCCATCATGCAAGACAGAAGCTGCTTGCTCACCTTTATAATCTTCAAGATTGAAAAGAGTTGAAAACTCTTCATTTTGAGCCTATAACCAATGAAAGAAACCAATTAGATAGTAGTTGGTTTCGACTAGGAGTGAAACACGATCATTTCAGCCCCAGTGAAAGCTAGCACAGTCAATTTGCTTGAATATTGATGACAATCACCATACGCCTTTTGGTTATCAGAAAAGGATAAAACCATAATGAAATATAAAATACCACTTTAAGGATGGCAAAAGAGGTAGACCTGAATTTGCATCAATAATTGTTCTTGAACTTCAATGTTTTGGGAAATATCTTCACAAATGTGATCATACTTGGATATCTCTTTCCTGAACATATCTTCATAGGAGCCTGTAATTGTCATCAGCTTTGGCAGTATGTCATCCTAAAACCAAGTATCAAGTAAAAGCCTAATGAGTTTTTGACTCCAATATCATACAATAATCAAGAACGACAATGATCAATATAAAAATTCACTTTTCTTTTCATCTCTTTAAGCATGTCTTCAAGACCAGCCCGCTGAGCACCAAGATTCTCCAGTTGCCTCTGTGCAAAAAGGGAAGCAAAAATGTGAGAATAATGATTCGTGAAAGCACTTTCCAAATCCTTCCTAAAAGTATATAGTTGCAGATTCCAAAAGAGAGAGAAAAATACCAGACTCTGCTTCAGAGTTCCCACAATGGCATCCTCTGTTGCGTCCAGAGACATTATTGGCCTAGCTAGAGTAGGGACAGCAGACTCTATCTGATGATAAAAACCGAAAACCACAACGTCTATGAATTAAGTGTGTGATTTGAATAACCTGTACCCAAATATTTCAGGTACTAGGATAACCAAAATGAAGACCCCTAAGATACAACTTCCAACATCAGTTTGTGCATAAAAGGAGAAATATACTAGCGTATACAAAATATAGGAAGTACTTACTGGCCGTCGATCAAGAATAGACATGAGGGCGGAATTATCTCTCACTGATCGCTCAATCTTCACATCACTTTCTCCAGCTTGTTTCAAATTGGCTGCAAACCGATTTAGCCTATCCTGCAAGTTCTTTGTCAGTGTGCTAGATTGAGGCCTAGTCCACCGAGTCCCAAATTGACTTCTGAACTGAGAGTCTTCAGTTGCTTCTTTCTGCAAAAGCTCTTCGGTGTGCACCAACAGTTCCTGATTAACCCTCTTCAAATCTCGAAGTTGCTGCAGTTCAGCTTCCAAGCCAGCTGGACCACCACTGATCTGAACAGCTTCTACATCTTCTTTAAGATCAACAGAAAGAGCTGAATTACCATCCACAGCAAGAATAGAATCTGGAAGATCCATCTCTTTGAGCCTAACTCGAGTTAGTTCGCTAGCTTGCTGTAATCTCTCCGCCTGAGTTCTAATTACATCATCAACCATCTCAGTGTATCTAGAGAGAGCCTTTGCACTGCTGTCTGGAACAAGGATTGCAAACATCTTTTCCTTGCTTGCATCCAATATCTCAGTCATGTTCATTGGCTTAACCATTGAGAAGGTGGGAAGTGGAGACAAAGAAGAAGGAGAAGGAACTCTCATGAGGTACACTCTGTCGTTTTCCTTGACAGCCCTATCCAAATTGGCATTAATGCTCGACTCTAGTGTGTTCATCGCTTCTATAAGCTGAGCAGGAGCTCCCCTTGAAGACTTCTTTGCTTCTGCCAAACGGCTGGCTCCGCTCCTCAGCCGTGCGATTTCTTCTGCAATTTCCTCTTTCTCGTGCAACTCTTTTCCATACCTAAAGCAAGCTTCACTATAGAAGAGTGCTGCTTTCAGCTGCACATGAGAAATCCAGCCTTTGTCGAAATGATCCTTCAATGGCGAAGTGATTAGCGCAGCTAAAGCTTCCTCATAATATATGCCAACCTGATTGCAAGCAGACAAAACATGCAAATTCAATCGACTCCGTTACTTCCTCACAGTGCGGTAATACAGATGTTCACCATAAACTTAAGCACGTTTTTAGCATATATGCTCATAATAAATCTGGGTGCGTCTGAATAATCTAATCAATTCTAAGATCTTGAGTCCATAAATATGCACAAATTCTATCGACCCTGTCACTTCCTCACAGTTCAGTAAAACAGATGCTCTACCAAAAAATAAGCAAGTTTTTAGATATCTGCTCATAATCAATCATGGACTGAAGAACCTATTAAATCTAATTCTAAGATCTTGAGTCCACAAATGTGCACAATCTTCCAGGACTATTACCAAAAGAGATGCAATCATTATGTGACACTAACCTGCCTAGCAATTTTAGCACAAACACCAGGAGTGCTTCCTTTAGCGATGGTATTTTCAAAGACACATTCCTGAGCCTGCGCCAGCATCAACCGTTCCAACATTCCCACGCACTCCACCGACACATCCACGGTGGCGCTCTGCACGATCGTCGCCTTAGTGGACTCGTTCTCCTTCAAGTAAGCGAACGCCCCTGCTGCAGCGATGAACGCATGTGAAGCCTGACGACGTCCATCCACGGTGGTGCGGTCATAACCGAGTCCAATCTGGCTGTAGGTAGCACCAAGATTGAATAGAACAGCTGCTTTCTCAAGATGAATATTCTGCTGAGTAGCTTTGTGCTTTTGCTTGAAAGCATCGTACCATAAGAAAGAGACGGCGTTGACATGATCCTTGTCAGGGGAAATTGGAAATCGCGTCTCCACAAGACAAAGAACTTTGTAATAGGAGATGAGAAGGTCTCGCCGAGCGGACGGAGAGGGATCGGGAACGCGTTCTAAATCAGATCGGAGCTGCTTCAGGGTCTCGAGATCGTCGTCTATAAGCTGAGCCTCGCGCTCAGAGTAGGTGAAAGTAACGTAGTTGCGGAGAGGACGGTAGAGATCGACGGAGTTCGTCTTCTTCTCATGAATGGCGAGCATCAGATTAGAGAGCGAAGAAGAAGCCATGGCGGTTGATCGCTCTTCCGATTTTTTCCAATTTTCTTCGATTCTTGGTTTCCTTGATCCTTATTGACTAAGGGAAGATGATCGTGAAGAAATCCAGGAAACGGCACCAAGTCCTGTAATCTTGTATGTAAACGGCGTGCAGTCTAATTTGTGATTAAATACGAGTCGATCAATGGCTTTTAAGTTTTTTTCCGTGTACATTAATGAGACAACGATGCTGGAAAATTTTCTAATTAGATATTTTTTTAATTCTTCGAACAAAAAATTCAAAAGTGATTTCTTTTGAGGAACTTTTCCTAATTAGAATGATATTCATGTTTTACCATGAAAATATGTCTTAACGAAAACATGTGTAATTTCTCAATATTTTTGGTATTACATCTTCTTGGTATATGTAGAAAGTTTCTATTGAAGGTAGGAGACTAGGAGGAGGATATGCAATATAGAGCATGGTCTTATATGCTGGGTCGGGTCGTGTGGGTATTGACATTAACATGATCACTAATCAAAATGAATGTTGTGGTGGGACAATCAACACAGTAGTATTAATCTTTCAGGGATTACAAAATCTGTGTGTTTATGAATTAGAGAGGCCTTGAAGAGGACTTTGGTATCAAAAGAATAATGATATGATGAAATAGTAAAATTATACGATAATACAAGAATATATCTGTCAAAAGTTTTTGAGCAGCTTGTCATTTGAGACTCCATCAGCTACAAGAATTGAAGTTATCTCCTGCAACAGTACAAATCGGACTACGATAAAGATAACACATCTCTAAAGCATTTAGGTTCTCAGAAACAAAACAAAGTGCATACCTCAGCCATTTGTTTCTGTCCGCACAGCACCGCTCCCGTGGCCTCGGGAGCTGAAAGTTGTTTAGCCCTTGCAAAAGCAGCCTACACAACACATGACAACACATGATGTATATATTAGTTTGATGGGTCCACCTGAATTAAGCATTTAGATTGGTATTATCAATCTCACCTGCACATATCCGGTTTCCCCTTTCCAACCATCATCTGGCTGTGATAATACCGGCACAACTTTGACACCCGATGATTCCCACTCTTTAAACTTATCCTACAAAATCGAGTGCGTTTTTTTAAGGTAATCCTTGTACTGATCAGATCCAGAGCGAGAGATAGGCTGTGTGTTTATCACAATTCAACCACACACATGTGTATCTAGGGACAACATGAATTGCAAAACAACTGAGAGAAAGAACCAAACCTGGTAAGCCATCCTTTTCAGGTTCCTAGCTCCGTAATAGAGTCTTACGTCAGATCTTCTATCAGCACCAAATCCTGTCTCGATCAGTGAGCGGATGGGGCTGCAGAGATAAGAAGATGAGAAATTACATTCCAAATTTAAAACAGTTACTTAATCCCTGTCACCATCACTAAACATTGTTGATTCGACCATGTCCAGAACAACAAACAGAAACACCTAAAAAGCCATGAGTTGATGAAACACACATAACCAAATTCTCCATTAGAGACCTTGATTGAAAGAAACATCATCAGTTGTCATAAATCGCGAACAACAGAGCATTGACCTTTCTTACATGGAACTCTTTATTTCAGCATTAGATCAACACAAACAGCAGAAAAAGGCCACACAAGAAGTCCATGGCACCTCTAGATAGGTCGAACTCAAAAACAGATTTAGTGTATCAACATCAGGGGATCTCAAACTTCAAAGCTAGCAGGACAAAAGCAAATGAACTAAGCATCATAGAGGATTGGCCTCAATATCAATAACTACACCAGATTCAAGACACTTAGAGTTTGAAAGCTTTGTATCTAGCTAATGCTATGCACTGAAACCTTTAAACTAGACCACACTTGAATCATTGAATACCAGCTAAAGAAGGAGCGATCAAAACTTGAAGTAAAAAAGACAACTTTAGCAATCCAACAAGGTAGGAGAGAAAATGGAAAAAGTCTCCCACCTAATTCCAGATCCAGTGGCGAAAATCAAAACCGTTGGATATTCCTCAGGAGGATCAATCAGATCGATATTGAAACCATTACCCATCACAGGGCTAAGCTCAACGGTCTCCCCTTTCTTTAACCCGCAGAGAATCTCCGCGGTAGATCCAGCGATGCTCTTGACCAAGAATTCGAAAGCACCACGAGAAGCCGCCAAGGAAGGAGGAGAAGCGATTGCCATAAAAGCAGGCTTCTCAGCATCAGGAACACGGAGCTGGAGATACTGACCGGGTCTCGTGTAAGAGGCTACGAGATCCGGAGCGTTTGAAATGTCGATTGAGATGTGGAAAAGCGATTCTGCGGCCGATTCGATTAGAGAGAGAGGAGCTGGTGTCCAGAGGGAGGCGTCCTGGCGAACGGCGGCGGCGGATACGACGGAAGCGACGCGGTTATTCCGGGATAAGCGGAGATGGCGGGTGAGAGGGAGTCGGCGCAGGATAAACATGGGGGAGAGGGAGTGGCTAAAGTGCGCATGGGTGACAGAAGGCGCGAAAGAAAGAGTGGACATGGTCGAGAGTTTTGGGGCTCTATATGTGACCGTCAAATTTAGCCGGCGGTAGAAAAGGGCGGCCCGATTGGTTCGGTGGCACGATGTGTTTTTTTTTTTTTTGGTATGCACCTAATTTCCTCCCGTTATGTTTTGACACGTGGACGATCAAGATATCATTCTATCTACTTTCCGACCACTTGTTGTGTACTTCGAAAAATTGCATTCCCTTCATTTTATTTTGCTAACTCCTCTTTCAAAGAAAAACACCAAATCATGGAATTATTAAGAAATATATTTTGTCCAAATCAATGGAATATAGGAATTACAGTGATTAAGAATACAAAGTCGCATACATATTGTCTATTGATATTGATATATTAATATTACTAGAAATATATAAACACCCACCACAACATTGCTATATGTATTCAAACTTTCTTACGATGATGACAAACAATAATTGGCAGAAATGTAGAAGAAAAATGACATCGAAAATAGTTTGCAATATGCATATTTTAAAAAAGAAAACGCAGAGAGCCAACATCAGTAATCACTCCCTACCTTTGGCCAAGATATTTAATGATTTTGCCAAGTGACATCTAAAGAATATAACACGTAACCAAGAACCAAAAAGCAGACAGTAGTACTTCAGACTGACACCACTTTCAGTTTCAAATTTCAACTCTTTCTCTCTCTCTAGCCATGCAAAACGCACAGAGCTCCACCACAGATCCGGTAGACAGAGTTGATAAAGTGACATGGAGAGATCTGCAAGACGGATCTTTCACCGCAGAACTCAAGAGGCTTCTCTGCTTTGCGGCTCCTATGGTTGCCGTGGTTATCACTCAGTCCATGCTACAGATCATAACAATGGTGATGGTGGGACACCTCGGTAATCTCTCCCTCGCTAGCGCTTCCTTCGCCATATCCTTCTGTAACGTCACTGGCTTCAGCTTCATTGTTTGTTTCCTTTTCCTTCTTTCCACTTATCTCTGTTACTAGCTACCAGACCATGGAAATTGTATCCTCTCATCACTTTATTCTTACTTTTTGATGCTAGATGGGATTGTCATCTGCCTTAGATACTCTCAGCGGTCAAGCCTATGGAGCTAAGCTATATCGGAAACTAGGTGTTCAGACTTACACGGCTATGTTCTGTCTTACATTAGTGTGTCTCCCTATCTCTCTCCTATGGTTCAACATGGGAAAGCTTCTCGTGATCCTTGGACAAGACCCTTCAATTGCACACGAAGCCGGAAGATTTGCTGCTTGGCTCATCCCTGGACTGTTTGCTTACGCCGTTCTACAGCCGCTCATTCGCTACTTCAAAAACCAGAGCTTGATCACACCTCTCTTCATCACCTCCTGTGTTTTGTTCTGTCTCCATGTTCCTCTTTGCTGGCTTTTGGTTTATAAGTCAGGGCATGGTCATCTTGGAGGAGCCTTGGCTCTCAGTTTATCGTACTGGGTTTCTGCCATTTTTCTTGGATCTTTCATGTACTACTCCTCTGCCTGTTCTGAGACACGCGCGCAGCTTACCATGGAGATATTCGACGGCATTAGAGAGTTTTTCAAATATGCTCTTCCTTCTGCGGCTATGCTTTGGTACATCACTTTTCTCTGTTCCTTTTCCACTTCTCATTGCCTCCACATTTTTTGTTAGAAACTCTTTTATGGGTTGCAGCCTAGAGTGGTGGTCATATGAACTCATAATATTACTCTCTGGTCTCTTACCCAACCCACAGCTGGAGACTTCTGTGCTCTCTGTCTGGTACTCCTCCTTGCATCTTTCCATTTTGATGTAGCGTCATCCTTATTACTTCTAGCGCAAGACATGAGCTTTCTTACTTCTTTCCTTTCTTCTTTGAGTTTTACTTTTCTAAGTTGATTTCCATTTCTTTGATAAACTTTACTTTACTTTTCGATTAGGGTTTTGATAATGCTAAGGTCGGTTGTGACTTGGCTTATATAAGGATATGTAATGTCTCTTTAGAGACTCGGTTTTTATTGAATAAGAAAAGAGGTTTCCCTCAAAATTGAAGTCTTCGAATTCTCTCTGTTTTACAAAGAATTCAGAGCACAAAACCTTGTTTCAAGATCCATTGATCCTTGAAACCTTGTTTTGCTATCTTACCGCTGCATTAGTTGGTATCAGAGACAAACAGTTCCTAATCATGCCTCCTAAGAAGAGTCTTCAACAGCAACTCGATGAACACAACACGGCGTTTCGTGCAACGTTGGCAGAGTTTCAACAAGCGATGACTGATACGATGCGTACCTCTATTGAGACTGCAGTACGTGCGTTGGGTCAAGCACAAAATCCGAATAGGGTGAATCGACGTCTTGAAGAACAGATCTTTGAAGAGGATGAAGAAGATGAAGTTTTTGAAAATCAATTTGCGCCGCTGGGTGAGCACCATCTGCGTCACGATAACCGCAATCGTGACATTATTGCAGCTCCACAAGTTGCGAATCGTCGATGGGAGTCAGGCTTCAAGCTTGATTTGCCGGAGTTCAACGGTGGTCTGCAGCCCGAGGAGTTTTTAGATTGGATCACTACGGTAGAAGAGTTGTTGGAATTCAAAGAAGTCCCCGATTTGAACCGTGTATCACTTGTAGCTACACGTTTTCGTGGTCGTGCGTCAGCTTGGTGGCAACAATTAAAGGAAGCTCGAGCAAGAGCAGGGAAAGAAAAGATAACTTCGTGGGAAAAGATGAAAAAAGTGATGAGGAAAGCCTTTTTGCCTTACAACTACACACGTACAATGTACACAAAGTTGCAGAATCTAAGGCAAGGAACCAAATCAGTAGATGAATACGCCTCAGATTTTTTTTCTTTGCTAGCACGAAATTCATTAACAGAGAATGAGGAACAGAGAGTCTCACGTTTCATTGGCGGATTGAGGTCTCAAATTCAGAGTACGCTGCTCCAATTCGACCCTCTTTCAGTTTCTGAAGCTCATCAGAGAGCCCTCTTGATCGAACAACACTCACGTGGTCAAACAAGCTCTTGGACTTCTCAACGAGCTCGTCTTTCACCAGCAGCTGAAACAGGGCTTAGTAAAGCGCTAGAGCACACAAAAACTACAGAAGTTGTGGAAGGTAATGAATCTATGGGTCGGCAACGACCTGCAACTTTTAAGTGTTTTAAGTGTGGGGAAACAGGGCATCGACAGTCTTCATGTCCCAATTTACAACGTCGTGGTCTATTAGCAAAGGACGAACCTGTGTTTGATGATTACGGTGATGATGATGATGATGCAAACGATAACTCCGACGAACAAGTCACTGGGGATTTGGGTCCTATGTTAGTACTACGCAGAAATTTCTTCCTTCCTCAAGGCATTGAAGAATCTTGGCTTCGTTCCAACATTTTTCAATCCACTTGTACAATTCGAGGAAAAGTGTGTCGAATGGTGATTGATTCGGGTAGCTGCACAAACGCAATTTCAGAGGAAGCGGTCACAAAACTGGCTTTGTTTACAGAACCACATCCCACACCTTACAACATCGCTTGGTTAACTTCGAAGACAGACCTTCGAATTAAAAGACGTTGTAGAGTTCCGTTTTCAATGGGCCTCAACTATAAGGATTTGATTTGCTGTGATGTTGTGCCCATGGACGCTTGTCACTTGTTACTTGGACGCCCGTGGCAGTATGATCGACGAACTGTTCACGATGGTTTCACTAATACACATAGCTTCACCTATGAGGGTAAACGTATTACCTTGATTCCTTCTAAGGTTGCTTCTGATGGACCAATTGTCTCCAGTACAGAGGTGGAACCTACTTCTACTTCAAGGGAAAATACAAAACCTGCCTTGTTAGTCTCCAAATCACAGATACTTGAAGAATTTCAATCATCAGATGTGGTTTTCTTCTTACTTGCAAAACCGCAGATTTTGTCTTTAATTCCAGAAGCACCATCAGATTTTCATGAGCTTTTAAAAGAGTTTCAGGACGTGTTTCCTACAGAGCTACCAGATGGCTTGCCTCCCTTGCGTGGCATTCAACATTGTATTGATTTAGCCTCCAACTCTGTCTTACCGAACAGACCTCACTACCGTATGAGTCCCATGGAACACGATGAGCTTCGAAAACAGGTGGAAGATCTTTTAGCTAAAGGATACATTCGTGAAAGCTTAAGTCCGTGTGCTGTTCCGGCTTTACTTATACCAAAAAAAGATGGATCTTGGCGCATGTGTGTGGACAGCAGGGCAATCAACAAGATCACTATTCGCTACAGGTTTCCAATTCCTCGTCTTGACGATCTTTTGGATCAAATTGGGACAGCCTCTATTTTTACAAAGTTGGATCTTCGTAGCGGTTATCACCAAATTCGTATTAGACCAGGCGACGAGTGGAAGACAGCTTTTAAAACACGTGAAGGGTTGTTTGAGTGGCTTGTAATGCCTTTTGGTTTGTCGAATGCACCGAGTACTTTCATGCGTGTGATGAATGAGGCGCTTAGACCATTTATTGGGCGTTGTGTGGTCGTTTATTTCGATGATATTCTCATCTTTAGTTCTACTTTGGCTGAGCATTTATGTCATCTTCGTGACGTGTTGGGTATCTTGCGCAAAGAGAAATTATTTGCGGCTACAAAGAAGTGTGTTTTTGGGGTGGATCAAGTTCTCTTTTTGGGTTATATCATCTCTTCGCGTGGGTTAGAAGTAGATCCAACCAAGATTTCGGCTATACAATCTTGGCCAACTCCTCGCAATATCACCGATGTGCGTAGTTTCCATGGCTTGGCTTCCTTTTATAGGCGTTTCGTTCCACACTTTAGTAGTATCATGGCACCTGTCACAGATTGTATCAAGTCTTCCTCATTTCAATGGACGGATGCGGCTGACAACGCATTTCAAGAGATTAAAACCAAGCTTACGTCAGCACCGGTGCTTGTTCTTCCCAATTTTCAAGTAGCATTTGAATTACATTGTGATGCATCCAAAGGGGGCATTGGTGCGGTTTTGAGCCAATCAAGTCGTCCGGTTGCATTTTTTAGTGAGAAGATCGCGGGATCTCGTGGGCGGTATAGCACATACGACGTGGAGCTTTATGCTGTTGTCCAAGCGGTTAAGCATTGGCGCCACTATCTCTTTCATCGCGAGTTTGTTTTGTATACCGACCATGACGCGCTTAAGCATATGGGATCACAAGATAAAGTGTCTGCGAGACATGCCTCTTGGTTTGCATACTTACAACAATTCTCTTTTGTTATTAAGCATACCGCGGGAACGCTTAATAAAGTTGCTGATGCTTTGAGTCGGAGACACTCTCTTTTGACGACATTACATGTTTCAGTACTTGGTTTTGAGGTACTTCCTGATCTCTACCCCAACGATCCTTTTTTTGGGAAGATATGGAGGGATACAGAACAAGGAATTGGTTCGGTTTATCTCATCTACGATGGTTTCTTGTTTCGTGGAGTTCACTTATGTATTCCAGATTGTAGTTTGAGGCTGCAAATAATTCGAGAGCTTCATGGAGAAGGCCATATTGGACGGGACAGAACATTAAAATTGGTGAGTTCTTCTTATTTTTGGCCAACGTTAAGACGTGATGTGGAACGCTTTATTATACGATGTGGGATATGTCAAGCAGCAAAAGGAAAATCTACCAATTCTGGGTTATATTTACCTCTCCCGATTCCTACACAACCATGGGTGGATTTGAGTATGGATTTCGTTCTTGGCTTGCCACGAACTCAAAGAGGTAATGATTCGATTTTTGTCGTCGTCGATCGTTTCTCTAAAATGGTTCATTTTATACCATGCAAGAAGACGACAGATGCAGTTCAAGTTGCGGTGTTATTTTTTCGGGAAGTGTATAAACTTCACGGGTTGCCACTATCTATCGTCTCGGACCGCGATTCGCGTTTCTTAAGTCATTTTTGGAGGTCTCTGTGGCGTCTTCTTCGCACCAAGCTAGACATGAGCTCCGCGTATCATCCACAAACGGATGGACAGACGGAAGTTACTAACAGAGCATTGGGAGACTTGTTGAGATGTTTAGTTGGAGATAACATTAAGTCTTGGGATTCGATTCTTTGTCAAGCTGAATTTGCTCATAATCGAGCTGTGAACCGCAGTACGGGTTTTAGTCCATTTAAGGTGGTTTATGGGTATCTCCCTCGCTGCCCTACAGACTTGGGAATCAATCCAGATCGGACTCGCTTCCATGGTCGAGCATGTGATTTCATTGACGATTTTGCTACAATACATGAGCAGGTTCATTCCAATTTAGAGAGTTCGACCGCAAAATATAAAGCTGCTGCGGATGTTCATCGTCGTGATGTTGAGTTCAAGGTTGGTGATCTTGTTTGGGCCGTGTTAACCAAAGATCGTTTTAAACCCGGTACTTACAACAAGCTGAAATCGAGAAAGATAGGTCCTCTTGAGATTGTTGAGAAGATTAATAACAATGCATACCGTCTCAAGCTTCCTCCTCATATGCAAACAGCCGACGTGTTCAATGTCAAACATTTGGTTCCATTTGAAGCTGAAGACGAAGATGAAAATTCGAGGGCGAATTTTCTTCTCACCTCGGGCGACCTGATGTAGCGTCATCCTTATTACTTCTAGCGCAAGACATGAGCTTTCTTACTTCTTTCCTTTCTTCTTTGAGTTTTACTTTTCTAAGTTGATTTCCATTTCTTTGATAAACTTTACTTTACTTTTCGATTAGGGTTTTGATAATGCTAAGGTCGGTTGTGACTTGGCTTATATAAGGATATGTAATGTCTCTTTAGAGACTCGGTTTTTATTGAATAAGAAAAGAGGTTTCCCTCAAAATTGAAGTCTTCGAATTCTCTCTGTTTTACAAAGAATTCAGAGCACAAAACCTTGTTTCAAGATCCATTGATCCTTGAAACCTTGTTTTGCTATCTTACCGCTGCATTACATTTCTTGTCACAATCTTGAATTTGCCAAAACATAATGTTATCCATACTATGCACAGTCTCCAAACACTTTCGATAGCTTATTCAATACCACTAGCGATCGCGGCTGCAGCAAGGTTAGAGCTTTTGTCACCACTATGCAGTACATAAATGCTGAAGTATACTTTTTGTTCTGGTTTCATGTTCATAAGGGGATGTTTCTTGTGCAGCACAAGAATCTCAAATGAATTAGGTGCTGGAAACTCTCGAGCAGCACATATTGTGGTCTACGCAGCAATGTCTCTTGCAGTAATGGATGCATTGATGGTGAGTACATCTCTATTAGTCGGCAGGAATCTTTTCGGCCATGTTTTCAGTAATGATAAGAAAACCATCGACTATGTTGCAAAGATGGCTCCACTGGTCTCTATTTCTCTCATACTGGACAGTTTACAAGGGGTTCTCTCAGGTTCGAGACTTGTTCCTATTTCTTTTCTCAAACATATGCTAGTGTCGAAATACTATGTTCTCTCTTTTCCTCCACATAATACAATACAGGTCAAAGTGCACTTTTTAGTGCTGTGTCAAAGATAACTAAAGTTGTACTCTTTTCTGCCACTCCTAACCCTCGTTTGTTTGTTTGCAGGTGTTGCAAGCGGATGCGGGTGGCAGCATATAGGGGCTTACATAAACTTTGGAGCTTTCTATCTCTGGGGGATACCCATTGCTGCATCTTTAGCCTTCTGGGTTCATCTGAAAGGTGTTGGCCTTTGGATTGGAATACTAGCCGGTGCCGTTCTGCAAACTCTTCTACTGGCTCTTTTCACAGGCTGCACAAACTGGAAAAACCAGGTCCTTTGCTTTGCTTTTTGTCTTTCATGACATGTTTCTATTATGGAATAGACATATTGATGCTCAATTGGATGCATATTTGAACTCTAGGCCCGTGAAGCGAGGAAGCGAATGGCTGTGGCCCATGAATCAGAACTTACAGAGTCAGAACTTCCCTTATAAGAATTACGGGGGCACAGATGTTCCTCAGGTTTTACCATTTTGGTAGCAGCCAAATCGTTGTATGTTACTGCTAGACTAGTGGTTGCCGTGAATAATCGGTCTATTTTGTAATAATACCATATGATACATCCCTCAGCAATCGTTGTTTCGATGAAGCTTTATTCTGGTTGGTCAGAAATACTTTGGACAGAAAATAAGTGATCTCATTCTGCTGATACCAGCTAGCAATCAGACCTGTAACACAGTAGTTGCGAGTCAGGGAAAGATGTGGGAGCTGCTTCTGAGTCTTGGGGCAAGAGTTGTCCATCGCAGAACCATTTCTCGATACAGACCCGTTCATAAGTGTGTCCAGAAGCAGTAATGACAGGATCACACATAAGCTGCAAAGATATGGGACACCTCAGTTCTTCTGGTGGAATTAACATCTGTCCTGATTTCCTACTGTTCTTGGGCTTATAGTTGATAGAACCAAACTTCCATAGTTGACGCCCAAACGCATGAACACGATGTTCAATAGAACCTTAACAATGTCCTCCACGCGTCTAAGACTATTGATAAGTGCAGATTTTGCATTCTCAGTACAGCATCCCCAATGATGGCCTGTTTACAAGGATAAAAAGAAAATGGAGGAATTCAAGAGACCACAATACAATAGAGAATACATATTCAAAGAAAGTGAGATAAAGAGAAATTCACCAAGTAAAGTTCGCTACACTCAAAACAGTGTTGAAGAATGTTCTTTGCTTTCACAAGTGAAATATGTAACGAACACAAGGCTTGAATCCCGGGTTTACTCTGAGGTCTTGCAATTGCCAACGACGGGAAGATCGACCACACCTTGTAATAAAGTGCAGATAGTTCTCTGCACACACATCTCTATGTAACTGCATTTTATCAATGGCCATAACATACAACTTTAGCAAAGCATAGAGAAACAAGACCAACAATAACATGAATTACACCAAAGAACATGAACAGAAATCCCAAAAAGGAAGAAAAAAAAGACTATAAAAGCCTCTAATATTTTCAGCTCAAGGATTAACCATCCCCAAGATTACCAATTTCTCCCTCAACACAAGAATTGCTTACAATTAACAGGGCTATGGATCAAAGGTAAAAGTTCCTTAACATCAAAAACAAAGCAATCCAAACATATATAACGTGATAACATACTAAGCAAAGCCCCTATGTTTTTCATTTGATTCCAACAACTACTGACAGGAATACTAGTGAAAGAGTGATGAATGAAACATATCATTTATGAGCATACCTTGGTATCGCTAGCAGCGAACAAATTATCCTTGAGTCAGAATTTCGCATCTAAAGATTACAGGGACCATATGTTCCTCCGGTTATACCATCTTAGTAGAAGCCAAATCGTTCTATGCTACTTTTGGACTAGCGGCCACTGCTAATAACAAGTCTTTTTGTAAGAAGACTGCATGATTTTCGAGAGTAATAAGAAGCAGCCCACATCAATCGTTGTTTCCATCAAGATTTATTTCTGGTTGTTCAGAAATACCTTGGACAGAAAATGATGCCAAGGGAGTACCTTTTCTGTGTTCACCGATCAAATTCATCTGGCTGTGAGCTTGAGAACCCAAGTAGAGACCAATAAGTGGTGTTAATGGAGTTATTGCGGGATAAGCGGAGATGGCTGGCGGGTGAGAGGAAGTCGGTGCAGGACATGGTGGTGACATTTTTTGGGGATAAATGTGACCGTATATTTTAGCCGTTCCGATTGGTTCGGCATCGGTGGCACGATGAGTTTTTTTTTTTTGCGATACACCTACAGTAATTTGATTCCGTTCATATGTTTTGACACGTGGACGATCAAGATATCATTATTATTTTATCTTCTTTCCGACCACTTGTGAACTAGTTTAAAACAGAACAAACAAAAACAAACTTTGGAGAATGGACCAGCATTTTAGTTATTTTTTGAGGAAAATTCCAAGAAACTTTACCAGCTTCGCATCCATGTATTTATATACCCAACCATAAAATAGTGTGGATGATAAAAAGGTCAAAATAAATACAGATTTTTAGCAGAAAAAACCGAGATCCAATAAAATATTTCATTGAATCTAAGCCAAAGATAAATATTATTTGGGTTTTGCGAAATTTCGTCGAACGAGGACATGCAGGCAAATCACAAATATCACTCACCGCCTTTGTTTGACCCTTTCCCCACAAATTACCCAAATTTACAGTTTTACATTCTATCTCTCAATCTCTCTGCATTTAGCCATGGGAGACGCAGAGAGCACCACCTCTAAGGATAGCTTGCTGCTGCCGGTTGAGAGAGTCGAGAACGTGACATGGAGAGATCTGCGAGATGGTTCATTCACCGTAGAACTCAAGAGGCTTATCTGCTTCGCCGCTCCTATGGCTGCTGTTGTTATCGCTCAGTTCATGTTACAGATCGTTTCTATGATGATGGTTGGTCACCTCGGCAATCTCTCCCTCGCTAGCGCCTCCCTCGCCTCCTCCTTCTGCAACGTCACTGGCTTCAGCTTCATTGTCTGTTTTCTCTTCCTTATTCCCTCTAAATTGCCACATTTATTAGAACCATTGAATTTGCATTTCCTCATCACTTGATTGTTACTTTTTGCCTCTGGTGTGTTAGATAGGAATGTCTTGTGCCTTGGATACTTTGAGCGGTCAAGCTTATGGAGCTAAGCTATACCGGAAACTAGGAGTTCAGACTTACACAGCCATGTTTTGTCTTGCATTAGTGTGTCTCCCTCTTTCTCTCATTTGGTTCAACATGGAAAAGCTTCTTTTGATCCTTGGCCAAGACCCTTCTATTGCACACGAAGCCGGTAAATATGCCGCTTGGCTCATCCCAGGACTGTTTGCTTACGCTGTTCTACAGCCCCTCACTCGCTACTTTCAAAACCAGAGTTTGATCACACCTCTACTCATCACTTCTTGTGTTGTGTTCTGTATCCACGTTCCTGTCTGCTGGCTTTTGGTTTACAATTCAGGGCTTGGTAATCTTGGAGGAGCCTTGGCTATCAGTTTATCAAACTGGCTCTATGCCATTTTCCTTGGATCTTTCATGTACTACTCCTCTGCCTGTTCTGAGACACGCGCCCCGCTCTCCATGGAGATATTCGACGGCATTGGAGAGTTCTTCAAATATGCTCTTCCTTCTGCGGCTATGATTTGGTACTTCACTTTTCTCTGTTCCTTTTCACTTCTCATTGCCTCCACATTTTCTGTTAAAAACTCTTTTATGGGTTGCAGCCTCGAGTGGTGGTCATACGAACTCATAATATTACTCTCTGGTCTCTTACCCAACCCACAACTGGAGACTTCTGTGCTCTCTGTCTGGTACTCCTTACATTTTCCAATTTCTTTTCACAATCTTGGATTTGCCAGAACATAATGTTATTCAAACTGTGGGCAGTCTCCAAACAATTTCGACAATGTATTCGATACCACTAGCAATCGCAGCTGCAGCAAGGTTAGAGCTTTTGTCACCACTATGCAGCACATAAATGCTGAAGCATTTTTGCTGTTCATGGCAAGGAATCATATGGTTTCATGTTCATAAGCGGATGTTTCTTGTGCAGCACAAGAATCTCAAATGAGTTAGGTGCTGGAAACTCTCGAGCAGCACATATCGTGGTCTATGCGGCAATGTCTCTTGCAGTTATGGATGCATTGATAGTGAGTATGTCTCTATTAGTCGGCAGGAATCTTTTCGGGCACATTTTCAGCAGTGACAAGGAAACTATCGACTATGTTGCAAAGATGGCTCCATTAGTCTCTATTTCTCTCATGCTAGATGCTTTACAAGGGGTTCTCTCAGGTCCGAGACTATTTCTTATTTCTTTACTCAAATACAAGATATTGTTTACTATCTCTTCCTCCACATAGTGCAGAGGTCACTATTCCTGTTGTGAGTTTTAGTCCTGTGTCAAAGTTTTACTTTTTTCAGCCACTCCTAATCGTCGTTTGATGGTTTGCAGGTATTGCAAGGGGATGCGGATGGCAACATATAGGAGCTTACATAAACTTAGGAGCTTTCTATCTCTGGGGGATACCCATTGCTGCATCTTTAGCCTTCTGGATTCATCTGAAAGGTGTTGGCCTTTGGATCGGAATCCAAGCCGGTGCCGTTCTGCAAACGCTTCTGCTTGCTCTTGTCACTGGCTGCACAAACTGGGAAAACCAGGTCCTTTTTCTTTCTTTCCTTCTTCTTCATGATGTCTTGTTTCCATTGTGAAATAAACATAAAGATATTGAATTGGATGCATATTTGAACTCTAGGCCAATGAAGCGAGGAAGCGAATGGATTTGGCCTATGGAACGTAAGGCGTTGCAGAACAGCACTTACCGAGTCAGAACTTCGCATCTGAGGATTAGAGGGACCATATGTTCCTCCGGTTTTACCCTGTTGTTAGCAGTCAAATTGCTGTACTGTATGTTACTTTTGGACTAGTGGTAGCCGCTAATAATACGGCATGGTTATCCAAAAAGAGCCTTTTCTGTGTTCTCAATAACAAAGAATAATGATTAGATTCACTGAAATGTGAGGTTGACCATCCAAGCAGAGACCAAGAAGCAATGGTATTGATGGAGCAGCTACAACCACCACATTTCTCCAAATTGTCAGCATCTCATGTCCTGTCACGAGTCCAACTTCTCTCAAGAGTAACTGATTCACCCGAAACCTGTTCAAGCTAACAAACCAAATTGAATCATGAATCTTGGAGCAAGGCTTTAAAGGCACCCTGAGTGTCAATTAGAACAAAACACAGAGTTGCTGCTGAGTCTTGGGGCAAGAGTTGTTTCATCACTGAACCAATCCCAATACAAACCCGTTCATTAAGTCTGTCCAGAAGCAAAAATGACACCTCAGTTCTTCTGGTGGAAAGGGCATCTCTCCTAATTCCCTACTCTCCATGGGCTTATAGTGAAAAGAACACGATCGTCATGAGAACCTTGACCAGTGAGGGAACATTGTGTCCAAAATTTCACTGCAGAATAGATTGGAGTATTTTCTCATGATATGCAAGAGGTAAGCCACAAATTGACTCCTTCCGATTTTCTTCTGTTGCACTGCCCTACTAAGTTTAGTAGCTGCCCGGAGAATATTTTAAGTTTGGTGCTGTCGCTGCTAGTTGTCAACTTCATTCTCTGATGTGCTTCACCAACAATGTCCACCAAAATCTGAAGAAATCACATATCAAAAGTAGAAATTGCAACTAGGAACTAGCAGAGACCAAATTTACCAATCCAAACTCTAAATTCAAGAAGCAAAAAAAGATGAAGGCAAGTTTGAGTAATCAGAAGACCCTGCAGGGAATAATTAATCAAACAACAAAAAATACAACGAACAGTTGCTAACACACAAGTATAGCAAAGCATAGAGAACAAGATCCTCAATTTTCATAGATTACATCAACGAACAAGAACATTGGTGCTACTAATCTGTTTGATTTTGGAATCCAGAGGAGCTACCTAGTACTAGTGATGACAATCATAAAGGCTCATGTAGCTAAGAAAGGAGCGATCACACTTTGAAAAAAAAGAGACGAATTTAGCAAACCAACGAGGTAGTGGACAAAGCCCTCACCTAATTACAGATCAAACCGCGGGATATTCATCGGTAGGTTCAATCGGAGATTGGCGGTTGAGAGGAAGCCGGCGCAGGATAAACATGGGAGAGAGTTGAAAGTGCAGATATTGTTGGAACAGGTGTGAAGCTGTTGGAACGAAAGATCATAACGAGATTTGGTCTTTCATAATGTTATGTTACGGCCACGTTGGTCGTGGGCCATTGTTCAAGTTAAGCCCAATTGCTTGTAGAGACTTGAAGCGTGGCTTAAGTTGTCTAGGGTTTTTGGCAATTGATATAAATACCAAGAGACGGCAACATGAAGACTTGCGCGTCTAGGGTTTATCGAGAGAGGCACACATGTGTGTGACGTCGCCCCATCAACAAGATAGAGAGATCTTTTGATGGTTTTGTTGAGAAGCTATACTCGTCGGAAAAGACAATAGGAGTAGTAGTTTTCGTTCATTGTAATTCTAGAAAAGAGTGGTGGATGCCATATAGCAATTGTAGGTTGCGGCCTTTTCTAGTGAATGGTTTCTGGACTTGGTCCCGGGGATGTAGGTTAACCGAACCCCGTTAACAAATCTCTTGTGTCTCATTTACTTTATGCACATACGAACTCGTTACACTCTCTCATCATACAAACGTATAGATCTAGCACACATATAGTAATTTCAATTGGTATCAGAGCGGGAAACCGACCTGAGATTATTGTCTCTAACAGGTTAGATCCTGGATGTGTGGCTAGATGAGAAGGAAGAGATGCTCTTGTTGTTTGAGAAGTAAAATCGAAATCTTCTTCCAGCGTGGTGATATTGAAGAAAAGAAAATAAAGGGAGAATGATGAAGACAGTGGAATTGACGTCAAACTCGTCAGATTTTTTAGTGCAGTACACCGGAAGTTGCAGTACTACTGTCCATAGGAAGCTTCACGATTCTCTTGTTGTTGAGATTAGAAGCCGTCGAGAAAGAGTGGTTCCTTGTGGTTTGGGCTCAGTTCAAGATTGGTGGCCCAATATCTAATTTGATTAAACTAGGCCCCTAAAAAGAAGTTTAATTAAATTTGGTGTAATTTTGGAAGAAAAAGCATCTTAACACGTGTGGAATAGAGGTTCTCTCCTCTTGGTTGCTTGGTTACGTGTGAATCAGATTGGGAAAATAAGAATGAGAGTCATCGAGTGTCTTCTTCCCCGTCTCGTCATGAAAAGAACTAAGGTAACTGACAGCACAAACCATGTCGGAAATGGTGTTTCAATTCCTTGTATTTCATGGTTGTCAGCTTCTATTGGAATGAAAAGAGAGTTTAATATGGTGTGAGGTTTTGATTTTGGTCAAGAGAAAGATACAGGCATGGTAGACATGATGGAGCAGATCCGCGAGATAAAGATGATGTTAGTAGTAGTTCATGCTTCTATCATGTTCTGCTTTGAACAATTGAAGTCTATTAGAGCTACATAGTGAAGTGGTGGTGTACGATGTCAACGGTCAACATCCGGACATTGTCAACATCACGTGTTTCACTGAATGATGGTCTCATTCTAAAGATGATGTGTAAGAATCTTCTCTGTGAGGAAAACGCGCGAGGTCATCTCAGAATTTAATCATAGCTTCAAGGTCTTGAAAGAAGGTGAATTCATGATCTGATTTGGTATGATTATGAGATCAGAGGGTTGTCGACAAACTTACAATGAAAAGAAGAGGATTAATAAATTTTGATCTTGGAGAAAATTGTGTTTAGACTCACGTACTGCTATCGCTGGAAAGAGCAAGCTTCTGGCATTGCAAGAAATTGGCTATGCAATTGAGGAGATTCAAAAACGGTGAACAGGAAGATCGTTTCTCAACTCACACTTAGAATATCGTGGTCTAGAAAAGCAAAGTTTCTAAAACCATGGAGGAGAAAACAAGATCCAGAGTTAAGATTAGCGGGGATGGAGCTCTCCTATGGTGGGATATCTAGTTATGAAAGTTGTCTCAAGTCTTGGTGGTCATTGCTGGCATTAATTTGGGCATTTGAAAGGCAAAATCAAAATCTCTTGAGTTGGAGCTCTTGATTGAGATGTCGGCGCATATGAGACATGGAACTCTAAAGATTCAAGAAATAATGTGTCTTGCAGCCATTAAGTTTATCATTGGAAGCTCAATCTCTTGAACCAAGGTAACTGTTCTTCTATGATGATTTTCAGAAAAGAGGTTGAAAATTGAGGATTTTCTTCTATTATGATGATTTATCATTAATTTTCTTCTCTGTAACCGAGAATCACCCGTACCGCTCAATACATTTTTCTTCTAGTTAGTACAAACCTGCAACAGGGAAGGCTTGCATCGAAGGAGACTTTAAACATCCATCTCAACGGAGAGGAAAATCCTCAATTTTCAACCTCTTTTCTGAAAATCATCATAGAAGAACAGGCGTATACGCTTGTCGTCTCTGATATGCTTAAGTTTATGGGTTGTGATTATGAGCTTAGCTATTGTCGACATGTTGGCTGGCTTTGGAATTAGTGGTTCTTTGGAGCAGAAATTGAGTTTGTCAGATTTTGAAGGTTAGAAGTTTGCTTCATTTGATAAGCTTTTTTGGTTTTGTATTGTTGTTGTGTCTTGTCTTGACTTTTTGCCTTATTGAGACACACAATCAACAAGGGGGAGAGGAACATCGAAACCAAGAGCAAAGAGCTTCATAGAAGAATTATTGGAATTATTGGTCCTTGCCGTGTTGAATTAAAGGTGAATCAAAATGGAGCCTATGGAATATGGTCTTTAATTGTGTCGTTTGGACCAAGAGATCATGGTTCCATCGAAAAGAATCAAAAATTGGATTCACGTCTTTATGAGGGAATTGTGTGTTGAGTTGATAGCGACAAGGAAGAAGCAAGCTCAGTTGTAATTTTTCTTGTGAGGTTAAAGATGAAGTCGTGCTCATAATGCCAACAGAGTCGTGTGACGTAAAAGTTGAGAAGCAACGATGACTGTGTCAAAGCGTGAAGGTGAAACGGTTGACAAGAGGAAAGTCACAGTGATGGTCTGAGAGATGGAACCAATATTCATAGATTTGGTTTTTCTGTTTTTGAAAAATAACTTCTGCTAGTCTTTTATACAAAATGGGGAGGAAGTTTGAGTCTTGCTCACCATGTGCTCGACGAAATGCCTGAGAGAGATGTTGTCCAAGTAGATATTTAATCTTGCTGGAATCTTGAAGCAGAATTTTCCCTTGATGATGTTTTAAAGGCATATGTGCATATGAGTATCATTCTTGTTGTTCTTTTCCTAATTTGAAGATGTAGGGGACATAACATGAGCTTCGACCATTTGATTATGCTTATATAAGAGCTTGAAGGCTTTGTTTTATTTGGTAAGCACTCTTGGAGTTATGTTGATTGTGCTGATTGAAGCACATAATCAACAAGGGGGAGAAGAGTGTTCCAAGAACGTGTTCCAAGAACGTGTTCCAAGAGCTTGTTAATGTTCTTGTGTGTCGATGCGCTGGTAGTTGTAAAGCAATCAAAGAATGATGCAGAAGAAGTTTGATGCAACTCTAAGTCGAGAAACGTAACTCAGAGGAAGAATGATAAAGAAGGTTTCAGGTTTCAAAGACAGTTTTCGTCTCATGGTGTTTTCCGACATTTCTTCGGCTACAGACCTTGGATTTTAGCTCTGAAGGATGCTCTGAAATCTTGAGAGTGAGATTTTTCCAAGGAAATAATTATCGTCGTCTGGTTCCTCGTGGTTTGATGGGAAATTGCTCCCAAAGCTGCATGCTCGCAGGTTTATAGCATTTTGGATCTGTCTTGGGAAATCATTCATAACTTTCAAACGGTAAACCCAAATCGTGATCCGTTTTATCCTGCGACTTCATATGGCTGTTGTTGATATTGCCGCAAAATTTCAAAATTTTCTGGGTAAGTTTGCTACTCCGTTTGTGTTCTGCATTAAGACAGATCAAGAAGCTCAGTTCAAGTGTTCTTTA